AAAAAAGAGCTTCTCGGGTGGTATAGTTATGGCTGGGCTGCAGAAGTTTTCACAGTATGTGCTATGGGTGAGGACTATGCATCTGCTTGCGAATTCTTTCTCGGTCTAACAGCTGCTAGGATCTTTTCTACCCATCACATTAGAGCAAATGGCCCGAGAATGCGGTGTCCTGTTATTGGATAAGACAACTCCATGCAATGCGACCTGGAAAGCCCCCGGTACTTCATTCACAAGCTGGGCCCAGAGCCCAAGTGCTGCCAGGTCAAGACAGTGCATTGTTTACATCCTTGGTACCGAGATCAACACGGCGAGCTTCGCAATGTACACTTTCTCGGTGAGTGTTCTCGTCCAGTCCATTCTGATAGTTTCCATGTCGGGGGCTGCAGATCATGGAAGCTATCGAAAGACACTTTTGGTAGCGTTTGCCGCCATCGGTTCTGTTTCCACGATGCTGTTCCTTTCTATTACTCCAAAGGTGTATTTACTTGGTGGATTATTTGCTATCGTGGCCAACACTTGTCTCGGCGCCTCGTTTGTGCTGTTAAATTCTTTTCTTCCCCTATTAGTCCGGTATCATCCTGCACTGCTCCAAGGGGACAACGGAAGCATACCGCATACCTCAACTGGAAGCAATGGCCATTCGAATGCCACGGATGATCCGGTTAACTATGATAGCGTGAGGACGCCTCTACTGCGGCCACGTCAAGTCGATGGTCCTTGTCCGGAGGAGACCACAGAATCCGTGTCTCCGATGAACACAACGAATGAACTGATATTATCCACACGAATATCATCCAATGGAATCGGCATCGGTTATATCAGTGCTGTCTTGGTACAAGGGATGTGTATCCTTATCGTTGTCCAAACCCACCAAACTACGTTTTCCTTACGCCTTGTTCTCTTCTTAATAGGCTTATGGTGGTTTGTTTTCACGATACCTGCAGCCTTTTGGTTAAGACCACGTCCCGGTCCTCCGTTATTGCATGCTCTGGACGGAAAGGCTCATCGCTCATGGTTTGGTTACATAGTGTATGCGTGGAAGTCTCTTGGGCGAACGGCAATGCAGACACGACATTTAAAGGATATTCTATTGTTTCTGGCATCCTGGTTTCTGCTAAGTGATGGGATCGCCACCGTTAGTGGCACCGCTGTTCTTTTTGCTAAAACCCAGTTGAACATGGAACCTGCAGCACTGGGTATGATCAACGTGATTACAATGGTTTCTGGGGTTTTCGGAGCATTCTCCTGGAGTTACATATCACGACTGCTGAACCTTCGCGCGTCACAGACCATTATTGCTTGTATCATATTATTCGAACTTGTGCCGCTCTATGGTCTGCTAGGATTCATCCCGGCCGTCAAAAACCTCGGTTATCTTGGGCTTCAACAGCCGTGGGAAATGTTCCCATTAGGGGTCATATATGGACTCGTCATGGGGGGCCTTTCATCGTATTGTCGAAGCTTCTTCGGACAGTTGATTCCTCCTGGATATGAAGCATCTTTTTACTCTCTCTATGCAATCACTGACAAGGGCTCGAGTATATTTGGGCCAGCGATCGTTGGGTTCATAACAGACCGCTACGGAGACATCCGACCCGCTTTCTTTTTTCTTGCAATACTCATCCTTCTTCCTCTGCCGCTGATGCTCATTGTGGACTTGGATCGAGGAAAGCGCGATGCACTTGCACTGTCGGATGCCTTGGACGAGCACCCATACCAGCAGGGCCATAACTATTCGACATTTTCCCAGCAGCCGGCACAATCGCAAGGTCCTTGAGGTACCTATCTCAACGTCTGGTGGCCGATTTAAGACTAGCCCTTATGAACGGCGCAGTACTTGAGCTAATGGCGCTTTTCTTAAGCAGTGGCGAACAGATGAAGCCAACGAAGGAAGTGAAACGAATATTTATATCTACGGATAGTCTGATGAAATAATTGTCGTCATTACACCAAGGGCTTCTTTCCGAGCGAGTTTGTGTTAAGACACAGTAGTGAAATGTGCAGTTTATATAATCACGCTACGTCACTTGCCAGTAGACTACGTACTAAGTACGGAGAGTATACTGTATGATACTAACAATAGTGTTTTCATTGAGGTGGTTGGAAGCTCCAGCTCGATGGGGCTGGAGGGTCGTAGCCTGGGACTGACTCGTCAGCTGTGTTTTGGTGAAGCGACTCCACCAAATGGTGTGAATTCTAGCCTAAACAGCTAGTAGTGGTGAAGGCACGGAGAGACATGTAGGTAGGTCTTCGCGTTAGTCTGCATACCATTAGAACAGGAAAGTCAAGAGGAAGTGAGGGAAGAACACGAGAGCAGGTACGAATTAGGAATCAAGGATTTGCAGAGGCGCGTATGGCTCCCCCAATGGTTCCAATAGAGTGGCCCCTTGTAAGGTGAGCGGCCAGTAAGAAGCTGGACTACCGAAAGAACAGACTGGCCTCAACTCCACCCCATACATTCATCCATTCATTCAGTGGCCCCTACATACGACCGAAGTCATCTTATATAACAGGCCACCTAACCTTGACTGCTTTCCCTGTTTATTCCACTTTCCGTCGCGCTCCTCTTACTCTTCCCCGATTCTGACTATTCTGCGCTCATAGCCCGCAATCCTCTTTCCACAGACGTAAGACCTGCTGGCCGTTTATAACTGTCTTAACCGCGCAGCCGGCTGCATTTTCGGACTCGGTCCAGTTTAGTCTTTCCAACACTTCGACGGTATGCGTTCCTTCGCACCCTGGGCACTGAGCCTTCTCGGAGCTACCACCGCGGTTTCTGCTACGGACACCCAGTCCGAAACACCGTCCGATGTCATCTCGCTGACCAAGGACACTTTCAATGACTTCCTGGCGGAGCATGAGCTGGTCCTTGCGGAGTTCTTCGCCCCCTGGTGTGGCCACTGCAAAGCCCTTGCACCCAAATACGAAGAAGCTGCCACTGAGCTGAAAGCCAAAAACATACCCTTGGTCAAAGTTGACTGCACTACCGAAGAGGACGTCTGTAGTGAGCAAGAAGTGACGGGCTACCCAACACTCAAGGTCTTCCGTGGACCCAATGATGCGAAACCCTATCAGGGAGCTAGACAGGCAGATACGTAAGTTTGTTTTACCTACTTCCTGGATTCATCAGCCCAGGTTATCCGCAAAGCAGAACGCTAATGAGCTGTCTTTATCCGCAGTATCGTCTCTTATATGGTGAAGCAATCTCTTCCTGCCGTCTCTGCCGTTTCTCAGGAGACCCTTGAAGATTTCAAAACCATGGACAAGATTGTCGTCGTTGGATACATTTCCGAAGATGATAAAGCTTCGACTGAAGCCTATACAGCTTTCGCCGAGAGTCAAAGAGATAACTACCTATTCGGCTCTGCCAACGACGCGGCGGTCGCAAGCGCAGAAGGTGTCAAGCAACCATCAATTGTGCTCTATAAGGACTTCGATGAGAAGAAAGCTACTTACAATGGAGCACTTGAACCCGAAGCCCTTCTCAGCTGGGTGAAGACTGCGAGCACCCCGCTCGTGGGTGAAGTTGGCCCCGAGACCTACTCTGGCTACATCACTGTACGTGACTTGACAACAAAATTTACAAGATCAACCCATAATTTGTTAACTTATTATTTTGTATAGGCTGGTATACCTTTGGCTTATATATTCGCTGAGTCTGAGGAAGAGCGTACTGAATTCGCGGAGAAGTTCAAGCCCGTCGCGGAGAAGCACAGGGGCGCCATTAACATTGCAACAATTGACGCTAAGTCTTTTGGTGCCCACGCTGGAAACCTCAACCTCGACCCCAAGAAGTTCCCTGCCTTTGCAATTCAGGACCCCGCGAAGAACGCTAAGTATCCGTATGATCAATCCAAGGAAATTTCCTCCAAGGAGATTGGAAAATTCATCCAGGATGTTCTCGATGGCAACGTTGAGCCTAGCATCAAATCAGAACCCATCCCCGAAACCCAAGATGGGTCTGTGACAGTTGTTGTAGCTCACTCATACAAGGACCTTGTGGTTGACAACGACAAGGATGTCCTCCTTGAGTTTTACGCCCCCTGGTGTGGTCATTGCAAGGCGTAAGTATCAATCCACCCTGTTTAAAATCTGAGTAGCTAACGAGATTCTTGATAGTCTTGCCCCCAAATATGATGAATTGGCAGAGCTATATGCTAAGAACAAAGAAACCTCGTCGAAGGTAACTATTGCCAAGATTGATGCCACAGCCAACGACGTCCCCGATTCTATCACTGGTTTTCCGACTATCAAACTGTTCCCTGCCGGATCTAAGGATACCCCTGTTGAATACTCCGGTTCTCGTACCGTGGAGGATCTTGCCAACTTCGTTAAGGAGAACGGGAAGCATGGGGTTGATGCATTTGCCGCTCAGGCGGAGACAGAGAACAACCAGGGCACCGATGGCGAGGCTGAACCCTCTGAAAAACCTGAGCACGATGAGCTTTGAATTTGACCCTTTTGTTAGCACAATTCAAGCTCGTGTGCCCTGAATTATATCATACTGTCTGTAACGAATGATCATTTGTCTAAGCAATACTTTCAGCCAATTAAGGACAGCTTCCATTATTTGTAAGGTAGACACCTTTCTAGGATGCCCTAAGCCCCGGTGAATAAACTCAAGCATCACTCGCAGTTTTATTTCCAGCTATGTGCCGTAAGTTTCAGATAAGAGTTGATTAGTTGCCTATCGGACATTTGACTACAGCCGAAACCTACCAGAGAATGCCAACTCAAAACAGCCTAGTTAACTAGTTAACTATAACTAAACACGATTCTACGTCCAGAACCGATTATCATTAAATAGCCGAACACCACTACAAACTAAAACCCGAAAAAAGAGAAAGAAAAGGACAGGGCCTGAGATCGATCATAAGTGGCTGCCCAAGCAAAACTTGCTGATACGCACTAACCGGAACTTGCGCAAGAGGGAAAAGACTAAATGAAGTCGATAAGCAGCTAGGCGTCGCGTTAATATTCCAAAGTTAGGAATCTGGTCCTCAGGGCTTAGATAACTCCTCAGCAGCTGCTAGCGCCTCAAGAGCGTCAAGATCTTCTCCAAACTCATTGTCTTCATGTGCGGGCTTGCTCAATTTCCCGGTATCAATCGTCGCCGTTGTCGGCTTTGTCACTTTTTCAACCCGGGCGGGGTGATTGACTACAGCAGAGGAACTTTGAACGACTGCAAGAGGAGCCGTGGAAGTCTCTTTTTTTGGGACCAAGCTCCAGTCGATGATTTCCTCGGGACCGTATCGCTCAGAGAGCCATTCGTTGCATTTTTTGAAATGTTGGTTTTTTAACTGCATGAGGGTCAATACCCACTAGCTTTTCAAATGGAATATAGGAACTTACAAAACCTCTATGGGCACTTAGAGGGCTCGGGTGGACGGACTGCAAAATACAATGTCTATCGCGGTTGATGCTAGTAATACGCTTTCCTGCGGGAGTACCCCATGCAAGAAATACTACCCCGCGGGTCCGAGCACGGGCAACAACATCAATAGCCTTCTGTGTCAATCGCTCCCAACCCTTGTTTGAGTGACTCGCAGCCTGATGTGCTCGAACAGTTAGGCAGGTGTTAAGAAGCAACACTCCACGTTCTGCCCATGGTGTAAGGAGTCCGCCTTTGTTCGGGGGCACTTGGAATGATGGATAATCGTTTTTAATTCCAAGATAAATGTTGGCAAGAGACGGGGGCGCCGGTGTTGGAGGACGAGTTGAAAATGCGAGACCGTGTGCTTGGTTGTGGTTGTGATATGGGTCTTGGCCGATGATGACCACTTTGACTTTGTGTAAAGGCGTATAGCGGGACCTGTGAATTTTAGATTAGCCGATATAACTAAAGGCTGCACATCGTGTTTCCGTACCAGGAATAAATATCGTCTTCAGGTGGAAAGATCTTCGTTCCAGATTGCTTCTCCTTCTGCAGAAAGCGTTTCAGCGCCAGGAACTCAGGCTTAACTATCTCATCTTTGAGGTGCGCCAACCAACTCTCATGCATGGTGTTGATCTCCAAATCCAGAAGCTCTTTTTGCTCGTCACTTAACGTAGCTACCCATTTCTGCTTATTGAAAACGGGCGAGGCCACGGCACCCGCTGGTGACTTCACTGGCCCCAGGCCCGGTGCCTTTGACTTAGGGGCACCAAAGAAAGAGGTGATGCTGCCGTTGGCCTTTGGCTTTTTCGAGTCAACTGCTGGGTCTGCCAGGTGATCACCACCTCGCTTGAGATTTGAGCTCGACATCTTATACGGAGCGTACGGGCGGATGGAGGTAAGTGCTGTTGTTTTGTAGTAAGGGTCTGAAATTATGAGACGGTTGGATCGGCGCGAGTATCGTGGGGGGTTGATCGAGGGTGTGTGAGGAAGAACATGGCGAGAGAGTAAAGCACCTGTTGGTTTGGGAAATACGATGAAGACCTGACACTCGGAGGATCGACTGCGCAGAACCTGACGCGTGCTGACGCGACTTGGTAAGGAAGCTTGGCACAACAGGTTCGAGGTTCCGCCGCCCAGCGCACCGAAACACCGAAAGGCGAACAGACGAAGAGACATAGCTAGGAAGGTGTGATAGACTAGCGCTCGGGTTTGTACACCCTCACATGTATCGTCTCGTCATTAAATATCCTCAGCAGTCATGGAATATGTAATCAATACATGACACACTCCATGGAGCTTACTTGGCTGGCCGACACCCCGCAGTCGCGCCGTCGGACAAGAGCACGACGGGCATGTCCCAGTTGCCAAAGGAAAAAGGTATGCCAGTATTTTTTTTCAATCTCGGTACGAAGCTAAGCTATGACAGAAACGCTGTCGTCATGTCAGTCCCGATGCTTCAAGGGCGAGTCAGCCCTTGACAGCAAGCATTATCGATGTCTCGAGAAATATGGAGGGCCGCCACGAAGGAAACCCTGCAGTGCTTGCTAGGCACGCCGATGTGGAGGAATCCCGCGTTAATTCTCCCGGTATCCCACGGATAGAACGTTTTGTGGGGGATCTCAATCCTGAAGCTGCCATTCGAGAAAAAGTGGACGCGCCTGACGGAGCTCATCTTCGAGATCGAGTTGGGTTGTGGATCAACTCCCCTGTCCTGGGGAACTATGAAGAAAACAGTGGGGGGGGTTCCAATACGGCCGATATCCAAACCGAACATTTTCAGGTGGCATCCATTTTACATCGGCGGTATTCGTCTGCTTTAGGAGCCTGTGATCGCCTTCCACTGCCAACCCTTGACCACCTGGATATATTTCTCCAGAGTGAATCACATCCTGCCTCTTGTTGATCATGAATCGTTCACCACCAACTTCGCGAAGGGAGTAACATCCGTATTTCTTGAGAGAGCAATAAGTCTTGTAGCAGCGAAGGATAAAGCTGCTGGTCCGCATCTACAATTGATTCCTGGTGGCCCGCTTATGACAGTACGCAAATTCTGCTCTGAATTATACGGTGGGCTTGTTTGTGCCATGGAAGCTGGCCTTGAACAAGACAGGGCTACTAGAATCCGTATCCTAGCCCTGATGTCGCTGCACTTCGAAGGACACGAAGGTGCTGAAGCAGCTTCAATGCATCTTTGTCAAGCCATCCACCAAGCCCAGACTGCAGGACTGCATCTCGAAAGGCCCAACCGGCTACCGGCGGATTCTTTGACAACCCTTTTCTGGTGTTTGTGGACATTGGACAAGATGCATGCTTCCATAGGGGGGCGGCCTGTTCTCCTGGGTGATGGGGATATTGGAATAAAAAAACATGATGCGGCCGCGCGCCATCCAAAGTCTGCTTTCGATGTATGGCTTGCGCTTTCTGAACTATTATCCAAGGTAATATCATTTTATAGGCCATCCGCTGATGACACGACTGGGTGGGAAACGGACTATCCAAGTTTCGAAGATATTACGGGCGATCACATCCGAGAGGATGTGGATTTCTCTACACTTGGTACGCTCCCCATGCTCCGTGTCATAATCTGTGACAATTGATTTAATTCAATTAGGCGTATTGGAACTCTATTATCACGCGATCAGTATTTTATCATGCAGATACAGGCCATTTCATCGCTCTGACAGCTCAAGGCCATCATACACTCGCCAGGGTCTAGGTGCTGTGCGGATAAATTCTCTTGTTTCCTCTGAGTGTGCCCAAGGCTTACCCCCGCTCCCAGTCGTGCCCTACGCAGTGTCTTTATCGATGGGCGTCTCATACCAGCAATTCCGCTCTAGCAAACTTATCACCCACTTCGACCGTGCCAAGAGTAGCCTTGAGACCTGTTGTGCTCTGCTTGAAGAACTAGGTGTTTACTGGTACTCAGGTGAAGCAATGGCGCGGCTGGGGAGGACGGCACTACATCAAATTGACGGAACAAACTTTGGACATGATCAACCTATTCGGGATTCTTTATTACCCGGCACAGCGAACAGCAGCGGCGAAGGTTTCAAGAAAAACGCCTCCAACATAAAAAACCTTGGACTATCTGGGATCAGTATGGCGTCCTCGATACGCCCTAACGAGTCCCGTCGGCCCTCGCGGAATAGTTCGCCGACCATAGTGATCCCTGAGCAACCTGCGGCCCCGCTAGTCGAGGAACAAAATCACGACAAACAGAGTGGTTTTGCAGACATCGATATGTTGTTTGACGATTTTCTAGATCTGTCTCTACCAACAAACTTCTGGGATCCCGTTTTCTTTCCTTCTGAGCACAGTAATGACGTTTAACTACGTATGTGTCCACCAAGCGGGGAACGCTTTGTGGGGAGTTGTACACGAATAAGTATCGGCTCCGCTCGCGGAAGATAACAATACTCAGTATAATAATAAAATGTGTGTTCGTTCGACTTCCCGACACTGGGCACTCCGTTATCCAAACTCAGAATTTCAGGACTAGGACTCAGGACCCTGTTCCGATCCACACTGGTCTACAAAGGCAATATAATAGCAGATCGAGACTCGAGACTAAAGAGTCGAGCCTTCCTCTTTTCACAATTCTCTCCTTTGCGGGTAGAACCCGCCGTGCCGAGTGCGCTGCCGATCGTTATCTTGCATCTTTCATCAATCACTCCAAAGTCCAACCCCTCCCTAGTCTACGGTGTACACCGGAAAGCCGGAGTCTCCTTTAGTTTCACCCTCACGCTCAATGGTGGAGGTAGTTGAGCTTAGAGGATGTTGGTATGGGAACTGGCCGGGCAGCATAGATTGAGTTATTTGACTATTAGTCGCGGCCTTGGTACAAGTAGTAGCCGGTGTAATAATCGTCAGTTATCTCAAGAAGTCTTCATTTGGAAAACTATTTCGTAGCAGGACTGTTGATGTCGGAATACAGGCCACCCATTATGCCCGGCTAGCACGGGGAAACCTGGGGTCGTGAGTAGACTACTTCCTCTGTCTACCTACGGAGTAGTAAATGCCTCGACCTGGGTCGTATCTACGGCGGATAAAGTCCAGTCCAGGTAGGAAGTTACCCTTTTTAGCCATTTGACAGCTCGACGGAGCCAACAAATATCCAAACCTTAATTATCAACGCTGATTGGTCTCGGGCGATTCTTTCATTTGCACAACACACATGGCTTCGTTGATTTTTATTTTAACTCCCCGCCCCTAGCCTCATTTCTCTTTTCATTTTACCCACTTTCCTCTCCCCCTTATTAATATTGATCCATAGAACCATTCGGCCTCTCGTGCTTTTTTTTTTGTTGCCTATCGTCATTTTTCATTAGTCGGTCTCTCTTACTTAACAAAGCCTATCGTCTCGATACATTCGCTCCATCGGCATCTTGAAGAAAGAAAGGATCCCGGAATTATCAACTTTCCCGCGCATTTCATTCTCCCCTCCACCCTTTGTCTCCCCTTTAACCAGGAATGAATTGACGTCGATAGTCCTGGGGCGGCGGCAAGCTCTTCTGGCCCGCTCTCATTCTCAGCCAAATTGCTTCTACCAAAACTTCCAAATCGTTATTCTCGCCTACATTCACGACCTTCCAGCAATTACCAAGCCTGATGGGGTTTGAAACCGCAGTTCATTGGCTCTTTGCCTACGCAAGAATAGCGAGCCTAGCTGCTCCAGTTGGCTGTCGATAGTTTATACGGCGCTACACAGAAACTTATGCAAGCCGATTTCCAAAGCAAATCGCGCTGCAGTACCGTCTGACGGTTTTATTCTTACCTTGATGGAGGGGGTTTCCCACAGTCCAAGGCTATCCTCCACTTCCGCCGGACCGGAAGTAGAACGACAACGGTCCGAGTCAAGTGACTGGGGGCGAAACAGCGGGTATCTGTCCCCAGAACATCCGATTCCGCAATTACAGCACGCTTTTGAGGAATCAATTTACGAGGCGTCCCAAGGGAAGGACGTAGACTGGGTTGTTGATCTTGATGCACAATCGCGGCGCAGAGATCTTCTTGAGAGGCCCCAATATGAGCGTCTCTGTGGACGAAAATGGCGTCAAAGACCAGATGAAAGGTAGCTACTCTGGACTCTCTTGGATTCTTTGTCAGTCTGACTATTACAGATATCATCCATTCTGGAAGCTTTCCGCGCAGATGTCATTTGGTCTTCATTTGTTGGTGCAAGAAAAAGCCAAGTCTGATGCAGCAGTCCTAAACATCCTCCAGGCCCATGTGGATCAGATGGATGGGTTTGTTTCGAGAACGACCGAAGACTTTCTTATAATACAAATTGATATACGAACTCGTATTCAGTATCTGAGTTTACCTCTTGAAAATCTGGATGATTTCGACGACATGTTAGTGGATCGTAAATTTCGTTTGGCTATGATTGATTATAACGCGAAAATCGAACGCGCCGTTGAACGGTTTACAATGGCGATCAACGATTCGCTCAAAGACATACAAAAAGGACAGGAAGCAATAGGCGGCCTATGGCAGTACCTTGGGCAGTCCGCTAAGGAAAACGCTCCATTATCGGGAAATTTAACCGCTATATACAATTCTATGCTAGGAAATACTGAAGGCTGGAATTCGGCATTTTCAAAGCTTCGCCGCAAGGGGGTTGCTCTCCAATATGCGATCACCCAACTCAGCCGGGCTATCATTGAAATGCAGCGACGTGTTGGCGTAGCAAGCAGAAAAGATGTGGTTAGTACATATTTATTCTGAGATCCTACCAACCAGCACTTGAGGTTGATCTGAAATACAGGTGTCATTTGTGCAACACCAATACCCAACACCTCGCACCAGCTCGTTTAAACGCTTATTCGACAGAGGGACGCCCGTATCTATCTCAAATTCGTCGCCGGCCTTGGAGAAGCCTCTGCCATCCGATCCTGCGTTAGCTAGAAAATCAAGCCTGCTCCCACGTACCAGTGTCCATGGTGCGGGCAGACTTGCACTTCAAAAGAGCGTCCCAAATCTAAGGACTACGATGACAGCAGGTGGTGGCTGTCTGAATGAACCGGTGCCTGATCGGGCAAGATCTGTAAATGGTGTTCCTTCAAGGGACTCTGATTCAGGCTCAATATTTCCTCGGCTATCAAAAACCATTAGTAGGCGACTGTCAAGAGCTAAGCTCACACCAAGAGTCGCTGATGACATAGTGGAAGATGCTCCATTCCGTCCCTCCACATCGAAAACTATGACATCCTTCAGGAAAAGCAAACATGTACAACACCCACGACAACGGCAACAAGAGCCGGTCCAGGAACCGGCTCAAGAACCACAACGGCATTCGAATATGACTAAAAGACCAAGTACATCTAGTGCATTAGCGAAGGGAGAAGCTATGCGGGATCAACTACTGCAATACTTCAAGTCTGATCGAGTTCTGGATGTCTGGGAGAATGTTACGGAGAGGGAAAGGAAAACAGAACAGACTGGCTCCAAAAAGGACGGCCTCTGGAGCAAGTTTCAGGTGAAGTCATCTGGTATGCGTTCAGACCATCTTTCAACAGATCTCTTATCTCGGGACGACGTACAAAAACAGATGGCGTGGCTGGATGAGGAGTCCAAGAACCTAAACATCTATCCCTTGAAGCCTAGACCCGGGGCTGCCCCTAAATTTCATACAATCTTGGAGCATATCAGTCTTCAAGAACACCCGAATGAGGAGGAACTCAGATATGTGGACGCTGATAATTCTCTCGCCCTGGAGACGGATGAATCAATTATAACGGCTCTTCCTGCCTTTCCTCTTCCTCCCGTGAGAATTTCATATCTACGACGTCTGCATTTGCTAACCTCTATATGGCAGATCGGCCGCCACGTCCCACACCCTCCGGAGATCTTCAGTTAAGATGTTTAAATGCAAAGCACAGAACTCTTTTCAGTCAAATGCATCGGTCTGGACGCTTAGTTTCTGATAATATAGCCACGTCAGCTTAAACCCTCTTTTTAGGATTCTCTAAGCCATTGCGGGAATTATTTAGGTTTCCTTTCAACCATGATCTGGGGCTTTTGGCTGTTGTCTTGGCATAAGAGGCGACGGTAACCAGAACACGGACTACAAAATATATATTTGAACACCGACCTGCTGGTAAAGATTGAATTGGTTATTAGCAACAATCAGTATCCCGTTTAAACACACAATGTTTATCGGACTGCACGCCAGTCTACATTTTTGAACGTTAACTATATCCTTGAAGCCACTGCTCAACCCCCCTTAGCTCGATTATAAACAGATTATTCATTGATCTGTTTAACATCTCTTTCCACCCATGAACTCACCAAACCTGGGAGGCCTATTGAAACCGCGACACGCCTCAGGCAAACCAGCGAATGTCCATATACAATAGAAACATCCTATTAGAAGACATTACCAGTATAGATATTCTAACATCTGGACACTCGATCGTCGATCAAGTCCTACTTTAAGATTCATAAAGTCCCCATTTGTCTTTTCTAGCTCCTCCAGAAAAGTGCAAGAACGCCAAAGATATAACCGCACCTTTGACCGCAGGCTGCTGGTAGCAACCTCGATCATGGCTTCAAAAAAGAGAGCGAGAAAGGAGTAACAAGACCAAGAGGAAAAAAAAAAAAAAGAAAGCGATGAGTGACAGGGAAGTGACTATTTGCATCGCTTCTCGACGATGTTGGGACCGTGCTCATCAAACTCCTTCTTCGAGATCCACATCTGATGGAATGTACCCAAACTCGCCAGGATGCTTCCACCAATCCAGGAACCGAACCTGCGCTCGGAGGTATTCCCAGGCGCAGAGATTCGGACCCGGGGTCCCGGATAGAGTTGCATGAGTTCTTGGTTGAGGCGGTCCGTGAAGCCATAAAGCAAGCTTGAAGCTCCTGTTACGACGACGTTGGCCAAGAGATGCGGACGGATGTCGACGTCAACACCATTCAAAGCAGCCTTGATGAGCTCCGGAACCGTTTGAGCTTGTGTTGGCGGGGGGAAAAAAGGATCAGTGTCGGGGATCGCGGCTTTGGCGTCGAATAACGATTCAACCACCCTGTACCGGTCGACGCCGAACACTTGGTTATAGCCATCAGGAAACTCGAACGGCCGCCCTGGAGAGCTTCTGGCTATTTCCTCATTGGCAACACCGTTAGGATTGGTCGTGGAGAGCCTTGTTGGGCCGGGCCACACTTGTACAACACATTCCTTGAACTCAGAAAGCGTTCGCTCTTCGAGGAGGTTACGATAAGAAGCATCGGGAGCATTTTCTGGCGAAAATGATTTGTATTTGGCTTGGGGAGGTTGGCCAGCTTCAACAGCAGTTTTTGAGGAGATTAAATAATGAGGAGTGATGGTGATAGGCTGTGGTGAATTTGACTTAAATAGGGCGCGAATCTGCGAGGAGATGTAATCTCCGCCCAAGGGTGAGTGTTGGACACCGCGCTTGAGGACCAAGCCGTCATGAACCGGGGTAACAGATATACTAGAGGCGCCGATATCGACGACAAGAGCAGAAGCTTTGCCAGCAGCAAACCTAAAAAAAAAGAAAAGAAAACCAGTCAGTCTCGCCGGCGCGTGTTGCGGACCAGTAGAGCAGTGAAAGTAGACTTACGCGGCAAGGACACCATTTCTAGCAAGGTAGAAAGCTGGGGTCCCCCATTTTTCCATTGCGATTTCGATTGTCTTTTCACGAGCTTTCGTGGGATTCCAGCTGCACTCGGACATCAGTAGAGGGCTATCGCCGAGAGGCTTCTCGTCGGTTTCTACACCCTCCATCTCGGCCGGCAGTTCGCTCTCGGGTACATCATTCAGGCCATTGTATAAAGGATTGCCAGGTTTTGCACCTGTAAGTCGCGATGTGAACGAGTACTCCCACAACTTTTCTGCCATGTCCCAATCCTCAACAACACCATCCCTGCCTATGGGGTTACAGATCGACAAGCCGGGGCGCGGAGTGACGAAGACATCATCACCGAAGATGAGCTTTTCTTGTCCCTCGAAGGAGTACTTTCCGTAGTATGTTGGGATTAGCGATTTCGGGGTATCTTCGCCCGCGAAACCCGCGCGTGTGGTTGAGAATCCGGGATCCAGGACAATAGCCGAAACCTCATCTGAACGGCACCGCAAACATTAGCACTTGGGAGCCAAAGGGAGGCATGACAATGACGGGAAATCGTCGGATGGCTATTCCAGGGTGTTACTTACCTCCACCATATTCAGCCGCTGAAGGTGGAACTGAAGGATTCATTGCTGAGGCTCAAGGAGCGCAGGGGTGAGATAGAGCGATTGGAGTAGTGCACTGACAAACCTTCCCTTGCCGACCAGAGGCGTGGCACGTAGGTCCAGAAATTGCAGAGGTTGTGTTATGAGGCCTAGTCTCTGTAAGCCTATCCGTGTGATTGAAGGGAATAAGTTGGGAGGGCCGTTCGTGGTTGGTGGTGCGGCGGTGGGCAAAAAAAACATTGGTCGCCAGGGTTTTGGCGCGGGCGAATTTGATGACTACAAGATACATTGAACCACCACCTTATCTCTTACAACAACCGACACCCTTATTACGGGTTGCGCATACAAACTATCCCTGTCGACATGGATACAGAAGTCGAACAAAATCCCGAGATTCTTTTTCGTCCGGCAAAAAAAAGAAAATTCCAGCGACGCCGGCCTGAAGACACAGGAGGCCAACAAAAACCTCAAGCTTCAAATGGGGATATCACCTCACAATCATTTGGGGATGATTCAGAAACAGCACAGGCTGCCGATGCTCTTCGTTTGCGGCGGCGTCATCGTTCGCGCAAGGGAGGCATAGAATTTTCCACCACACCGCGGCCGACAGCAGACTATACTGGCCAGGCTTCCCTTTCAGCACCAACAGAAGATGATGTGGATGGTGAGCGATTGAGAGCTATGTGTGACCGCTTTACGGCTCACACTGGGCAAACAGTGGATGTTGATAAACATATGTACGGAGCCCCATTGTGTAATCATTATTCCCATGCTACCTCGATGCTCCGCCTGTAATGGATATTAACAAGATAAGGATGACCTATATAGAGTCAGAGCTGGCTAAGCGATACCGACATGGGGGCCCCGGAGACTTGTCTGGGCCTGATACAGCTGCACTGATCAAAGCTGATAACCCATTATCCACCCCCGAACTTCCTGAGCGTGAACCGGCCTCTCTGGGGAAACTACACGAAATAGACCTTGGCCAAGAGGCCAAACTACGCAATATTGCTCGAACTGAAGCGGCAACGAAAAGAATAAACGGCGATGAGGATGAGCTATCCAACGAGCGGCGGTCTTCCAGGATGCCACCCCGATATAGAAAGCGGCAGACGAGCGAGGATATCGAAAGGGATAGGTTAGTGGAGGAAGTTTTGCGTGAGAGCAAGCGTAAGTATTTTCTCATCTATACGGCTCGACGCTGTATCGCGATTCGCGCTCAAGCTTTTCCTTTCGCTGACGTCTATCAACTTTGTAGTGGATGTCTATGATGAACCGGAGGAGGAAGTAGCAGCCGACGATCAAGCAGCCGATGATAGAGTTGCGGAGCAATTTCGACGAGACTTCCTTGATGCAATTCAATCTCGCCGCCGAGTGGCTCGGATAAAACCGACAACACAGCCTGGAAAGGCGGAAGCCCCCAGGGGGCCTAAATTGGGAGGTAGTCGGAGCGCGAGGGCGGCAATGCGTGAGATGCAAGAGAAGGGGGCTCGGAAGTGACTAGATTTGGCCCTCTTTGCAGAAAATATAAAAATCAATTTAAGGGGCATGCTCCCAACTCTAGCGCTTGGTGCTCCATGAATTTCCAATCTCAGCTGTTTTCTATGACCAGCGAGATGGTAAGGCTGATGCACTTTGTCGTCTCCGTTTTCGATGCGATTCCGGTCGCCCGGGATGTTACTTGAAGAATGAAGAGTGAGAGGCGGTGATATTGATGCCCTCCTATTCCAAGGATAGCATCGATGGTTCCGCCCGGAGAGAAATAACAGGGGCATTCTCAGGTTTTTCGACCATTATTTGGTCGATAGCAGGATGTTGGGAAGGGTAACCTCTCCTTGTCTCGGGTTGAATGAGGTGGGTCATTTATTAAAATAGGTCATGGTTGACGGAGTACGGTATAAAAGTATCGATAATAAAATACATAAGTGTATCTCCGTAACTTGGACGTCGAAAATTAAAACTACAATCAAACCCAGCCCAGCCACTATTCCGAGATTGAGAACAAGAATGACTGAGTGGCGCATTTGTTGAATAATAACAATAATATGACGGAAAAGAGGTGGTGTGCAACTGCATAATTAGGTGCGGCCGCGGCCGTACATTTCGACGAAGAACTATCTCGAGTCTCATCCATTGCAATCAGTCAGGGGTCAGGGGACCAGAAAGCCGGATGGCATTGTTATCTAGGTGGGGGAGAAGACCGAATTATTGTCAATAATAATAGCGGGCGATCCGCAGAGCTACGAGAAGGCTCTCTTAACACAGTACTCCGAAAGGAGATACTACAACGGAGTAGATGGTCTCGATACATTCGTTACCGAAGCAGTCGGCATTAACCAGTCACACAGAGCAAGACAGCGTTGTGTGCTTGATCCTGCGGAGCGATCATCGTCGCCAAATAGGAAGACCTTTAATTTGGAACCTTGGAAAGAATGCGCTCCCACCCGCCCCGCTCTCCAAAGTCCAATTTATCCCGCCTTGGTTCTGGACCTTGAGAGGGCAGCTTCACCATCCCGCCGTTCGGGCTCTCCATTTCCATACCACTGCAAATTCCAGTTCCAATCCACAAGTAAGACCGTCTCCCGCCCGGGCTCGTAGGCCTGGCTGCACCATTTTATCTGCAGAATAAACTCCTCCGCCAGTAACTGTTTGTTGTTGGAGACTCGGAACCATAAATGATAAATACGTAATAGCATCGACCAGCACACCTCAACTCTGTCTGGACATCGTCGACCTCTCGTCGCTCGGTCTAGAACTGGACTGAGAATGAAGCAAAGACCCAGTGGGCGCCACCTACGCGCCAATGAACATCGATTCCCACCTCTGCTTGAGACACTCAGGGGCAACTTGTTACAGCCCTCAGCCACTGGTGCCCGTTTCTCCTCCTGATTAGGCATTGATCGGGCAGATTGTGGCTAAGACTGAGCTAATTTAGGCTTCCTCGGAGTCTCGCCGCGAGACTAGCGGGCTGGCCGACCTTGAATCTGGGACGCTTCTTGGGCCGATGGAGAGATCCTTCGCTGTCGCGCTTCCTCGATCCATTTCCTGATTCCTCCCAGTAGTGTGTCTCTTCTGCATTGACATCTGTGCGTTTGCAGTTTCTTCTTTCTTTCTAACTACTGATCGTTCGTTTTCTATCATTGGATTTGTCTGTTTTTATACTCTCTCCAGCGACATTCATTTGGCTTTCATTTCGCGTTCTGTCTCTTTTCTCGCCTCCCAGTTGGACCAAACCGCCTGCTTGCCTTTGTTTACCTCGACCCTCTCCTTTTGCATTAAACCATCAGTGTCGAGGGTGCCTCCCGCGAGGAAGTATAGGAAGAGGAAAGACAGTGAACTTGAATCGGTGAACATCCACTCAACTCTGAGTTCTTTTCACTGGATGTCACTCTGTTGGACAACCAACACCGTTTCAATCCCGCCTCTCTCTCAACATCCTGCATCTTTTCTCTCTTCCATTTTAGACAGGTTGACCCTGCTCTCCGTTTCTGATTGATTCGACTGGTGCGAAAGATCAGAATTTGCTCAGATTACGCCTTTTTAATTAGTTACCGTGGAATATTGCTAGCTTACGTCCGTTGGCCCTATCCCTCATAAAAAGCCTCTCATACGTTGTAACGTGAGATTGTGAATAAGAAACCACGCCTGCCAAAATGCGAAATTACATTACGTTTGCTGTGCTAGCCCTGTTGCCGGCCAGAAGTTATGCCGCAGATACCCTGAGAACAGGAAGTCTCTCGACATGCTTGACCGATTCCGATATCCAGGTGCAAAAACTGGACATCGACTTTTCCCGCTCTACAAAGAAGATTACCTTTGATGTCGCTGGTACAAATACCAAAGAACAGAATGTCACGGCTACACTTTCGGTCACTGCCTACGGGAACGAGGTATACACCAAAGAATTCGATCCTTGCGACAATGCCAACCATGTTGATCAACTCTGCCCTGTTCCGGCTGGCGAATTCTCCGCTTCTGGGTCTCAGGTAATACCAGACGATTTCATAAGCCAAATTCCGTCGATTGCGTTCTCAATACCGGATCTAGACGGAGTGGCGAAGCTTCAATTAAGGTCAAAGAACGATGGCAACGATGTTGCTTGCATTCAGTCTGAGTTGACCAATGGAAAGTCCGTGGAAGTCCCCGGTGTCTCTTACGCTGCTGCCGGTATGGCTGGAGCTGCACTGGCTTTGAGCGGACTGTCAGCTTTGGGCTCTGCCGGACACGCAGGCTCGACTTCTTCTAGCCCCGGATTCGGCGAGGTCATGGGCTGGTTTCACACAATGGCAACCAATGGCATGCTTAGTGTCAACTACCCTCAAGTGTATCGCAGCTTTTCGAAGAACTTCGCATTTAGCACGGGCTTGATACCGTTGGCCCAAATGCAACATTCGATAGACAATTTCAGGAAAGCTACAGGCGGAAACCTCACCGAAAACAACTATGACTATTGGAAAGGACTCAGCACTCCATCGGAGTCGAATCAAAAGCGATCCCTAGATACGATCCTCGGTACAGCACGACTAATCGTACGTGAGGTCGAGACTTCAGTCAATGGCACTTCTTCCGGCAATGATACCTCTAGTGGACAAGATAGCAACCTCCTTTCTGCAGATGGAATATCGAACTTGAGCAAGGAATTGCTCATTCCTCAATCGAATACATTCATGACCGTGTTACTGATTTTCGCCATTGTTATTGCGGCGATTACCGTGGGGATTTTGCTCGTCAAGGTAATTCTCGAGCTATGGGCCCTCAACGGCTCGTTTCCCAAGATGCTCGCCGATTTCCGAGACCATTATTGGGGTCTCCTTGCCCGAACAATCACGAACTTGATCCTCGTCCTTTACTCAATCTGGGTTATGTACTGCGTATACCAGTTTTCGAGTGGAGATTCCTGGGCCGCACAGCTTCTTGCGGGTGTCACCCTGGCCATTTTCACTGTTCTTCTCGGATTCTTCGCTTTCCGCATAGTATATCTAGCTCGCAAGTACAAGAAATCCGAAGGCGACGCGTCCTCATTATATGAAAACAAGGAGACTTGGCGAAAATACAGTCTCTTCTACGACAACTATAAGAAGGGCTGTTGGTGGCTTTTTATCCCAGCTATCATTTATATGCTTGTTAAAGGTTGTATCATTGCTGGTGCTAATGGGCATGGACTCGTCCAATCTACCGGTCAACTTGTTGTCGAGGCGCTGATGCTGATTCTTCTACTATGGCACCGCCCATATGTTGCCAAATCGACCCAGTGGATCAACATCACAATTCAAGTCGTCCGTGTTCTGTCCGTTGCCTGCGTCTTGGTTTTTGTCGACCAACTGGGCCTCTCGCAAACTACCAAGACCGTCACTGGCGTGATCTTGATTGCCGTACAGTCAGCTTTAACCGGTGTTCTTGCCATTCTTATTGCTGTCAATGCTATCATTCTCTGCTGTCGCGAGAACCCCCATGCCAAGCGGAGGAAGGAAGCTGGTAAGTTGTTGTCATTTACTGAAAAAGCTTCCTATAGTATGCTAACCTGAAGATTTTGTCTTAGAAAATATGAACCGTGATATTGATGATCTTACGCCCCTCGATGCCCGGGAATCACTCCTCATGGACAACCCCCCCCGTAAAGACTACTCCGAGATGAGTAAATTCAATTTCACGGGTCCATACGAACCCTACCGGGACACCGACCGTCTCGTGGACACCGAATACCACGATGATCCCCGGTATGGTCGTAACATCGGCCGAGACAGTCGCAGTAGCAGTAACAGCCGCGACAGCCACGGCTCCCCTGAGGGCCGTCGTCCGACAAAGCCTGCGTACGGCTTTGCATATTGAAAACAAATACTTGTGTTTTGACGTATTTGCCTCCCCCCTCCCCTTTTGTTCCATTGACTTATTCTCACCATTTTCAGCTTCTTGTATGTAGAGGCATATCCTTTTTCAAGCGCCATATTTGATGACTTAGCGTTCCTTGCTGGTAACTCCCTTTTTTTTTTTTGCCCTGCAAAATTTGCATTACACCCACTTACTTAGCGACAATCTGTCGCCATCCTCTTATATTGCTCGCGCCGTTCGTTATATATATATATTTTTTCTACATTGCAAACAAAATTGATTCGCTGTATAAGCAGTATCTGAGAGAGGGGGAGGTTTGTACCAATAACATTATTATTGATGATTCGATAAGAACCAAAATTATTAGCTGATTGTTATATTTGCAATTCTAAAAGGACACAGACACTATAGGGCAGCCTACGACCATGGCTACTTTGTGTAGAGCCGGACCCGGGGCTAATAATTATGGATACTTGCTATGAAAACCCAGAGGGGGTAGGAAAAATTGTTTCGCTCCTAAGTATATACCAAGATTTGTTTCTATATTGTCGGTGAGATCATTGAACATATATATGATCTCCCGCATATAATCCGGCTCCTTCACCTAACCTAGCTTTAGTCTTACAGTCGCACCAGCTGCACCAGTCATCGCCAACGTCAACAAGAGAGTACTTCTTCATTATCTTCAATAGTCGCAGATAGGAATTTACCGTCCCAGGTAGACAGCCATGCCAGCGATATCTGGCGTTCCTGATGATGGTGGCCCAGTCTGGAACGTCGAGACCAAGCGGATACCAACAGGCAATCAGATTGGGTTGTTCATTGCGGCATCATCCGAGGCGATCGGAATGTGGACATAATCTACATTTGGAATTCGATTTCAAAGCTCTGGCTGCAGGAGACTCGTTCACAAGGCTTGTAATGTTCCCATAACAAAGGCACAGCAAGGCTGTTATTGAAATCCGTTATCGGGCAAATGATCACCCGTGTTTGGACGAAGGTGGGCCCGAGAATCTTGAAAGAGACTTTGCCAGATGTATGCTTCACTGAGAAGTAGCTCAATGTCTTTCTCTGTCCAGTCCCTCGTCGGGAGGGCTTGGAGAAACATCATAATTTCCTAAAGGTTTCCCTACTATGAGCTTATGATTCAGGCTAAGATGCCGAAGAGTACATACCTGGAAATCCATTTTCACCAATTGGTCTGTCCATTTGACAAGGAATGCCGCACAGACGTACAGATGGAATCGCGAAAAGCCCTGTTCCTCGGCCTTGACATAATTTAGTATAATCATGTGCAAACTGCAACATTGGTAGACAAACAAAATGTAGAAAACAAGGGGGTAAAGCACCATACCATATACGTGTCCCACATTCTTATTGTGTTTTGCACACTCATTTCACGCATGAGTAAACAGTTCATCCACCGAAAACTGAATTGCATAAATTCAACACCCTCTTGCTCTAGGTGTTTCGCGAGGGTTGCATCAATACGCATGGTCAAATCACGCAAAGCCCTTACTTGCCTTTGAATGCCAGGCTGGGCATAGATGTAGTTGTCCTGAATTCCATCCAGTAGTTTGGTCAGGCACCAGAATGAATCCGCCTCCACCGCGTCCAGCACACTCCGAGGAAGTTGGCCGGGATCCATACCCTCTTCAACATTGAGATCCGTAACATAAACCCCTAGGAACACTTGCCATAGCGGTGTAACAAGGTCATTTATACCTTGAACATAACCGCTAGCGGGGTGTCGGATCGCCCATAGATACAGTATCCTTTCCAATGATCGCTGAGTGGCTTCATAACTGTAGAGTTGGATATGAGGGCTGGTGCGAGGAACATCAATGCTGATTTGATGCCAAATTGCCTCATCAAGACCCCGGCCACGCCCAGTAGTTGAAGGTGGTGGAATTCCGGCGGTCGCAGCACTATTGCGCTCAAATGCCTGCCGAACCCCGTCTAAATACTCTTTTCGTTTTCGTTCAAGAGTCGCAATACGCCGTTCGCTATTTGTGGGAAGATAACCGAGAAGGAGTTGCCAAGTCATAGCTCGTACTTCATCAGGGACGCCCGACCAAGCGAGGTTTCTCAAATCCGTTAGTGGCACAATGCTCGCCTGCAGGAGACGCTTAAATTTGTTGATCCTTGATATGCGACTTGTATACGCGTCCATCTCTTTCGGCGATGCACTCTTTGGGGGTGTGGTATGATTGATGATATTTAAGGCGTTCGCCGGATCTTGAAACCTAAGTGTTAGATCTGTTCAAGTATTTGTTCAGGAAGTGTTGTAGCGTATACCTTTCAAGATATCTTTGTACTGAGGCCGCAAAATTTTACCATCCCCCTTCCTAGTCGTTGGGTATAGTGGAATATCACGTTCTTCGGCGATATCAGAGCTATTTGCTCGCTGTCTATTGCTTGATATGTTCACCCCAAGAGTTGAAGGTTTGTCCTCAAGTATACCAAGCGGAGCAGCTTTGGGCTGAAAAACGTCGGTTTTCCGACTTTGTCTCTTCCGCATACTTGCAATGCTTGGAAGTCCAAACTCGTCCTCATCGTCGTCATATACAATGTCCTCTTCCGCATCGCCTTCGTCATCAGCAATCCTCCCCGTACTACCATCATGGCCCCACAGCCCAAGCTCTTGATTCATGACACCGGAATATGATGCGCGTGGTGATGCAGCCCATCCCACCGCTCGATGAAGGGGGGGAGATATGTGTGAGGAATTATTAGAAGACGGACGGGGAGGCGTTCGGGGCTGCGTATGTTGTTGGGGCAATCCACTGATGAACGAAGAAACGGGTCAACAGATGCGAACAATAGCTCCATTTGGAGGGAACTAACTTTGGTATGTTGGCGTGAGAGTAAGAGGCACCAACGACAATGTTCGGATCAGACGAGGGAGAGGGCCTTTGATTCTCGGATACCGATCTGGCTTTCCAGAAGGGGGAATCTGATTGTCTGTCGTGGCATTAGGAGCCCCGGACACAGACACACACATGGAACACACAAGAACGGACTTACTCGGAACGGTCTATATATCGGGGCGGGGAGCATTATCAGCCACAGTCCGGATACATGACACTGAAAGGTTGTGAGTTGAGGTACGAACCAACCTGGACCATTTCCTTTTGAAGGATTGAGTTGGTATTAGTTTGTGTCCGCCTGCCAGAGCCGGGGAGAAGGTTACATACCTGCTGCTGAGCCCTTCTCGTACCCATTGTGTGAATATGAGGCTACTCGCGCGGAGGGATGATGTCAACCAAACAGGTCATCAAGTAAGAGCCAGGGGAGTGCGGCGATACTGCGGGGTGTTTCAGAGACACTAGAGCTCTTATTTTGTTCTCAGGGACCGAGACAAGTGTCGAGACCGTAGGTCAACAATTGGAACTAGATCAGTAACAATATTATTTCCACTGCTAGGTTTACAGCATCTGAGAGAGAGGTACTGGAGGCCCATTGCTTAGCTTCTCCAAAAGGCTGAAGCACATTCATAAATGGAACACACTCTGCGGGCGGTAATTTACCTGTAAGTTATTAGAGATATTTGTGTATAACAACGTATATTATATATATTACGATTTGCAAGTGCCCGCTTAGCCCGTTTAGGAGATCTTGGTTCTGTATTACCTTATCAATACGAACGTAATTTTGGGGGAATGGTTCCTCCAACTCTCGTTCATCTCAACCTCGTCCATTGCCTCTTCTCTTCCTCCTTCCCTACTTTCATCATTCCTTCCCATATCCAGCCCTCAACCTCGGTGCTCTCCCCCTTTCGACTTCTTGTTCCCATTTCTCAACTACGTCCATTCCTTCATCGCCCGCTGTTCTGTATTAATTGCTAGGCTACCTTTTCCGATCGGCTCGCCGTCAAATCCGCTGAAGAGTCTGACCTCAGTTTCATACAGTCGTCGCTGTTCGCATAAGTGCTATTGCAACCGAACCAGTTACCCTGCTTCACCCTTTTTAACATCAATAAGCGCCAAGTTTCGTAACTATGGCTGAACCAGAGGACGTCGAGGAAGATCTCTTCGCCGATTTGTATGTTGCTCCACCGTCACGTCGACTTATCTATCTAACCTACGTTGCTCTATAGGTACGACGCGGATGAGACGACGAACCAAACAGCCCCCACTGGGGGAGCACCGGTATCTTCCAACCCCATTCCCTCGGATACGCCTGCCCAACCTTCAGGAATTTCGGCTATTCAGTCCGTCGAAGGTTTCGGGAATGAGTCTGATAGCGGATTTGGCACTTACCCGACTCCTTCCTACGAAGGAGGATATCAGAATGGCAATACTTTGGACTCCGATTTTCACAACCATCCCACTGGCCCTGTAGGAGACTCAGAGCCTCAAGGAACTGGTATTAAGGAAGATGGGTAAGATTTTCTTTTCTTTTCTTTCCTTTTCTCCCTCCATTGGACGTACCCCTGAGTTCCGTGAAACCCCACATACGTTTTTACTTTTTTACTTGAGGCCATCGATGGTACGGAGCCGATGCTATCCACTGGCTCTTTGGAGACGTTTGGGTGGCGGGAAAACTCATGACTGCATTATCATGCAACATTGTTCATTCGGTGTCTTATATATACGATACATGAAGGACTATCTACGTATGGCCAAGATAGTGGTCCACGGAGGAAATTTGTTGAGGCTTGAGAAACTTGCTGGAGCGGAAAGACCGGATAGATGGACATGGCTTTGCGCTCGGGGTCATGGGCTTTGGTGGGAATGGCCATTTGGCACTGGAAGGCACGAAGCCGTGTCCGCCTTGGATGAACAGCAATGCAACCAGACAGATTCCGATATGGTGGAAGTCAGGTTCCTCTTCTAGCAGTCAAGTCTAGTGGGGGGGTTTTAAACCAGCGAGTCAGCGTCAGTACGGCGATAATGGGAGGCATTTATCGAAATCCTAACTATGCCGGCCCCAATCTCGAGCGACTATAGTACAGCTGATGCTATATAACCTCTTTTCGGTTTATGATATAGCGCCGCCAGCGAGGAGTAGCAGCCCCAACTAACTGGTTGGGCGTTATCGATCAGTTTACCTAGCTTCGGACTCCATAGACAGCAGGCAGAGATACCTTGGTCAGTGAGACAGAAGAGAACAATTGACTTATTCCGCCGGGCATACCTCTTCATTGTGATCTGTCAGCCGCAGGCTCAACCGAACCCTGGAGCCCGTCGTTTGGCTTTCAAACTACTGGGGCGACCTGTAATCCAGTGGTCGTGAATAAAACCGAAATAACACCTCCGACGCTGGAACACGGACTCTACCAATTTACAACGTTGATGGACATTTGCTAGAAACATTGGCTGAAACCCTTTGGGGCTACGTTGTTGGCTGTTCGGTTCCCGGAGTCGTTTTACCGGCGTCATTTTAAGCTCATGGACCATGAATAACTAAGTGGTATACATGAAATTGGGCATCGAAGCTGATATAATATCTATTTCTCCGACGTCATGGACCATCAGCTGTTGCTAGTCACATATTAGGCCCAGCTGCTGTTATTTGCTCTTTCTTTTGTTTAACTCGCTTTGACATTCTTGTATTATGGGAATCGCATTTACTGATGTGCTGTTCACCATAGGAAAATGTTTATTGGTGGATTGAACTGGGAGACAACAGATCGTATGTACCGTCCGTTGGCTAGTCTAGCCTTTTACAAGAGGTATGAATATTCTAACCTCCTAGGCTAGAATCTTTGAAGGAGTATTTTTCGCAGTTTGGAGAGGTCCAGGAGTGTACCGTCATGCGTGACAGTGCCACAGGTCGGTCTAGAGGGTTCGGCTTTTTGACTTTCAGAGACCCGAAGACTGTGAACACTGTGATGGTCAAGGAGCATTATTTGGACGGAAAAATAGTAAGGCCTGCGCATTTTGTACACCATCCTGTTACCAGCCGACCTATGCTCACGTGAATTCCAGATTGATCCGAAACGTGCCATTCCACGTGATGAGCAAGAGAAGACAAGCAAGATATTCGTGGGAGGTGTAAGTCAAGAAGCAACTGAACAGGATTTCAAACAGTTCTTTATGCAGTTTGGTCGTGTGATTGATGCGACCTTGATGATTGACAAGGATACTGGCCGTCCTCGTGGGTTTGGCTTCGTCACGTTTGATAGCGAGGCTGCTGTAGAAGCAGCTCTTTCGCGCCCGCTGGACATACTCGGTAAACCCATCGAAGTTAAGAAGGCTCAGCCTAGAGGCAACTTACGGGATGATGGGGATCGTGGACGTCGTGGTAGAGACTTCAGGGATGGCAGTCAGGGTGGAACCGACAGCTCCCCCCAGCAAACAGGTGCCCAAGGACAAGGCGGTATGCCCGCTGGACTCACTCCCCAAATGATGGCTCAGTATTGGCAACGCATGCAACAGTACTTTGCTTTAATGCAACAGCAAATGGCAGTAGCTGCCGCTCAAGGTCAAGGAATGGGCGCGATGGGGATGGGTGGCATGAATCCTGCTCTGATGCAACAGATGCAAATGAAGCAGATGCAGCAGATGCAAATGGGGAATAATCCCCAGTCCCCGACCATGAGCCCTCCGGCACAGAGCCCGACGCCCCAGACAATGCAGAACATGATGAACCCCGCCATGATGCAACAAATGCAACAACAGATGCAGGGTCAGGGCCAGGCAAATAATATGGCTGGACAGATGGGTATGAGCGGCAACGGTGGCGCAAACATAAATATGGGTAATAACTACACCTCACAAGCTAGAGGAGGACCCGGTTATAATGCTCACGAACAAATAGCATTTGAGCAACAAAAGTATGAGCAGCAGCAGGCTCGGCGGGCCATGGAAAACCGAGGCTTTTCTCCCTATCAGCAGGGCGGACCGACCTCGTGGGAGGGTATGTACGACGAAGTGCCCCAGCCCAACATTCCCACGGGGCCTCAGGCCATGAATCGATCTGGTAGCATTGGACGTGGTACGCAGTTGAATTCTTTAATTTGCTGCTTGTATTTAGCTAACTTGGACATAGGTCAAACTCCGCAACCGCAAGGTGCTGCACCAGCAAACGCCCCGACCGGTCCCAAGAACGCTGGGAAGCCTGGTGCAAACTACCGTGGAGGAGGACGTGGGGGCCACAGGGGCTTTCATCCCTACGCGCGAGGCTAGACTGTTGGGCTTGAAGAGAAAGAGCATGATGGCCAGTCTTTGGCGTTGTATGTTGTCCGCTGAATACGATTTCTTTTTTGCCATTCATTTCGTTTACCTTCAGTTTTGTCCGCCTTCTATTTTCCAGGTTGCCCGTCAAAAGACTCACTTCACCTCCTTGCTTACTTGCAAGCTTAAGTATACTAAGTACGAGGCTAGTTTTGCGGAGATATTGGGGTGATGACAGTAATATGCTGAATAGTCCTTACCAAGCGATAGCTTGGTTTCCGTCGACAAATAAAAATATCATTCTAATATTATGAAGTATTTCAGTGAAGTAACAGCCCAAGCTGGGCTGTAAGTTGGTTAGTTAGTAAATTACTTAGTTAACCAAGCACAACTACGTAAGTTGCAGTGCTACTTAAGCCAAGCTAATTAAATATTAATCAACTGTCCTATATACGTATTAGTCTCCTTCGTAAGGACAAAGGTCTTTGCAATCCCCACTCATACGGGCGAATTAAAAAAAAAAAAAGAAAACGTTGCTAAACCGAACATAACAGGCGGGATTTAGTTAGCAACATACAGTAGTTATAGCAAATACATTTTCCCTGCCACTGACAAATAAAACATTCTGGATAAGCCACTTTTTCTACAGAATTGCCCATCGGCGAACTGACGGCTATTGGTCACCTGATGCTCCTTCCTCGCCACTAATAAAATAGATAATGCGATAAGATTGCGGAACGGAACTACTCTTTTGCGAGCGTAGCCTCTTTGATCAACAAAGCTCAGTTATCCAATGTTCAACTTTGAATACATTTGCCAAAGGCTTGTACCTGTCCCCACTCCGCTTCCAGGGCCCTGGTCAACATGGCGTCCGGAAGAAAGGATTTTTTAAGCCAACCGGCGCCCGAAAACTACGTTGCTGGTCTTGGCCGAGGTGCGACCGGCTTCACCACTCGCTCGGATTTGGGTCCTGCAAGAGAGGGTCCCACCCCCGAACAAATCCAGGCAGCCCTTGCAAAGAGGGCACAATTGCTTGGGGCTGCACCTCCGACGGCATATGGCGCATCTCGAGAAAAGGGGAAAGGAGAAGAAAAACCGGCGGAGGAGGAAGAGGATGAACGCTTCCAGGATCCCGACAACGAAGTTGGTCTTTTTGCGTACGGCCAGTTTGACCAAGAAGATGACGAAGCGGATCGGATATACAGAGAAGTAGATGAGAAGATGGATAGACGACGAAGAGTACGAAGGTCAGTAATGTCTAGACCCCTTTTCCTTTGCTATGAAATGATTTGTTCATCGGGGTCATTCCCGGTTTCTTTGGACAGATGACCGATTTTGTACCTTCGCAACCTCTAGGGAAGCTCGAGAACGTCAGGAGAGGGAAGAGTATGAACGCAAAAACCCAAAAATCCAACAGCAATTCGTCGACTTAAAGCGCTCCCTCGCCTCGGTATCCGAAGACGAATGGGCAAACCTCCCCGAAGTCGGTGATCTTACGGGTAAAAACAGGCGAACGAAGCAAAACCTACGTATGCAACAGCGCTTTTATGCAGTACCTGACAGTGTTCTCGCGAATGCGAGGGAGTCCGCCCAGTTCGACACAACTGTTGCGGAGGATGGTTCACAAACCGAAGCCCATACGGCGGACGGGGCGGACGGAATGATAACAAATTTTGCCAATATTAGTGCTGCTCGTGACAAAGTCCTTCAGGTCAAGCTCGACCAAGCAGCTATGGGTTCCTCTGGAGACGCCGCTTCTGGTAGTGCCACCAGCATCGACCCGAAGGGCTATCTTACCAGCCTTACACAATCAGAACTTAAAGCGGGTGAAATTGAAGTTGGTGATGTCAAACGCGTGCGTGTTTTACTAGAATCGGTGACGAGAACCAACCCTAAGCACGCTCCTGGATGGATTGCACTGGCGCGCTTGGAAGAGCTGGCTGGGAGAATCGTCACTTCCCGGAATATCATTGCGAAAGGATGTGAATTATGCCCGAAGAGTGAAGATGCATGGCTGGAGAATATTCGATTGAATGAAGGCCACAATGCCAAAATTATCGCTGCAAATGCTATAAAAAATAATGATCGATCAACTCGACTCTGGATCGAAGCTATGAAGTTAGAGTCAGAGCCACGGGCGAAAAAGAATGTTCTGAGGCAGGCGATTCTCCACATTCCCCAGTCCGTCACTATTTGGAAAGAAGCTGTCAACCTAGAGGAAGACCCGGCGGACGCACGCCTTTTACTAGCTAAAGCGGTCGAAATGATACCTCTTGCTGTTGAGTTATGGCTTGCTCTTGCACGCCTAGAGACCCCTGAAAATGCACAGAAGGTTTTGAACGCTGCGCGAAAGGCTGTCCCGACAAACCATGAGATTTGGATTGCTGCTTGTCGACTTCAAGAGCAAATGGGGACTTTTAACAAAGTGAATGTGATGAAGCGAGCAGTTCAATCATTGGCAAAAGAAAATGCTATGTTAAAACGGGAGGAGTGGATAGCTGAGGCTGAAAAGTGTGAAGAAGAGGGAGCAATTCTCACATGCGGTGCCATCATTCGGGAGACCCTCGGATGGGGCTTGGATGAAGATGACGATCGGAAAGACATTTGGATGGATGACGCAAATACTAGTATTGCTAGAGGGAAGTATGAGACGGCTAGGGCTATATATGCGTATGCCTTACGCGTATTCGTCAACCGTAAATCAATCTGGGTTGCAGCAGCAGAGCTTGAGCGCAACCATGGCACGAAAGAGGGACTGTGGCAGGTCCTTGAAAAGGCAGTGGAAGCTTGTCCCCAAAGCGAAGAGCTATGGCTACAACTTGCAAAGGAGAAGTGGCAGTCTGGCGAGATCGATGAGGCTCGGCGAGTGCTTGGCCGGGCGTTCAATCAAAACCCCAACAACGAAGATATCTGGCTTGCCGCCGTCAAGTTGGAAGCTGACGCACGGCAAACAGAGCAGGCTCGAGAACTTCTTGCGACAGCTCGGCGCGAAGCAGGAACGGACCGCGTGTGGATCAAGAGCGTTGCCTTTGAGCGGCAATTGGGTAAAATAGACGATTCCCTTGATTTGGTCAACCAGGGTCTCCAACTGTACCCGAAAGCCGATAAACTCTGGATGATGAAGGGCCAAATCTATGAGTTACAGAATAAACTCCCACAAGCTCGCGAAGCATACGGAACGGGTACTCGAGCGTGCCCTAAATCCGTCTCTCTCTGGTTACTGGCATCAAGACTGGAAGAAAAGGCTGGTGCAGTGGTCAGAGCCCGGTCAGTTCTTGATAGAGCCCGTCTAGCGGTGCCAAACAGCCCGGAGCTGTGGACAGAGAGCGTACGAGTCGAGCGCCGCGCAAATAATATCTCTCAAGCCAAGATTGTAATGGCCAAGGCATTGCAGGAGGTCCCATCATCTGGGTTACTGTGGAGCGAAAGTATCTGGCATCTCGAACCACGTGCACAGCGCAAGGCTCGAAGCCTGGAGGCAATTAAGAAGGTGGACAACGACCCTATCTTATTCATCACAGTGGCACGAATTTTCTGGGGAGAACGTCGCCTGGAAAAGGCAATGACTTGGTTTGAAAAGGCCATTGTGTCGAATAGCGATCTTGGTGATGCGTGGGCTTGGTATTATAAGTTCCTGCTGCAGCATGGTACAGAGGTACGTTGTTTGCTTCTCTTTCTTTCCGCATCTTTGAGCAAGCCTCATTAACGTGTCCTTGTTGACAGGAAAAACGAGCCGACGTTATTTCGAAATGTGTACTGTCCGAGCCCAAACACGGTGAACTTTGGCAATCGATAGCCAAAGACCCAGCCAATGCCTACAAGTCCACCGAGGATATTCTCAGATTGGTTGCTAATAGTCTGATCCAATGAAAGGCTTTTTGTCTGATGGTTTGAGGCTTCGTTTTCTTTTAGACGCGCTTATAATGTACTGTTTTTCCTACCAGCATAAGTCATAATCCGGAATGGGCGTTTCGGGATTGGAGTAAACGGGAGTCTAATGAACGATATTACGAGTTATTTTTCCATAAATATTTCCACATATCAAATCATTCAATACACTGAACATGCCTTTTGGGAGAAATAACTCTGTACAGGTCAGACACTATTTTATTATCTACAAAGGGTGTACATGGGCCAAAGCGCAGCTTATCCACGACCTAAAAGAACTACTCCATACTCGTGAACATCCATGATGATAAATCCAGGGACTAGCCTCATAGCTTGTCCCACCAAGCCGAACGGACACACCACCCGAGGCGTAATGCGAAAATAGCCATACAAGTAGACACCAAACATGACAACTGGGCGTGGGGTAAAATAACAGACCAGTTTACCTCCATAGGTATATATATAATACAATACGGATAGTGCTTGTTGTAAATAACGAAATTTGACGGTAGGGATAACGTACTGTTGAACAGCATACCTAAATCGCGCCCCAAATACCGTTTGCGCTGCCAAAAGATATATGACCCACTAAAACATGGTTATCGAGTAGTCGCTGCGCGTCCGGAATTCTCGTATTTGCTATTCCAGTTTGCCTCCCATTTGTGACGCGCTGGCTGGCACGAGAGTGAAAAACATAAGACTCTTGCACTCGCCATTCCGACCTGTATTATCAAGGAACGCTGGTGGGAATGGAATGACTGCGAAAAAGGGAAACAAAAACAACAAAAAAAATAAATCCAGCCCTGAAAATGCAATAAGTGACAAGCCATATTGGTGGCTTACCTCTAAGACTCCCAGGACGCCATTCGCCTCTCAGGTGGTGTTGCTGCAGCCATTGACCAGTATCTGGACTCAAATTGGTAACATAAAAGGGGATAAAAATATGATATAGAGGGGGAGTGGGGGTATAAAGGCCTCAAAAAGGGCAAAAAGGTTGGGGGTGAGGAAACTAGTTATGAGGCCATTGATAAGCACTCATCTAGTAGAGTGTCGAGTTGGTCGTGGTCGCCCAGCGTGGCGCCCTCCCAGCCTAAATCTATTTCATCCACCTCCATTTCGTCGATCACACTCTGAGGGTTCGTGTCATCTATATCAGTGTGCTCTCGCTTGTCCGCTTCTAATTCGTCTTCGAGATAACCTCCCATGATCTGGTCCACAAGTAGAGGCATGTGACTCAGAACTCCGCTTCCGATTTCTAATGACAATCGTAGATCCCGCACACCAAGAGCGCTACGAGTGCTGGCTTCCTTGGCCTCGACGGGAAGCAACCCAGTGGCCCCGTCCTTGGCAATCTCACCACGGGTGAAAGCCAACTCTTCCCGCTCAAGTTGTTGCTTATATGACCGCTTCATCATGCCATTGATAGTGCCAGAAGGACCATTGGATCTTGTTCGGGAAAAGACAACTGATAGAACCTCCTTGACGAAAGTTTCCGTTGCTATTGCCATGAACTCGGCACAAGCCACACCTGCACCGTTAACGACTGACTCTTCGTAACAAATAGGCGTCATGCGCGCGTGTATTGATTCAGAATCTGGGAACTCGCCGGTCTCCGACGCCAACGGCTGTGCGTATCGCTTTCGAACTTCTAGTTCCCAATCTATACCAGCAATCATGTCGATAAGCCTCATGCTGGAGAAAAAAGCGAATATACAACGTAGGCTTACTTGTCATGTTCAAGCCTCCCGCACTTGCTGGGACTTGGCTTGGTAGTTTTATCTGTTTGGCCAAATGGTACTCTTCCAATTCATTGCGTCCTGTCTCATGAGGATCGCGCTGGCGGGAAACACATAAGTTAGAGATATTTGGTTTATGCAATGCGGGCACAGCCGGGTATCACTGGTAACATACCTCTGGAATTGCTTTAATCCGTCTGCGATCTCTTGGAGGCAATTGCATGATCTCCGTTTTGAGTCGCTGCTCGGCGGCATCCCCAGAAGTCGGTTTTGACACGACAGAGGGCTTGTCGTTCGCCGATACCCAATTAGCGACCCCATGATCGGGAAGATCCCTTGTGAGGTTGCCAATTATCGCGCATACGAAATTGTTATGTAGGTGTTCGATTTTCTGGTCAGCACATATTATCTGATCGATGCGCGAGGCGAGTTCATCTTGATTTAGTTGCCCTGTGGAACAAAGAGAGACATTCAGTACACCGAAGAAGTAAGGTGAAGGTAAGGAGATCCATGTTCAGGGTCACAAACCTAATAGAAAGAGCGTGGTGGCTTCCTTGTACTCAGTCCACCTGTGGCCGATAGCGGCTTTCAGTTCCGTGTAAATAGGCTCCAGATCCAGTCGCGGCACTGATATCAGGGCTTTGGTAGATTTAGGTATTATTCCATTTGGAGCCGTGGTTTTCGATGAAGTGACGGTGGCAGATGCAGAGTCCGTTCGACTCAGAGCCGCTGGGTCGATCTGCATGGTCGGAGATGTCAGGCTCGCGGAGGCGCGACGGACTGCGCGAAGCCGAGAAGGCGGACAATCAGAGCTTCATGAAGGGAAAGACATCCCAAAATACGGAATATGAGGGGTATTATGCAGGAGATTATGGAAGAGCGCAAAGATCGATGGACCCGAAGGCGGGAGGATTGCAGGGATGGAAGAAGTTGGACGTGGTTGATGGAAGGAGGTCCGAAATAATTCTGGGCCTTGTTCATGAACTTGAGTTCGCTCCCCGCCTCCATTAAATTCATACAATGGATAATTCACATAATTCACAAGGCACGACAATCCGGATTAATTGTAGATACTCCAACATTAAACACTCTGCCTACACAGGAACAGCTGAAGAAATGGAATTGGATTATTTTAATTCTACGGATATAGTTTGACTGCATCTTCATCAAGAACCCCGAAGAGTCGTCCGATTTCCTCTGATATCCCCTCAATCTCCTTCGACAACTGCCCCGTCACCAGCACTGTTTTCTTGAAGTTAGACGTATCCAAGATATCAGCGATCGGTCAACACATACCGTAGGCGTAAAGCAGCGAGTAATCCTCGTCCGTCGACGACCGGGAAACTTCCAGGTCCTTGCGATAGTGGAAAAGGCGAGCAAGAAGGCGGTCTCGCGCATTCTCAACATTTGGTAGGTTATCATTCAGGGGATACTCTAACTTCATGGAGGAAGCCATGACTCACAGGGAAGTTAGTTTAAGAGCATGCAGACTATTTGGCACAACTCACAAGATAGTAGATGGCTAATTCGGGATGACAGATGCCGTCTCTCTGGGCCTGTGTAGTCAAGAATGGCCAATTCCCCGTCCGAAGAAGTCATATTCTTGGCCAACTCCAGATTCATGGCAACGAATGAATCCACCATGCTCCGCGTTCGCCTAAGGAGATTGGTGTAGACAGTATCTGGGAACGCTTGCTTGAGCTGAAACTCGGATCGTGCAGAAACCTGAAGAGATTCCAAATGTGCTAGAAACCTCTCAACCTCAAGCTTATCCCTGGCACTCACGAATTCAGTTGATTGCTTGAAACGGTGTGTTGCAGATAGTGGGCCGGATTTCCAGATTAAACTCATCCGAAGCCATAACAAGGCGAGGCCGTCCTTTAGCCTTTTACGTGCGCTGATGGGCCATATAAATCTCGTAATGATGATGCCCCAAATACAACCGGAGAAAACCGCCACAACTCGATGGAGAGCGATTTCAGTGATGATAGGGCTATCCCCGCCCTCATCTTTGTCACCTTGCCCGTCTTGTTGGGTAAGTGAATACGCGTATAAGACGGAGAGATTGTATGTAAGCATAATGAAGCGACCCATTGGGCCTTGACGTTTAACTATTATGATGTAGGACGTCCAAATGGCCATGAGCAGGCCCAGAAATGCGAGAGCGAACACATTACCGGAAGTGATATACCAAGAGAGGATGGCACACACCGCACCGAGGCATGTACCAAGAAAGCGTGCATACCCGGTGGTGTTAGACGAGCCGATTGTCATGGAGCAGACTAGCATGTATGATAACAGACCCCATTCTCCTCGCCAATGTGAGTAAAATGGTCGAGTCGATGGGATGAAGGAAGGCAAGGCATATAGGGCTGCGCCAGTACCGACCTTGATCGCGAATTTCATGTCATCTCTTCGGAACACGCGGATGGATTTCCAGATTTGGTATCCAAGCCTGACCTTTGCGGGCGGCTTTCCAGGATTAGAGACATCACCTTGAGGGTGTGACGGGATATGCATGGCTTGAGAAGTAGTGGCTCCCCTTAAGGGGTTCGACTCAATCAGCGATTGGTCTGTATTTGGTCAGTAAAGGATCGTTGCTCAGCACTAAAAGTTCAGTATTATGGGGCTACTTACCGGAGGAGTTTCGCCTTCGCTCAGGTTCGCTTCCGCGCCAAAATTTCAGCCAGTTCCAAGATTTCCCATGAGGTCGCTCTTCAGACTCGAGCTGTAGTTCATCTAGAATGTCGAGTAAGTCTTTTAGTTGTTCGCCAAATTCTAACAGCGAGAAGCTAAAATGCCCACAGCTAGCGGCAACTTCTTCCAGGTCTGCTTCAAGCTCCACAGTTTTAATCTTGAAGATTTCCTTCTGCCGGTATATCGTTTTTAGTGCTTCCTCTCGAGATGCTTTATAAAGTTCAAGAGCACGGTCGAGACTGGTGCGGAATCTGCTATCGACAGAAACTTTGTAATGCCGATCTGGCGCAAAAGGTACTTCCTTAAATATTTCCTTCAGCGTAAAAGCGAGGGATCTCTGTTTATTGTCAGTGCATGACCTACATGACAGTACCATACCAAATGTTTGCTGCCAGACTCACCATAGAAGGCCCCAGGTGGTCTATGAAAATGGCGAATATATCAGCAGGAAGAAGGGTTAGACTGGCTTCAGATTCAGAAGTCTGCCTACGATTTAGACTTGGTCTAAAGATGTCAGGTTCCGATGGTTCTTCTTTTGGTCTCTTGTCAGTCGGTTGAAGGCAAGCCTGATCTTCGGGCATTGACCAAGGGCTCATCGGCCTGCGAGGGTCAGTTCTGCGATAGGATGTCTCTATATTCGGAGCCCGCGGCGGCTCAGTAGGCTTGGTCTGTTTGAGGAGCTGAAATTGTAATGAGGCAGCACTGCGTAAGCCTCCCATATTATGGGTGATATCTTGTACCCAGCGAACAAGATTTTTCTCCAATCGGTACTCCTTCTCAGTGCCCCCAAAAAAGTGTTCAAGTTTAGCTTCTTTGACGAGGGTGTCAAGCTGGGCGTAGGCTTTTTTATGCCGAGCAGCGGCATCAACAAATTCTGTGGCCTGAAGCTCCTCTTCTGAGCCACTCAAGAAGCTCTCTGTAATAAGAGCTAGCATAGTCGCCATGGACTCAGTCACGCTGGTGAGATTGGACCGCAACTTCTTTCTCGCGGAGATAGGAAAAATGAGGAATGAAACGGCCATAGTAGCACCGACACCCATGACAACCATCTTCAAGACTTGGGAAATTTTTGCAAACGACAGATCGCCAGCTTGAACCGCGCCTTCTTTCGTTAAGACACTAATCGTGGAGAGCGAGGCCAAAGAGCACGCAACATTGACAAGAGGATCGCTTAGCCTTTGTTTCGTCCATCCAATAAACCCCAATCCACCCCCACAGAAAACAATAAGAACTATCGCGTGTCCTAGTGGGAGCAAGTCCAATGTATCTTGGAAGAACATCTCAACGCACATACTAGTGACTGAAATGAAGGCCGTGTAGATAAAGGCCAGGAACGCACAGATCAACGCCTTGAACATACTACCTTGTGATCTTGCTGGATGAAAGTAAACTGTTATGGTCGCGACCATATGCTTGCCATCTTGGTGACCGAGAAACGCTGCCAGGACTGGGACAAAGGTCGCCAGAGACCCAAGCAAATAGGCTAGGCTGCACTTTAGGACACCTATTCCAAGCTCGGATGAAACAAACTGCCGCAACGAGTGACAATTATCCCGAAGCTTTGCATTTACACGTGAAATGAAGCCCTTTGGAGAGGGGAGAATCTCTCCGGAGAGGAGTCCCCGTCGTTCATCGGCATTATTATTATTGGAATCGAGGCGCGGATTCCGTAGTTGTACTAGGCCTTTGAGACGTTGGCCAGTTTTCGGGAGAATAAAAGTCGCCTGGCGGAGCTGGAATCAAATATGAAGTTATTACCCAGATGCTTCCACGCTAAATAGATAGCTAGTGACGTACCTTCTGAGAGCGGAGGAAGCGTTGCGTGTTGGCCGATGAGTTCCCAGACGCAGACATGTTTTCATCTCATCTCTGCCGACACTTTCATAGCTCGCTACAGGTCAGGGATTGGTGCTGCTGTCGATGGTGAAGAAAGTGCGCGTTGGAGCGACTAACGACATGGTCGGAGCTTTGATCAAAGTTCCGCCCAGCCAAAATATAAGTAGTCGCTTAATGCTACGGGGAAAAGTGCCTTGGAGCACGCACCTTAGAAAGACAACTCTATACCTAATGCGCACACTATAAATGCCTATATCCTTGTCGATGACTATTTCAATCCCTCAACCTGCCATACCTTAACCGCAGCATCAGCTCCAACAGAAGCGATCTTGGACCCCCCAGCAATCCAAGCGACACCGTTGACACCCTCTTTATGGGCGTTGGACACCTGCAGCCAGTCACCCGGAGTGGTCAAGCTCCAAGCAAAGACGTTGGTGTCCAGCGCCCCACTAACTATGTGGTTTCCGTTGTTGTTCCATGCAATGGAGGTGATCCGAGCTGTGTGTGCCGTCCAGCGGTCATTCACCAAGCTGCCATCGGCAACTTTGTATACAAGCACACGTCCCCGTGAATCACCGATAGCTAAGTTAGAGCCATCAGGCGAGAATGCCAGATATGATACCGCGTCCCGCGATGCCTTGATATCTCGCTTCGGAATCAGGCTAGACCCAGAAATGTCACAAAACTGAACGGTGGAGTCATCTCCCCCAACCGCCGCCACGCTGCCATGAGCTGCCACAGCAGTAACGGAAAATTTCGCCTTGAAATCGCCCACCTTCTGTCCATCCTTGTGAATCTCAACACCTTCGGATGTTGTCACTAAAACGGTCGCGTCTCCGGCGGCGACCCCTTTGGGCTGTCCAGATAGCTTGGAAGAGCTCCCTGTATACGTTTTGGCGCCGATGTCTATAGAACGAATGGTATCATCCCAAGCAACGCTGTAGATCCTCCCAGTGCCTTCTTGAGTCGGTACCAGGCCTGCGACATACGACGAGGAACGATCTCCTTCGATTTCCTCCGCTTTTCCCGTAGGGACATCCCAGCCGCATACCCTTCCATCGGAGCTTCCTGTCCACAGTGTTTCGCTTCCACGGCCCGACCCGAACGTAGTCAAAGATGTGATATTCTTCTGATGGCCTTGAATAACTTGCCTCGGGTTAGGCGTCCCTTCAACAAGATAGTTAAGATCGCCGCTCAACGACAAACTGATAAGGAGGCCATCACTCCTTCCTGGAGGCCAAACCACACCGACTTGCTGGTCTTGAACATTTGAATTTCCTTCTCCGCCAATGTTCCAGCTCTGGGTGACTTTGCCAGCCTCTGCATCCCAAATTTTGACGGTCTTATCAGCACTTGCAGTAACAAATTTACGCGAATCTTTCGACCATGATACTGCGAAAATGCTTCCTTTATGTTCGCCCTCTCCGATCTGGCCCTTGGCCTCGCCGGTTTTACCATCATATAACCAAATCCTCCTATCAGCGCCAGCACTGACCAATGTCGAGCCGTCGGGGCTGAAGCCAACACCGTAGATATAATTGGTATGCTTGTCGCGGATTCCGGTGTTAAACTTGAAGGGCGCTCCATGGTAGAAAACCACATTCCTATCGTCACCGGCTGCAGCGGCGCGCAGTGGTCGCTGTTGGCGAATCGAAACAGTATTAATCTGCTGAGTATGCCCGCGAATTTCACCCACGGTATTTCCGCTATCCCAAGTGATACAATGACCGTATCTTTGCTTTCCATCACCGACGGCGATGATACGCTGTGAATCCCCGTCCCAGGCGAGATCGTTGATTCGACCATTGACAATGCTGTATTCGCCCTTGGTGATTCCATCACCCATACAATCCCAAACTCTGACTATACCACTAGCATCTCCGCTAGCAACATAGAATCCAGATGGTGCAAAGCGTGCGACCGTAGTCTGCACCTTATGCTCGGTGTATTGCCGCGCTAAAGCAGGCTCATCGATTGAGCGGAGGAAGATCGATTTATTTGACTGTTAGGGGAATCGTCTTTTGAATCAGCTAAATGTCCTTGCATTTCTACTCTCTCTTGCCACAAAATTATGCAGCAGAGCTATTATGACATACCGCATACGCGAGGCGCTCGCCTTTAGCATCCGACGATAGCTGGGTGGCTTGACCCCTCATAGTGGAGGGGCTGGCAGCCCAGATAGACTCTAAGATCGGGGATTAGCGAAGCACGTTGCAACAGGGTTAGCAGAAGCGACGTACCATTTGTGATAGCCATGGTTGACAGCTATATGGGATGATGGGGAGAACAGGGTTGAATGATTTAAGATGAAGTAGGGTGAAGAAGGCGGGGAAGTTCAAGACAGAGGGAGCTCTGTTTACCCGCTCGTTGGTGCCTGGCCCACGGGTTGGATCGTCACTGTGCACAGCCAGCAGCATGTTTCGAGGGATTAAATATATTTGAATTACGAGATATGGATCAGGCGCCTGAGGCGAAACACTTGTACATTGCTTAATTTTACTGAATTTATATCGGATAAATTACATCTTCAATTTCCATGGTCTGGATATGGTTGATATAGTACATTTCTTCCTGGTGATGCCAGCATTCATCATATGATAAGAAAGAGGAGATAGAAGAAGTTATAATGTGAATCCAACGAGAAAAACGCCGGATAACATATCGGGTGGCGTTCAGAAGAGCTCTATCATCTCTTTTCTTAGAAACCACCACCGCCTTCCGACTTCCATTTAAGCTCAGCGAGGATCTCTGGGTGACGATGTACGCTTGGCATAAGGCCAACGCCGATTGCCCTTCGAATCGCCTTTGCAATTTTTCGTTGGTTCACACCACGTAGACCCGTCAGATTCCTGTGCTTTATGCGCCCCATCTCGGTCATGTACTCGGACATGATGGTAAAGTTCTGTAGGTAGAGAGAAACGGGTTAGTTGATATCCTTGACCTTGCAGTTTTGTTTCCATAAAACAAATGCGTACCTTGTAGACTGTTAAAGGGTTGAGGTTGACGGCATCAAAGACGTCAGTAGTCGGAGGGCTGCGCTTCCTCCACTTCATCATCTCGGCTGGACTAAGGTCATGAGGGGCGTAGATATCGCCGGATTTCCACTCGCGTGTCTGGAATTTCTCTATAGCTCGACTGTCGGCCTGCGCCCTCTGGTCCTCGATGAACCTTTGGCGGTTTGCTCGTCGCGACGGCAATCGTCCGGAAGCTGAACGAGGGACGTGTTAGTAATAGTGCATGGAATATATTCACTGTCGAACATAACACGGAATGGATATTGCACTAACCAGGTCCTGGTTTAGAAGGTCGAAGGAGACTTTCCAAGGCATTTGTAGAGCTGGAAGACGTTGAATTAAAGCGACACGTCGACTGCACAGCTGGCGCAAAAGTCCTTAGTGGAGAGAAAGAAAATATATGCAGAGACATCTTGTTTACTCGGCTCTTAAGCACGAGATGTTTAATGGGGAAAGCGAAGTAAATGGAGTCGGGAAGTTCATCGGAAGCTGTACAGGAGAAACTATCGGATTTCTGCTCGGCGCGCCAAGAACTCCGCATGAAGAATTTCCAAGCTGGAGCTTCCTCTCCCCGTTCCACGCCGTCCACCTCACTGTCTCTGCTCGGCTCTTCTGTGTCTCCTCTTAATATCCGATTGGATTTACTCACGAGATCGCAGCTACACCGCTGGATCTATCTACATCCAATTGGAGCCGACATTGTTCAAAAAGCGATTGCGCCGATTCAATCCATTCGGGTGGCGACCAACAATAAGCATCAGCTCTTTCGTCCAACATGCAGTCCCAGCTTACACGGAGAGTCTTCCGAGCTATTATCAACAATGAGCCTTTATCATCGACCCACTGTCGGAATCGTTGCTTACATACCGTCCGACAGTACCGACCTAGGAGGGTAACCCCTGGGCCATCTTACGTTCAACGACGTGGGTTGTTCGCTTTCAATTTCAACCCCCCTACAGCCCCTCCGTCATCCACGTTACCTTCTGAGGCCGGATTAAAACAAATGAGAGACTTGTTTGTATCATTAAGGAGAAAAGATAGAGAGCCAGAGAGCGAGGTTCTGGCCAAGGCTTTCCAAGAATTCTTCGAAACACGGGCGGGAGAACCGGGAGTTATAACTCAATTTCAGGCGCAATTGTTCAGCACTACATGGTATTATTTACAAGCCCATGAGAGTGACCTGGAGCCAGAGGATTGGCAAAGGGTTTTCTCGGATGAGAGCCTCGAAAACGTGTTGGAGGTGTTATCTAAAGCTGAGTGTTTACCGTATGCGCGTGGCATAATACGAGCCTTTGCCCGCTCTGTATTTCTTGCGCGAAGCCAGCATCCCGAGTTTCCCGGGAACAGAAGTAGCCTGCTTGCCATTCTCGCCTATATTGATATCCAGGCCCTCTATGGTGATCCGAATGAGGCACACCAAACAGTGGAGAAGTTTTGGCGGAGATTACGGAAATTCAGTCCTTCGCCTTGGCTGACGGTTCTGAAAGGGTTTGCAGTGGTTGGTGATAGGCAACGGATTAAGCATATTGTCAAGAATCTCGACAAGAGTGACATTTCTTTCAATCCGGCCTCGCAGGAAGAATTGGTTCAATTCCTGATTAGGGAGGATTACTTAGATGCAGTCAAGCTGCTCTACGAATGCCCATTGTCTGGCAATCAAAAACCCAATCTATCGACAAAAATCGCAGTTACAAAGTATGCTATATTGAAAGCTAACACTGCCTGGGCGCAATCTATTTTCAAGTCCATTCTATCGCACCCCATCTCAGAGACAATTGGGATTCGACTTCTTTGGGATGCCTCTCAAGGGAAAAATGCGTTGCAAATTGCGGCAGTTGTTAATTCCTTGACAGCAAGGGAACCGGACTTGGGAGCATCCATTACAATCTCATGTGTGAACGACTTGATGGAGTATGCGAATTCCACCAAAAACCCGATGTTGGCTTCTGAATGTATGGAATTGGCCCCTGCATGGGGCCTTGTTCCCGATTCGCAAACCAAATTACTGCGTCTGGAGTCACGGATTCAGGCTGGTGATATCAAAGCTGTGTTAAAGTCTCTAGAGGAAATGGAGACCATAGAGCCAACGAAACCCAAAAATCTTCCTCTGATGAACAAACTCATTACAATGCTCTGCATTTCCAGACCTGATGAACCCATTTTCGATCACATCTCGTCTATTCTAGAGCCATTGCTTGAAAACAATGTGCGCTTAGAAGCAGAGACGCTCGCAGCAATAACCCACAGACTTCTTTACAACCATGACTTGGAAGCTCTTTCCGAGCTACTCCGGCCTCGCCTAGGTTCTTACGATACAGAAGAGAGAAGCAAGATTCGAAATGCATTGACAGACTTCATACAAGATCCCAAACAGGAAAGCGAGCCGGCCTGGGAAGCTTACATGCTGCTACGGCTCGCTTTTCCAGAAACTGGAGTTGGCATGCGAACCACAGTCATGGCCTCCTTCTTCCAAAGAGACCGAAGTGACTTGGCCTTCCTCGTCTTTGGACACATGCGCCAGGCCGAGAATTTCTCACAGCGACCAAAACCAGATACCTACGCCCGGTGCTTCCAGGGGATTGCCCAGACCCGGGACGCAAAAAATCTCGACCTAGTCCATAACATGCTCAAGCTTGACACCGAAGTCGACTTGAACACTCGCCTGCTCAATTGGCTAATGCTCGCATACGCAGAATGTGAAAAACCCGAGAAGAGTATGCAGATTTTCCGGGACATCCTCCAGTCCGAGGAAGGCCCATCGCAACGCACAATCCTTTTTTTCTTCAAGGCCTGCGAGAAACATCACAACGGTACGCATGAGGCAATGAAGATGGTAGAGAAGATGAAACTCCTCGATATTTCACTCGACCGCCGGTTATACACGGCCTACGTAGAGGCTCTGGCTGCACAGTGCGAATTCGACCTCGCCACAGAAGCAATGGATGCTATGAAAGAAGTGACGGGCTACCCTCCAATCTCGGCCACGTAAGACTATCTGCTCCCGCATCTATTGATGTCTCGTTTCCCTTGTTTATTCGCCCCTACACAACATTAATTTTAAACCAGAAGCGAGAAATATGGCTCTAACCAGTTGACATTAGAATCGGACACTTTTACAATGCCGTTCCATACCAGCACTGGAAAGATGAAGTCGAGAAGTGGGCCAAAGCTCATCATCCAGACCTCTGGGCCCAACTAAAGGAAGTCGAACGTGTGGAACATGAAGAGGGTCTCAAGTTCAAACTACCTAGGAGAGACTTGCCCAGCCTCTGATTAAATGTTTATGATGACCACGGGGCCCATCCGTCGTCATTCATATATATTAGCATACACTCTATCATATTCCTTGATATTAAAGCAATATTTTGGGTATAGAGATTTGAGGAGCACCCATGCAATTAGTAAATTATGATTATCAGGTTACATTGCCTCTGGGGCGGAAATATTCCTGAATCTTGACACACAACCTTTGTTGGTAATATCATTTCTCTCGCTATTGCTATGAACACACACGGTCTTATATCGAGATAATCATTAAAGTTTTAGTATCGTGATTTTTCTGTATTCCCAAACCGGAAAGCGGGTGTAAGGTCATTTTTTTTTTTTAAAAAAAAAAAAAGGAAGAAAAGAAAAGAAAAGAAAACACATTCGTAACGCTGCAAGTGTACATCATTGTGGGACCGAAGGGGTAGTTATGGAACAAAGGTAGCTTCAGCCCACTGTCTAAACAGACCTTTATGCTTGGGACTGTGCAAGTCTTTTGGTCATGCTGTAATTGATCTCGTTAGCAACATTCACTCGACAGAACAAGCACAGTGAATGATAACTTACAAGTTAAAGAACGAAAATTGGCTGGGTCCACTTCCGTATTCATAAACAAAGCGGCTGGCAAGGTGGCTACCGAAGATAGCCCGGAGATAGTTTTCAGGAACCTAGATAGTTTCTTTGTTAGTCACTTTTCCCAGTTGTCATATGGTGGTCCTAGACGTGCAACATGCAACTTACCCGGTCAAGGATTGTCTCAAGCCCGATCTTGTCTAGAAGCAGCTTGGGCAGGGCATCGTTGAGAACAGATCTGCGGAGCTCAACGTTATCCCACAGTTCTGTCTTCTGCAACTCTTCGTCAAGCTGAGTGATAGCCACACTAAGCCTGTCACTCAGGACACTGCGAGGGATCCCAGTCTGTTCATGTTCACGCCAAATTGCCTCAAACTCAAGGGTGGCATTCTCCTTAATGACTTCCTGAACCTGTTTGACGTAGGTGTTGTAAAACTCTGGAACGGTGCCATCTTCTCCAACACACATATTCTCCACGAATCCTGGGTCATCGAATGAAAGAGAAGCCAAGACTTCCAATGACGAGGAAGTCACGCCACCTTTGTTAGCAGAAGCATCTTTGAAAAGGATACAGCCGGCTTTCTCGAGACGAAGCTTGCTATCCTGAGTAATAAACAGATTGGCACCCTCAACGATGTAGGGTATAGTTGATTTGCCGTTCTCAATAAGCTTTCCAACGGTGGAGAGATCAATTGATTCAGGACGTCCACCACAAGGTACAAAGGTGTCATATGGTAGCTCCTTGCGAAGGTGGAACAAGTTTCGGAAAATCATTCCATTGTGGATAAGCTCTCCATTTGGTAGATGCACATTGCTCTCATCTACTAGTACCCGGTAGCCTTCGGGTGAGAGCTTGCTCACATCGAACTCGGAGATCGTTGTCCGCTTCTTCGCGAGTCGCACAAGTTCATCATGGTTAAGACCCTGAGGATCTACGATGACACCAGACCCGTCAACGATTGCGGTGTACTTCTCATTAGCCAGGAGAATCTCGTTTGAACCGAGGTCACCGTCGGGCCCACCAGTTTGCAATTTTCGGATAGTTGAAGGGTCAATGTTGAGTTTGCGATAGATTCCAAGGACATATTGGCGAACAGATTGAGTTGTCATTCCATATGTATCGTGAGGAATTCCACCCAAACGGGGGCTCTTTCCAGTGAAGAAAGACTTCCACCAAGGAGCGCCACGGTTGCGAGCATGCTCGGTAGCCCAATCGACCAATTCTGCCGTATTTTCGTCCGGGCCCATGAAAAGAATTTCATCCTTTCCGTGCAAGTCGACAATGGGATCCTTGATACCAGGGCTAACGGGTGGTAGAAGGAGGTCCAAGATACTGTCAATATACTTCTCAAAGGCAACACGAGCTTTATCTTGGTGGTCCACGTCTAGAAGGATTACTCCTTTTGCGCCACCCTCCGGGATATCCTTGTTCTTGCGTTGTTGCGTGTTGGCGAGGTTATAATTTTCGTCGAACAGTGAGCGAGCGTTAATGCTGTATGCTTCCTTGTTTCGGCTTTTTACAATTCGAATGCCGCCTCTAGCAATGTCTCGGAAGCGGAGGTGGAATCCTCGGAATTCAGAGCTGATGACCAAGAACATTCCATATAGGCGCTGAGGGTACTCGTGCTCTGGAAGGAAGTGTGGGTCAAGTCGGAAGCTAAGGGCCACCTTCGTCGGTGTGAAAAAGTTGGTCTTGAGGATCGAGGCGTTGAACACACGGAAAGCACTCATGACCATTTCATCATGTTCATTAGCAGCCGTGCTTGAGACGAGCTGCTTCAATTGTCGACTGTCCAATACCTGGTCGACCTGAAGACGTAGATAACTTAGGGTCGGGAGGAAGTCATCCTCGGCTGGGCCACGAGTCTGCACATAATGTGTGTTTGCAAAGTCAAGATAGAGTTTGTGAATAAGGGTTGGGTACTTGTTCACAATTTCTGCGATGTAATCAGATGTGAAAGTTTCGGTACGCAATCTCTTTTTTATCTTTGCCAAAAGCTCCGCGTGTGTGCTGTTATTTGAATCTAAAAGGTCGGTCAGGGACGTATACTCGGAGCCCAGGCGGTTCAAGAATTGTTGAACAAACACCCATGCGCAGTGGGCATAGATGGTTTCTTGCAAGCTAAGGCGTCCACTGGCAAAATGATGCTGGAATCTGTTTTGAGGAACACAGTATAGAAGGGAAATTTCCTTGATGATTTGGTGGACTGCGGCCTCGATGGGGGGAAACTTGGCGGCGATCTCTGCATTCTTCTGGGGGCGCAGGTAAAGTGATATGACAGTGATTCCATTGGAGAAATTCTCCAGGTACTTCCGTGAGCTCGTGAGGCGGTAGTAGTGGTATAGATCAGAAAGTGCACTAAATAGTCCCATGGCGGATCCCTGGCGGTACGCGATAACGAGACGCTTTTCGCGAGATTTTTCGATTTCAAACATCTCGATGACGGGGCCAGCCCGAGAAACGGCATTGCTGATTATTTCCTGATAAACAGCCTTGGTGTTGGGTGTCGCTTTTTGCAAGAACCTCTTCTCACCGATGATGTCGATGTTCGTCTCTTGCAGCCCCGGATTAGGGTTGGCGAACTGACACTTATACACGAAGTAGCAACGGAGCTGCTGCCCATCATCACCAGGTACCGGGGTGGGCGAACGGAAAGTTTCAACTCGGTAGCTGTTGTCGTGAGTTGAACCGTCAATGTATTTCTTGTCGATTCTTTGCTCGTAACCAGGGCCACCGGCACTTGAAAATCCGGGCTTGCTCGTATCAATGTAGACAGCATGATCTTCAGCCTCCTTGTCTAGACGTATTTCCAGCTTCTTATCATCACGCGCATATGCTGCAACCTTGGCAGCATAAAGGGAGAGAATCTGCGTGACAATTGCGTCGACAGTTTCTGTCTGAAAGTATGTGTCATCGATTCCAAGCTGGTTGTAGAACCACTCTGTTTCTCCCACAATGAATTCCGCGGGAATGAAACCTTTCTTTTCCAGCTGGTCCATAACTATAGTCGCGCAGGGGGGTTAGCAAAAACGACTCGAGATCAATGTATCTGCCGCGTATGCGATAGAGGCAAACTCACCTTGTTCCATCTGATGTTCTTTGCCCTCAAACTTCGCAGCTATGTAACCTGGGTCCTCTTCAGAAAGAATTCGATGTGGACTACCAGGGATGGCTAGGTGAGTCGGTTGAGGAGAAGGAAGGCGGGTGTTCGCTCCAGCCACTCCGTCAAGGATCTTGTTGTGTGGGTGTCGCTGGAAGCCGATTGGCGTCCCGGCGCCTGATGAGGCGCCGTCATTGCTACCAAAAAGCTTTGGAGCTGGCCGAACGGGCAGTTTATTGGATCCATTACCGTTGACAGGTACGTCAGGTAGCGACTGAAGGGAGGAGGCGGGGGACACCATGACGAAGAATTTGAGCTACGATCTTTTTTGTTGAAATGTTCAAGGTGAGAAAGGGGAAACAAGACTGCAAGTAGTGACCGGTAAGCCCATGCACCAAAGAATGTCAAGGAAATATATACACATGAAGATGTAAAGTAGTTAAATGGAAGGAGAGAAGAAACAGGGAAGGAGGGGGATTTGAGGGGATAGAGGGTGGAGAAGCTCAGCACCGTAGCTGTGGCGTTGATAAGAAGGATACACAGCAGAACGCTGCAGGCATCCTACCCGGTGGAGGGAGATAACAAGATGAACAACAAATGGGTGACTCACCGATTCAACAAGGGATGATTTTGATGAACGATTTGAGAATCAGTTGCTTGGGAAGCGATCCAGGAGGAAAGATCAGGTATGACGAAAGAATGGATGGAAGCTTATCGGGAAGGCGAATGCGACGGGATCCCGATCGTGATGTTAGGGCAGCACGAATCAAGGGGGTTGCTTTGCTTAAGACCCTAAGTCTGAATCATGAAAGGGAAAAAAAATATGGATACGGGGCAACAACTGGGGGTTATAGTGTACTTTATATAACTCCAGGCTGTGGTCAGTTGAACCTGGAGAGTCATTTCCAAAGAGTATAGTAGTATGTGCGGCGTATTTATCGCCGTATCAGCGTTACAGAGGCGGTTCCTTTCCGGTGCTATGCGCGATGAGCCACCTCAGGTACAAAGCCGGCCCGGCGAAGCGGTCCCGACCCCAATGCTCCTAATCCTTGACCCTGGACAACGCCTTGAAATTTCACGATTTCTTCAAGGCCGGGCTCATTGTGTTACTCGTAGTATCTCCATTGCTTCTTTCAAATGTTGCACTCATTATTTCTCTTTATCCCAAGTCTCCAGACTCTAAAGGCTTTCTCGCGTCTTCGTCAGTACGGAGACCACAGTGGGCCCAGCCCCGGACCCTCGAGATACGGTTAGTGCGTCTTACCTAACTAACTTTCGGCGTGCCGTGAATTGAAAAATACCACCACGGAAGGCGTGATTGGCTGGCCGGAGCTAAAATTGGAAGAATTGCCTCAAACCAGGCCGTCACGAGTTGTGGCTGGTCCAGGCCAACGGGATTCTCGAAGGCACGATATCGAAAATCGAAAAAGAACCCCCAAGAGGTAAGAGCGTCTTCATCCAGGCAAACTATCCCGGGTAAAGGAGGCAGAACCGGGGCCAGATATCCAAGAGTTGCTGATATGGAGGGCTGAACAGCCACCACTTCACAAGTTCACCCTCATGATTCGCAAGAATGAGAGGCCATGATGAGGCATGAGGCCCAATCAGCTGATTATCTGAGTCTTGTGGTCTGGTTTCCTCCACTTAGTCGCTTTGAAGACCTGGACGAGGTTTCTAAAGCGGAATTTCGGTTTGTCATGATGGCTACTTACTTGCAAATCATTGCTGCTTGCTGCTTGACTTCTTCTGCATCCCTTGTTCCTCCTGTGTAATAATGGCGAAGAAATTAGAAAATGCCTCACCTGTAACATCATGGTGGTTTCCGCCTGGTTTGTTGGCCGGGGGTTGTGCAATCCCAGTGCGGAGAGGCCATGGAGGTTTCTGTTCCCTCTGAGAGTAGTCTGTCGATACCAGATAGGGACTGAGCTCAGCAGCCCAGTATCTGCGGGGACGGTCGATCTCGACATGTGTGCCTGGATCCGAGGCGGCTGGCTATCCTCGATCATTGCTAGTGTTTTGCGGGGTGAAAGAGTGCTCACTCCTCACTCCTCAAATCTGCCATGGCCCCATGGAGGTTCACCTCCGCCTGCAATCCCTCAATCGATTGTCTAGTGTCAACCCACAAATACAATACCTTCTACTGATACAAACTACTACCCAAATTTTCATAGAAAAATGCCGCAACCACCCCCTGGGACCAGCTATTACCCCATCGAAACTTCTGCTGCCAGAGACCGTTCCCCAACATATCCCCATGCAGGAAATAATCAAGGCCAGGTGGGGTTCGTGGTCGCAATTCCTGCATTGGAGCGCTCAGAACTCGGGGCGGATGAGGTAATAAGTGTAAAACCGCAGCTGTGAAGACGTTATATTCGTTATCCCCTTCTCCATGTGCCCACTTAGTCCAACAGGCGATTCCGACCCCGGTCCGTTCGATGTTGGTCGAGGCGTCTCACGGTTCCCCAGCGATGACGTAGTTCGGCCCGCGTGGTGAAAAACTCGACAGTCACATTCGTCGAGCCAAGAACTGGCGAACCAAGACGTGATTGTGGAAGAACCCTCACGAAGCCGAACAAATCGCCCCGATTTGCTCTTTGCGCCGTTACCGTCAATGTCAACTGTTGTCCAGCACACGGTCAAGCGCGCCAATCGCCTTTCGGACTGAGAGAAAACTCTGTTGCTTAATACTTGCGGTATTGCGTGCTTTCGGAGTCTCGAAGATTCCTGCCTCTCAACTACCACTGAATTCGTGGTGGTCTCTTACATACATGATCAAGTTGGCCGATATTGAAATTGCTGCATAGTGGCAGCCGGCATGAGTGATGATTAGTCATTGTAAAGGGGCTCTTAACTCGAGCTATTATACACTAATAGGTCAAAAGTCTCTTTACACCGCCCGAAAACGTCAATTTCTCCATATCTTTAAACTTTAATATCTCCATGAATTCTTGGTGTTTTGACTCCATACAAAGTGCGATCGATAGCTAGGATCAATATTTAGTATACCAACCCTTTGCCTTAATTACTGCTCGCAGTCGGCGTTGCATTGACCCAATTAGGCTATTAATAACCCCCTGATCAACCTTCTCCCAAGAATAAATGATTGCTTCATGAAATTGGGTCCAATCCATCTAAGATCTTCCTTATAGATAGATATTTGGGTAATCCTTCATTAGATGGTGTTTTAAATGGTGCCAAACATGTTCTATTAGGTTTAAATCAGGCGAGTGCGGAGGCCAATCAACAACCCATATACCATGATTTTCAAACCATTGCTGTACTATCTCTGCTGTATGTATCCGCGCGTTATCTTGCTGGAATATTAAACCAGGTTCGTAGTATTCAATAAGCCCACTTTCAAGCGTATTTATATAGGAATTCGCTGTAAGTCCATGTCAAGATGACTGTGCATCCCGCTCCATGATGACTAGCTTTAAGCAGCCACCAACCCAGATAAAACCCCATACCATCTACAAGATATCCTTTCCATGGTTCGTGAGATTAACTAGGTCATGTCGATAGGCTTCATTCTGGAATCGGAAGACAAACTGGGTAGGAGAATTAGACTTTCATTGAACCGAACATTCGTCAGAAAATATCCAAGTATTGAAAGGTATATTAAGCCACAAACGAGCAAACTCAAGGCGCTTTTTTACATCCTTACAGGTTAAAGGGATCCTCTTCTTGCTTTTCCACTTTCTTTCATTATAGTTCCGCTTCAGGGCGCGCTTCACGGTTGATATTAAGACTTTTTTAGGTGCGTGAGCTATCAGGGCACGCCAGCTCAAGCGGGGAAATCGGCGAGTAATACAGTAAATATAGCGAATAGAGGCATCAGTAAGCTTTCATTTGCGCCCGCTTCGAGGCCTAGAATCAAAGGTTTAGAGCTCTTGTACACGTTTAATTGTTTAGTATACCGTGGGTCAGGAAACATTAAAATCGCGTGCTAACTTTGACACGTTATTTTCCTGCGAGTAAGCATAATAAAGCGCTGATCTTTGTTCTGGTAAAAGCTCTTAAGAACAGCCTCTATTTCCACTAATTACCGTCCCAAAGGACCTCATATTGGTGGAGTTATGGTTCGACGAAGTTGGTGGTGGAGGTTGACGCGTGGGGCGCGCGCGGGATGTGTAAGGAGACTTTTGACCGCCCTTGTATGATAATAGATAAGACACTCGCAGATATCTCTATAGGCACATGTATCCATTCAAATTGAACCCTGCCATCCTAGCAATGTTTGCTTGTCACAAAGCGCTCTTAGGGTGAGAAATCGAGCAGGCCTTGGTGAGAATAACAAAGGGATTTTGAACAACCTTCCTTTATCATCAGGGTATATATATTATGAGACTTCTGATATGGCATAACTGTATACTTTACCAGCCAGATGGCTCTAGTCTACCTTAGACACCAACCTGAAACGTTGTATTTTGGTACATCTTCCATATGCTAACTGTGAGGCCGCGTGGAATCTTACCGGGCCCTGTAGTTGTTACCTAGTTAGTAGTTTATAATGTGTATATCTACCAATCATCTTATTCCAGATGTAGATGGATGATATTCTAGTGAGATATCACCGGTGCAAAAAAAAGAAAGAAAGAAAGAAAGAAAGGAAAAAAAGAAAAAAAAAAAAAAAAAAAAGCTTAGCTTGTAAAGTAACATATACCATATACCAATATCTCATTCCTTTATGGGACAAAGAAGATTCTATACACATTGATTGATCTTCCACATCATGCAAGAACCGAGTTTACGTAAATGCCCGCTTGAAGTCGATATAGTACACCAAGCGTTTTGTCTTGATAAGATATTAAAGAATATCCTTTTGCTTCACGCGTTGCGATATCAAGGAACCTAGATAAACAAGGGATTCCCAGCGCTGGCTTAGGAGTCCTAGGCCGAAAGTAACGGAAAGTAGCAGAAAACGGTCGTGTCTTGCCATCTATTAAATATTAACCAATCCCGCAGTTATTCCTTCAGTCTGTGCTCCAGGTTGCTCATGCGGATGCTATCATTAGAGACGTGCAGGAGCTGTCAAACCAAGATGCAGATTGGTCACCCATAGTCTAGTAAGTCAGGCTATATGAGCATAGTTCTATATAGCTGAAGAACCCTTGCAAACATAGTTATGGAGCCGTTCAAATCTTTATCCCAACATATCGGTAAAGTCAGTGAGCAGCGCTGAAAGCCCTTAGGTATAAAGCATTTAGCAGTAAAAGTGAGGCTTTTTTATCTAGCAATCTTCCGAGTATCGAAGTGTTTTAGCCATACGCAACTTCAAAATAGTCTGTATCTGGGGGTATATAAACTAGCAGATCAATGTAGTCGATTGCGTCACTGGCACCAGAACTGAGGTATACCTGTCCAAGTGGTTAACTACTATGGCCTCGATGCGATGAGGGATATGAACTTTGGAAAATTATCTAATATGTTGCTTGACGGCGCTCCATGTGGACTGTGGATATGGCCAGTGTTGAACTTTTTGGGTATTTGATGTGGCTATTCTCTCTGTTTAAAGTGCAATTCCAGGGCTCAATGAGTAGTGTATTGAACCATGAGAGCTCTTATATGCGCAGGTGGGGGTGGGAATGAGGGTGATACCACAGTGGAGAGACGGCCCTTTGACATGACTATATATCTCAAATGAACCGGTTGCAGCTACTTTTCTTGGGTATTAAGAGATTGCTATAAGGGCGCAAAGACAGCCCAGGGAACCATGAATCTTCTTGACAATTCGTGTCTTATCACAGCCACAGGGGGGTACGTAGGTCGAGCAAGAAGCCTTGGTTGACCTGTTTCTTGGTGTTTCCATAGCAGCCCATCTTCGTTTACCCAGTAAGGAACCCCAAGCTGACCAAAGCAACTACAAAATGCCGCTGATAAGCATGAAGTGGCAGGTGTTGTCGTTAGATCCCTCGGCATACGGTTTTTCGAGACATAAATCGAAACCTTGAACGCGCCTCTTGAGTTTATTCCTACTCGCTGGACAAGCCGCATTTGGTCACGAGCGAGGTGATTTTCACCATTCAATGCCCGCCTGTCCCGAAACTTTTTCAGCTCGTGGACAGGGTTGTTGATGCTGGATTGTTGGGGACATACGCCTGTGGTTCCTCCGTTGGTGACAAGCAGGGGATAAAACGGCGTAGGCGGGCCATTTCAAATATATGTGGCTCTAAACTCTAGCAGCTTCAGCAAGCTGGAGTTGAGGATAAACAATGAAATAGGTTGAAACAAAATGATTTATGGATAATAATGTGAAGGGTTTACAATATTCAATCTTCCGTAGCGGGGCAAGAACGGTGGATGCTGCTTCTCGTCGGACGGCCAACGGTGGAAGAATAATTTGACCAGAATAAATTGACCGCCGCACAACCGGCAATCTCAATACAGATGAAGGAGGCAGTAGTATGGGCCCATTTGCATGTTGGGTAGAAAAGGAGTTATCCAGGAGCATAATAACGCCTTGTTTGTGGATGTATCGACTGCTCGAAGACTTCTTTTGAATAGTCTATGGAATACGAGACCGCCTCGTGGAGCCTCGCACACACCGCTTGAACCTGAAATATGATCTCCGTCCAAGGGCGATGTATCAGGCATCCTTTCAAGCGGTGTGGTATGGAACCACTTAAGCGGCCCATTGCTGTTTGCTTGCAAGGCCGCGTGGCAGACAGATCACCAGTCTTCGTTGGCCATTGCGCCGATAATGTGTTGATTATTACCGACGACTGACCGGAACTTCTGGGGACGAGGATCTATGGATGGTTGCTGCACCGCCAATGTTTGTTGATTGTCCTATTCTTGTGTGAAACCCATTTGCCACGCTCCAGCTGCGGAGTTGCGGATGTGCTTATTTCAGGGAGAACCTTGGAAACGGTTGTCAGCCTCACCATCTCCATGGATGAGAACCCATATCGACCCAATCGTTTCACGGTCGTCGTTGTCAACGAACAGGGTTGAAAAGCAGCAAGGCGGATGCACACCAGCGATCGTTCCACTCCATCCTTGCCGAATTCTCCGCAATTTTTCTTGTCTGATCGCCGCTTGAGCAAAGATACAGGATGGGACGGCCGTAGTTGTACTTTTGCATCATGATTGTGCCTGGCTTGGCCAATTCATCCAGCGGCCATGTTGGGCCGACCTCGTAGCGGGCTTCCTGCTGCTGCCTGCTTACGACTGTCCCGGCCCCAGCCAAGCAGTTGGAGAAACAGCGAAGTGGATGCAGATGAAAAGCCCAAGTGATCTTGAATGGACGAGGGTGTTGAGACCCCCTGACTGAGGCGAGCGGCGATTCGTTTGAGGGCAGGCAGCGCCTTCATCTCCGACGGAGGAAAAGGCCCCGTTTGTCGCGATGCTTCCATCCAGCTTCCAGGCCAGTGGACCCTGGTGCTTCCCCGGAAAAGATGATGCGTCGCCGGAGCGCGTATCCGCCTTTCCGTCCCGGCCTCTTGGGCAACCTGGAATCCTGGATGGCCCATCCCACGCAAGGCGAGGCGAGCCCGAGTCAGTTGTCTCCTGAGCCCCCGGGGAGGAACATCGGACAAACAAGCTCTCAAGCCCACTGGCGTTGGCTCCATACAATCCTGCTCCCTTCCAAGGTTGGATGAAGTTTGAGCCGATTCGCCTTGCATTCTGCTCGCTGGATGCAACAGCTGCTCCTGGCTGGCCCAGTCCTTGTCTCGCCTTGCTCCCTGTTTATTAGCTGTCATTCCCCCAAGCCTTCATCCGTCTGGGGCATTGTTGGCCAGACCCCAGTTTTCTTCCTTCTAAACAAGTACAACCGCCTCCCCCGGCCTCTTTCTTCAGCTCCTCACAACCGCTCCTCTGCACACAACTACACTGATAAAGGCTGCTCTCTGCCTGCCGCTTCTGTATTCGCCTCCATTCGCCATACCTGCTCCTCCTCCCCATTACATCCGTGACCGCCTCTTCGGACACCTAGGTACGCAGCGCAATGCTTGATCTTTACTCTTCCGTTCTTTCCCTGCGGCCCTCCGCACCCATGCAGATACCGAGCCCTGTCATCATGTCCAATTCCCCATTGCACCTCTGTTCGGCGATTTTCGGAGCCGCTCGATCAACTACTCTACCTATAACTCCCGGCCGCCCATTATTTTTTGATGTAAAAACAAGTGTATCCAACTAACACTAAGACAACCAGGAGCAACCAAGAGTTTATACTACCATCACTCCTACCACAACAACAACAACAACAACAACAACAACAACAACAACAACAACAACAACAACAACAACAACAACAACAACAACAACAACAACCACCTTAATTCATCCACACGTTACAATGTCTTCCCCAGCTATCACATCAACGCCCCGGAGCCACCCATCCATCATCACTCCAACAACCTACAGCCAAAAGGACATCTTCACCGCTCTCATGGCTTCAACTACGCAAACCCCCAAGTCTCTCAATGTCACAGACACAAACAACGATGCGCAAGCACCCTCGGCATTCGAATATCCACCGCCGCCGCCCCCGTCCCCCGTGGAATCTAAAAGCCCACGTGCATTCTAGATCAGCCGTCATAACTTTCTACTACCTCTAATTCCTTAATATTTATTCTTGTTTCCGGCTCTGGCCTCGGCTGGGTACTCGACCGGGCCTGGCTTGGTCTTTTCCTCCTTTATCTTCTGGAAGGATATAGAGGAGTATTAATCAGTTCATCGGGGTTATGGCGCGATATTAGGCGTATTCGGTGTTTTTCTCCCTCCTTTCTGATTGAATAAGGTCTGGGACACATTGCTTTGGAGTAAGGATGCCAGGTAGTACTCTTGCTTTCGAAATCCGACGATTTCATTTCTTGCGTCGATTTCACTTGCTTAATGTATTCCTAGATATGTACCTTCACTTTATCCTTTCAAAGTTTTTGAAGACAAAAGTTTGAAAACTGCTCGGCTATTTACCTATTTGTTCTAGCCCTCTATATTATCATAGAAATGTTGGATTCGTGACCATATTTCTGAATACTACACCGTACGCTGTCAGCTACAGCTCAGATATGGATGATCTCGCCATCCCGATCGTCATATGAAAACCACCATCTTCCTGCTCTGTATCCCGCTTCCCGTCCGTTCGGATAGTAGCTGTCGATCACATGGACCGTTCCTGCAGTCTGCACTATGACGCTAGCTTGCAAGAAAACCGGTTCGGTTCATGATAAAGGGGGGGTGGGTCTGCAGCTCCCCAGAAGTTCGAGCCCAGTAGAGGCGCGCTATCGTTCCACGCGCCCAAAACGTGGAAGCAAGCGTTCTCTGTGTGGTGTTTACTGTTTAGGATACCGAGACCCTGTGCGGTGTAGGCTTCTTTTCCCTTTCCCCGGGTCGGGCAATGACGGCTTCTGGGGCAGGCCTCGGCTGCATTCCACCCGCGCACGTGATTTACATGTAGATTGATGATTGATAAATCTCAGGTCTTCTTTCCGATTATAGCCGGCCCGAAGATGGTTCTCCATGAGAAAAAGCTTGTGAGGGATCTCCAAAGCTTTGCGTAGCCTCTCAACCCAAACGCGATGGGCCTTCGGATGTGCCGGGATCCTGACTACCTAGGTGAGCATAGATGTTTTCTAGCTCCCAGATGGCATTGGTGTCGCCCTGAACAGCCCTATCATTGAGCTGCCGAATCAAGTTTAGTTGTTCCTCCGTCTGTACCCATCCCCGGAGTCGAGCCTCAAGATTCGCACCCCGTCTGGTAGTACTGAAGACCGTGCGTACGGTATCTGTTTCGCCCTTGTGAGATTTCAGATCTTTTAAGCGATTCAGAAACCGGGCTTGGTTTGATTGATGCTCGGGCTTGTATACCAGCCCTGGGGCATCCAGTGCAGAACCCTGAGTTGAACCGAAGGATGGTTCTCGCTGACCTGGTGCGACAGTAGGGCCTGAGCTCGAAATAAGATTTGCCTTTCGACCGAGGATTTTGACGCTGTTGGCCGATATGAGGTCAAAGTCCTCAGTGTGCTTCAATGGCGCGATATGAGTGGATGCGGCTTCAATCGTGTCGAATTCAGCGCCCACCATGTCAGGCCGCGCGAAAAACAACTCTGTGCCGATCTGGTCTGCCCACGTTCCGCTAAAGATCTGATTCTGGTAGGAGATGATCGGGTTGTGCGTATGGAGGCCGAGAATTTGAACACGCCCTGAGGGAGCGCTGTCGGCTTCGGAGCCGGTTACAGCTGCGTCTTGATCATCGGGTCGCGAAGGAGCTGGTGTAGGATTGACGGTGCCGGGGGCGCTGGTTGATGTCGAAGCGGAGGGGTCATTCCGGCGGCGAGGGGCTCGTATAGCGCCGTGATGAGTTGTCAGGTCGAGGTTTAAAAAGAAAGTCTTGAGAAAAGGGATTGATTAGAGTATGGCGCAAAAGCCAGAGGGGATGTTTATAAACGATCGTAGCTACCTCTGTTTCGGTGTCATGATACTCATACTCCCAGTCGGAATCCTCATCGTCTAGATGCGAATTGAGCATGGCGGGTTCCAGTACCGACATTACTGTTGGCGTCGAGGCGAACTCTTTTGAAGCCGGTCTTGCCGGTGCAAAGCTGTGTCGGAATCTCGGACTCGCAGAAGATCAACGGCGGACTTTACTATACTGAGACGTGGTATTGTTTGGTAAGAAATGGCCGATTCTGGGCAGTATCGGGAGTAATTCCTGTAGATGTCATGTCAGGTTTTGTCACCGACGGATCACGGGTTGGCGGCGGGCATGCCGCCCAGCCCCGTCGGCGCCTCAGATCAGCCCTGCAAGCAACAAGACTCGCGCAGCATGCCAGAATCCAGAACTCCAAACTCACAACCTGCCGCTGCATTCGTTGTCATCAATAATTGCCGTTGACCACGGAAGCCGTGCACATTGGATACAGGGCTTTCTGAGGTTCTGACAGCTGAGTGATCTCATAAGCATCCCAGTCACCCAACGGCTAAATGAACCCCTCCCGGGCCCCCCCAGTCCCACTATACTAGCTCAGCCCTGTTGCTGCCCATCTGCTCGATCAAGCATAAAGAAAACACCAACCAGTAAGTCCTGCCGCTCTTTGCTTTGTTTGATCGCACCAATTAGCCGCCACTGTCCGCCCATGTTTGGGTCGCGCTTCCTCCACTCTCCCGCAAGATCCGGCTGTGCGCGGAAGCAAGGGAGGTCATCAGTAATGCATCCGTCATCTTCCAGACCACTCACTTCTGCTGCTCTTCCACTGTCTTCGCCTGCCCAATTGTCCATCGTCTCAGCCGGTCCCGTCGTTCCCGGACTCCTCTTCTGTGTTTGACCAATTGCCATTTCCTGCTTACGGGCCCTCTTGCTGGACTCGGCCCTCAATTCGCTCCCCTCCGGCCACAGCCATCATGGCTTCCTCCGGATGTTCTCGACCGCCAGCTGACTGGAAAATGTTTTCGCTTCCTTCTTATAGTGCCTCCTCCTTCTGTCCTGGTTTCCGCGATTCTGGGCCCAAATGTTTACCTTCGTTCCTTCTGTCTGCTCCTCGTGGTCTTCGCTGTCACCGTAGAAGCTGTTGCGAGCCCCACCACCGACGCTTTGTTGACCGCCACTATCTTATCGCCGTCCAGCCGTACTATCCCAATCGGGAAACCATACATCAGTGGGAGTGCGCCCATCTCCGCTGCTCCTTCTGCCACCATTTCTTCCTTGTCGCCCAGCACTGCTGCCCGTTATAACGGGGCTGGCGTTGCTCCTCAATCTGTATCCACCTGCGACTCCTCCGACGGTGCAGCTCCTCTTAGCACCTATGAGCAGATGGTTCAGAAAACTACCGCAGCAATCATCACTCTCTCCTCACTTATCGCCTATGTGACAATTAACACTTTTGTCCGTGCGGTAAAGCCGTCGGCATTTATTTGGTACGCAGAGGACTATGATGAGAAGGAATGGATCGCTTCTTCGCCTTCCTGGCTTGACCGGAAAGCCTGTCGGTGGCTCGGGGTTTGTGGTACCGCCCACTTCCATCCTGTTCACCCCCATTTTGGCCATCGTAAAGCTGGCTCAACGGTCGAAGAAGTAGATGTACCACCTTGGCGAGATTATTGGGGAAATGAGACAATTCATCCCAAAGAAGACTGGGACGCAGCAGAACGCTCTCGTCGACACATTCCGGACTATGTTCTCGAATATGCTCCTCTCGTGCATTTATTCTCCGGGGAGCAGTTCTGGCCGTGTGATATAGCGGAGCATCTCTATCATGTCACCCCCATGCTGAATTATACCCCAATCCAATCGAAGAGGGATCATCCGACTCTGCAGGACCTTGATCAGCTCAACAAATGGGAAGCGGGTAACAATGTGTTCCTGACCAGCAATGATAATGTAGAAGAACGACCTCCCTGGATGGAAGGAGAGAAGAATATCCCCAGCCCTCCGGAAGAAGAACCCGAGCCCTCATGGGCCGATTGGGATGGTCGTGTAGACGGTCCCTTTCCGGATGATACGCCAGAGAACCGGGCTCAATGGTACGACACGCAGCTGCCCCTGCAGGACAGGGAAGCGGAAGATATTTCACCAGATAAGCTTGGCTATCTCATACCGGACGAAGAGCAAATCCGCGAGGAGCTTAGGAAGCGATATGGAGGCGAGCCGATATCGATCAAAGGAGTAGGTGGGCGGAGTGACGCGCCAGCCATTCTAATTGTTCTTGACAAAGGCAATGGCATTGTGGACGCTTTTTGGTTCTACTTTTATAGCTTCAATCTGGGGAACGTTGTGCTCAATGTGCGGTTCGGCAACCATATTGGAGACTGGGAGCATTGCTTGGTGCGGTTCCACAACGGAAAGCCCAAGGCGCTTTTCTTCAGCGCCCATTCCGGGGGTGAAGCATACAGCTATGAGGCCGTGGAAAAGATTGGTCGACGAGTAAGTAGCTCTTCTCATGCTGTTTTGAGGGATACTTGGGTGCTAATTTTTGTCTAATCCAACAGCCGGTCATATACTCTGCCACAGGTACACATGCTATGTATGCCACTCCAGGAGTGCATTCGTACATTCTTCCATGGGGTCTTCTCCATGATCAAACAGATAAAGGGCCTCTCTGGGATCCGCTCCTCAACTCACAAATGTACACTTATGACCATGTCAATGATGACCTTCGTGCTTCGGTCTCAAACCCATCCGCGCCGACAGAATGGTTCTATTTCAACGGCCATTGGGGTGATAAATTCTACCCTCTGGGAGATCGTCGACAGTATCGCTTTGCTGGCCAGTATCACTACGTGAACGGGCCCATCGGCCCTCGATTTAAGCACCTCGGTCGCCACAAAGTATGCCAGGGGCCCGATAATGCTCCCTGTATTATCAAAGACTTCATCGGGGAGAGGAAACGGGCCAAACGGTGGCCCGCCTCTGGGCCTGAGAATCCTTACGAACATGCCCATTGATGCTGGCCAGTTAGACCATGGTTCATGAACTATTGTGCTGTGACGTCTTGATGATATTTACGATCGCGGTTCCTCTCGCTTGCTCTCTTGCCTCCTCGTTCAGCCTATCACTCCTCGTCTATTCTTTTTACCCCCTCGTATTCGATATCCATTTGCAGTTCGCATCGTATTCATAAATGGTATACCCCCATACGTTATTCTTACCTTGTTTTGGTTGAGATTACTGTCGTTTGATTTTTAGAAGGCGCTGTTAGCCCTAACACAAAGACTTTTTTTATCAATAACACGGTTTTCAGTGTTTTGGGGAACCGTAAGAGCTGGAGTTCCTTTTCTTTTTGGGCATTCGACAGAGTGGGTAGGTAGTTCGGGATATTTGTTAGACGATTATTAAGAAAACATATAGATCTTTCGGTCATCTGTACTGGAGTATATATATACAGCAGCATTGATAGTGCTTAACTAAATAGAAAAAACATTACCCGTAAAACCCCCATAAACTCAACCTAGGAGGGAGCAATCGAACCAAAATTAAATAAGAAATATAGAGAGCAAGATCGGAAGAAGGGGGGGGGGAATAATCAAGGTTATCTGATTGTCCATAGTATTGAAATCAATGTCAATCTGGCTAGTCTTTAGGAGGTTAAGTTAAAAAGAATTACAAAAGGAGAGGGGGAAAATAGAAAACTTCAGATTCTGAACTGAATTGCCCATCCATACGCAGTTGAACGCCCCCTGATTAAAAAGAAAATGGCTCAAAAGTACTCAACTCAGCGAGCAGGAGATATCATGCAGAAAAGCAAGCAACTGGAAGATATTGTGATAACAGAAAGCAGACGCGAAATGGGGAAAGGGAAAGACAACCCAAGAGAATAACTCCAGCCAATAACACCAGACAAGCATGAGACGTGGTTAAAAAAGGAGATAGACAAAGAGAAAGAAGGTATATTGAAAGGGAAAGAAAGAAAAGCGGGATAAAAAGAAATGAAAAACGATCCAATCCCATGTCCATCAGACTCCATCTCATATTAAACTCCGTGATCCCAGATTTGCTAGCAACCAACTACAATCGAAGTAATTGGAGGTTGCACCAAACCTCGAAAGTTCCCAATCTAGCATGTCTACTTGAACGAAGATGATGCGTGAAACAAAACAAAGATGAAAGAAAGCACCGTAGGGAGTGTCTTCGCATGAGAACAGTCACGAAGGTAGGAGACTATGTCCGCCCTGCCCGCCTCCTTAAACTGAATTCTTGTTCTTGTAGTTCACGAATTAGGCGCAGGCTTTCGGCGTCAGGGTCGTCCTCGAGTAGATTTGCTTGCTCCGGTTCATGAATCTTGCTGTGCTGACCGAGGGATGTATACGATAGAGAATGCCGCTCAGATTTCTTCTCCACCGAAGGTGACAGACTTTTCTTGCCATGAGATGAGGAGGGTCGAGACGCAGACTTCTTCTGCCCGGAAGACAGTCCTGGCGTGATCTTTTGCGCTCCAGCACCACCAAAGGACGAGCGGCGCGCAGGTTGCGGATATGTTGTGGTAGGCTTGGCTGTCTTGACGAAGTGAACCTCGGGCATATACCTTTCAACCTGACGGGGTTGACGTGAAGAGTGACGGGAACCCGACGAAGGGGTGTATATGGCAGATGCATGTTCCCCTTCGCCGTCGGGTTGGTCATGTATATCCATCTCATCCGCCAACGAGGTCGGTGGTGATACCAAAGTGGCGGCTGGTTTAGACACAGCCGTTGTCAACTCCTTGGTAGCAACAGTATCCGCCTGGAACGCCGGTGGCGACGCATATGAGTTTTGATCAGCAAAGACGTCTTTCTCCGAGAGCAACAGATCCGCATGTTGTTCGCTATTTTTGTGCCGGGAGTGCTCAAGTAGACCGTTTTCAACAGTCGACTGCATACGCATCTGGTTTTCTGCTTCTCGGTGGTGCAAATGGGCCGGTTTAGCCACTGGTGAAGTGCTTTCCTGCTTCAACCGTTTACTTGCGTTGGATGTGGCGACATCTTCATTGACCCGTGGGCGTTTCGCTAGATTTGTCGCCCGCGGCTTCGATCGCTCCTGGGCCTTTACAGGGTCGATTCTACCATATTCATCGTGAATGCAACGGCGCTGCAAAAGTTAGTAAGCCAATAAACAACAGTGAAAAAGAGGGGATCCAGATCCATTTATATACTAACCTTACTCTTTCGGCAGTCGTCACAGGCTTTGCTGCGACCTTTCTTTGTTGAGTTCGCGCCCTCCGGGCTGGTATCACTGACTCTTCCCGTGGCCCTGTGTGGTGCGGCTGCCATGCTAGTGGTGTAATTCGCTGAGCCTTCAATTCGTTCCATAGCTTTAACAGTATTATGACCGTTTGGAATACTAGCCCCGGAAGCAATTGCAGCTAACGAGTTCAGCGCGGATGCCGCATCCTGCGCAGTAGGTGTGTGGTGTCCTAAGCTAGAAGCGCCAATTGAAATGTGCGGTCCTGTCACCCCATTGTTCTCTTCCTTGTGATGGCATCGAATCCTTCGTTTGCGACATGCATCACAGGCGACCCGCTTTGGACCTAAGCCAGAGCCGCGCGATGCAGTTCTGTTTTTCGGAATGGAATCTTCATTGGGGTTGGGCACTGGAACGGAGCTAGTAAGCGTGGGAGGCGCAATATTAGATAAAGGCATAACGCTCTCACCGTCGACGACTGGCTCCCTTTGAGTGCCATCGACAGGTAGCTCCGATAGACGCTGCACAGCCTGCCTCTCCGCATACGTCCGCTGATTTTCAAAGTTACGCTCCGAGCGTCGACTAGGTCTCCCAGCGGGTTTCTTTTCCACGAGGCTGAGCTTGGCATTGGTTTCCACAACGCCAGGACGAGTCCATTGCGCAGCCTTTTCATTACCCCGCTTCCATGCAATCCATAACCCAAATGTCCGAATAATGTCGATTGGTTCAGCCGACATCGCAGGTATAGATCTCTTAACAGCATTCCTGGTATCGGCAGTAACACCCTCAACGAGATAAGAGCCTGCAATCAAGGCAGTCCTAAGAAGATATTTTGCAAGGTCTGGAAGCCCCTCCAATTCAGCTTGTGAGTAGAACCGCGAGTTGTGGTAGGGTGATCCACTAGGCTCAGTGTTGGTTCGCTCTTCGAACTCGTAGTAGATAGGATATTCCCGGTGAAAGCGATAGTTCTCGTCCTGTGCAAACGCATCTAGCACACTTTGGGGTACCGGATCTTCCTCAAGATATTTGAGGGCAGTGTACCACTGTATCTTCTGAAAGAAGGGGTATCTGAATTTCATAGGGACCTTGGTATCCTTCTCAATCTTCGCAATTTTTATTTGCATTCCGTAGTTGAGTCGGGTTAGGAAGTTTCCTCCAATGACCAGGCTATTCTCGGGAGTCCAAACTGCATGTATCCAGCCAGAGGGAATGAGCATAGTATCACCTTCGAAGAGATCAACGCGATAGCATTCCTTGGTTTGGTCCCCCAAAAAGGTGTAGTCTTGCGCAGGTGAGTTGCACCACTCCTCATACTTCTTCAGATGTTTATCCTTGGGAGGTATGAAGAAAAAGGTTTTCCTGCCTTTCAGAATGTGGTAGTAGACGGAGGAGCCACCAAAGTCAATGTGAAAGTCGGTATAACAGTCGGCAACTGACATCAGGCAATAGAACTGCACTTTAGGATAATTCCCAACGGCCTTCATCTCTTCAGGCCAGACTGCATCCTGAAGATCGAGATCGCGCACGACTTTCGGCCGGCGAATCAGCCTGCCTAATTTACTTTGGGAGATTTCGAGACTGATAACGTTTCGGACAACCTTTGAACCGGGGCTTTCGTAGTAGTCTGCCCACTTCTGCATAGTCCAGCGCCTATCTTCGCCATGTTGCGATTTGACGTCAATTACCTCCACTCTCTCCTCCGGACCGTAGAGCTCGGAGACTGCCCTCACTGTTAGACCTTGTGGGATTACCATGTCTAATTGATCTTGGCCACAGTCAATAACAGTCTCGCAACTGTCGCTCAGTGTGTGGTCTAAAAGTTCATCAAACATCTCTTGCGTTGATGCTTCTTGAACAAGTGCGTCAAATTCAGGGCATCCATTCGCAAATTGTGACGAGGTGTTGAATTCCGCGGGGATGACAATCGGTTCTGTCATCCCATTCCCTCGCTCGAAATATTCAGCACTAACTAGTTCGGCGCGCATACGCGGGAATTTTTCCGGGAGAAAGCGTATCTTGTTTTGCTTAATAGGTTCGATATAGTGATGCTCTAGCGAGTCTGTTGCGGCTTTTACCAGGCCCTGATTGAGACCCGCATAGTCGATTGAAGTGCGAGCGCGAGACGACTTCCGAACAAAGGTGGTCTGACCGTGGATGGGGCGACAAGTTTTGCATATAAATTTATCGACTGTCCTGATCTCACGGTCATTCTTGAACCCAGCGCATACGATATGGAACCAGCGCTTGCACCCATCACAGCTAATCCAAGTCACATCACCAAGGTCCTCATTGTCGAGAGGTATCCGGACGAGGTTGCAGGTGGCACAGCTAGCCTGGTTAGATTGTTCGGATTCTGTGTCATACTCCCTTTTCAGTGACCGGCTCTGGTGGAATATGGGTATCGTCGTCTCGTCTGGGTTCTGAAAGGTAGTCTGACGACTCTCGGCGGATTCCTTGTTCCCAAAATCCCAGTCTTTCTCCCCGTTAATTCCGTCGTCTTGCCAAGCTAAGGGTTGGATGCTCGAAGAGCTTGTGTTCGGCCTGAGACCTTGGATCACGGGACGAGATATAGCGGCGGAGCCATCTGACTGGGACCTCATGCGTGATTGCGGAATGTTGTAGATTGCAGAATGATTGAATATCATGCTGTCGTGGTTTGAGACCCAGTATGTACTCATATTGCTCTCTTTGATTGGGCCTGATGAGTGGAGGGTATGGCTATGGTAGGATTCATCGGGGCTGACACATTTTGAGGAAGCCATCGGAGGGTAGAGATTCGTGGGTCGTGCAAAATTCAACAAAAGCTCTGCATCGGTCTTCATACTATCGGAAATTGAGGGAGGATTCGCAAATGGTGTAGCATTCGATCGGTGTTGGGTATATGAGGATTGATCTTTTTCCGATCGCGGTCGTTTTGCTGGGCGTTCAATCGGTTCTGTAGGCTCAGGCGGAAACATGGACAGATTCGAGTTCGACGTCTGTGATGGGGGACGGTTTGGGAGGGGTGCAAAGGTAGGACTTGTCGCTAGCGCGATCGTCGCGAGAGTGTCGATAGTTGAGCTGGACCGACCATGACCTGACCGATGCGTCGTAGGGGCATCGGCCGGTGAGAACCTATTATCTCCTGGTGGAAAATGAGCATGGTCGGAGCTTGTAGGTCCCGGAACTATTTCGCGATCGTTCCGGGAGGTAAGAACGCCGGTGGTTGAGCAGGGAGAGATGGGTTCAACAGCGCGTCGCGGAGGGGAAGGGGTTCGATATCGCGCCGGCCGGTTCCCGATCGGAGTCACAAAAGAGCTTGCACTAATCATTGTGATGGTCGAAGACGAGATAAATGAGCGAAATGAAAGACAATGTGGTGGAAAGAGAAAGAGCCGCGGAGGTGACGAGACTTGCCTGCGGCAAGCAATACAACGCGGAGGGGTAGTCAACCACACGGGCTAAGAAAAGGCCACCGCAGGTGGAAGGAAAGTCATTCCTGGCGGGATGACAAGCGCACAATAAACAATGAGATGAAAATCGATTCAAGAGCGGAGGGAAGGCGCCGAAAAATGGGACGGGGAGGTTGACGGAGGAGAGTCGCACGGCGGAGCGCTGAAGTTGAGGGGGGCAAGAAGTTCCAGTCTCTCCCTCTGCCGGATGGGCGCAGCACCGAGGACACCGCGACGGACACAGACGAGAGGGAGAAAGGCAGAAGTACCGTGTCTCGAGGATCGAACGGGGCTCAGGATGACAGAGCCGCCGGATTGCACGCGAAGCCCGACAGATTGACGACAGAGGATGGGAGATGGGGAGGGGACTACCAGCCGGTGCAGCGAAGAGAGGAGAGGTCCGAGTTTCTGCCTCAGGCATAAAATCGTTTGCGGCCGAGATAGGCCAGCAGGACAAGAGGCCATGACTTCGCGCTGACAACGATCAAGACATGTCTGTTGAGGATGGGGTACAATACTGTATTCTCCTCTTACCAGATGATATCCATTGCATTCGCATAATATAGTCCATGAGAAGTACCATCTGTATTGAGGCTCCGATGCGCTGACGAAGCTAACCCCAAAGAGGAATCCAAGGCTCTCCTCCAAATCTCGCGACCAACTTGACTTGCCTCGAGTGGTTGAAGTTCTCTCGTTCTTCCCCTCTATTTTCTTCCTCTTTCTCTCCTTTTATCTGAAAAATCTCAAACCCCAGCTGGGTTTCGGATTCAACACTTTTCTAACTGAACATTTCATTTTTCTAATACTTTTTCGCCTGAGGATGAGCCGAAAGCTCGCCCCCGAAGCCAATCGGTAAGTCTCGAACACCCCTCCTAGCTAAGTCCCCTCCGACTAGGTTGACCGGACCTGCGTCTATGTGGTAAACGGTCTATATCGGAGCTCAATGCTAGATCTACAGGGATTAACATCTTCTAGGATTCTCTTTGTCAAGAACCTCAAGTATGCCGTGTCTCCCAATCACCTAATTCGCCTCCGCCGTTCTGGTCAGCCGCGATCGCATTGAGTTGAGTTTCTAACCAGGATATAGCTACAACGTGACTGCTGAACAACTCTTCGATCTTTTCGGAAAGTTCGGGCCTATCCGGTACGCTCCCCGCTTGGCTATAGTATACCTTTTTGTCGTTTTCTACCAGTGCGCTGATCATCACTCGTTCCTGCAGACAAATACGACAAGGGATCGCGAACAACTCGAAAGGCACTGCATTCGTGGTCTATGAAGACGTTCACGACGCCAAACAGGCATGCGATAAGCTCAATGGATTCAACTTTCAGAACAGATATCTTGTCGGTACGTTTTCGAGATTGGTCATGACGGAATTCTGGACTCGAAGGAGGCTAATCTGTTGTGATTTTTCAGTCCTATATCACCAGCCGGAGAAAATGGCCAAGTCGAAGGAGGATCTGGCGGAAAGGCAAGAGAATTTGGAACGTCTCAAACAACAGCATGGTATAGAATGACGTGACGATTTTCTTTTCATCGCTTATTTTACGTGTCCGCTGCGCTCTCTGCATGGCACGGGGATGTGCACACTGTCTTTGGTCGGCTGCGGGGTTTACGGCGTTCAATTTTTGCTTCTCACTCATATGGGTTTCCCGGCTCTCGTTCCTGGGTTTTGAGGGCTGGTGGGTAGAATGACACGCTTCTCTGGCTTTTGCTCCAGGAGAAGGATGGGGTATTTTTTCACAGGCTGGATTGGAATTATTATACCGCCCAGTTACTGCTATCAATACATCACATCAACTGCCGGCCGTTCTATGGCTCGGCAAACCTATGAGGCATCAAAGTCTACTTTTTCGTAGGTGGTAATAGGCACATGCGCGTTCAACTACATGAAAGAGGTTCTAGCGAAGACCCTTTGATCTCTGAGATCTCCTGCAACCAGGGCTGTCCTTTGCGGCTACTAAGTATTTATGGAGTATCTACACCGTAGTGCATTGCTAGCGGCCATGCAACGTGAGTTTTCGCCGGTCAGTGTCATAATTGTATCCACTTGCTGGCATTACAGTTGGTCGAGCCACTCTGGCCCACAGATTAGGCGTGGTAGAAGTTCTTCGGTTCCTTCTCGGGGCATTTGTAGGTGACGGTTGTATATAATTAGAAGTTGTACGTACTACGATTCTACATATAAACATACATATCCTAGCTCATAAGCGCTATCGACGACATAGGTACCTAGTCTACAATTTTCAGATATACTCACGCGAAGGCATCCTCAAAACCTACAAATTAGGCCCCAGCTAGATTTCTTTTAGCCAAAATTTAGCACTTGGTCATCCACAAATTCACTACATAGTAATCAATCCGAGACAGTACGGGCTCGTTCAACTTCTCGCTGCACGGTCGGCGTCAAGGTCGAACAGCGCCAAGAGCACCAATCGGTCTAGACACGCTAGCCAAAACCAGCAGAAGCAGGCCAGCGCCCGTCACAGCCGCCCAGCGCAGCCTGCCCAGGGTAGTCTGCGGGGGCTGTGAAGCAAGAGTCAACTGTCACTCCGACTGAGGCGTATATCTTCAAGGCTTTCTCCTGGCTGGCTCAGGCTCCTTGCTGGCAAGAGAGGTATTCTTCGATCCCATATCCATTTATTCCCCCCATTTTGTCCGCCACGCATCCGCCCAACCTCCATCCCTCGATTCTCCCCAGCTTATGCGCGCATATAGTTGTCTTAGTCTACCCTACGTATACGCTCCCGTCCATCACGATCTCACCGGTCATACTTTATCCATACGCCTCTCGCCAGCGCTGGTGAGCTTGAACCACCATGGTTTTCCGGCCTATTTCGTTATTATCCGCAAGTACCCTGGTATTTGCCGCTCTCGGCGTCGGAGTACATGCGGCAGTTCCAACCACCAGTGGCGCCTCTACAACTCCATCGCTCGCAGCATCAACTACCCCGACCGCTTCATATAACCCAACAAGCTCGGGTTCCCCTGAAAATGACGACGATAACGGGGAATGCCGGCTGCTGGGGCCGTTTTCACTCGTTGTCCAGGCTGCCCTCGGAATGCTGGCTCTGTTATCGCTTGTCTACAAGCGATGGAGAGAGCGCCCTCAACGGCCCGTGAAAGTGTGGGCATTCGATGCCTCGAAGCAAGTGTTTGGCTCATCTATGCTGCATCTTCTCAATCTCGTTATGTCCATGTTTTCTGCCGGGCAGTTTGAGATCACAAGAAAATATAAACCAAATCCATGCTCCTTCTATTTGCTGAATCTGGGCATCGACGTAAGTTTATTTTTCTCGTCTATCAGCTTCTCCTTTACTGTTTGCTAAAATGGCCGCTAACACACCGCGAAACAGACTACGCTCGGCATCCCAATTTTGATCTTCATCCTCCATTTTCTGAACCGCTTGGCGGTATATACTCCTCTCGCAAACCCTCCAGAGTCTATTGAATCAGGGAACTATGGAGATCCACCGCGCTTCGGATGGTGGTTTAAGCAGTCTATAATTTACTTTATGGGCCTTCTAGGAATGAAGATATGCGTGTTCTTCCTCATCCAGATGGTGCCACTTATCGTCAAAGTGGGTGACTGGGCTTTGCGATGGACAGAAGGCAACACCGCAATCCAGATCATTTTCGTCATGTTGCTGTTCCCTGTCATAATGAATGCGATACAGTACTACATCATCGACATCTTTATCAAGAAACCGCTTTCTCCGTCTCATGATACTCTGGAAGACGACAGTGATGTTGGAGAAAACGACAACGACGATCGCCACGCACTGTTGGCCGGCTTGGATGATGACTATGAATCAGTAAATGAGGTCTCTAGAAGGAGTGACGAAAGGAACATACGCAGTCCCGTGCAGTTTAAAGAAGCCCTGAGTCGATTAGATTCTCCTGAGCTAAACCCGGCAGAGTCTTCAGAATCTGGATCAGCGCCAACCCTGAACAACCCCGGAGAATGTGACGAAACAATTTCTACGAAACCAAATGCACAAACGAAAAACCCGTGTTGATATCAGTTATGGCGTTTTATATCGGGCGTTAGGGGATCTGATGACTTTACAATTCTCCGGTGATGTGGGGTTAGGTCACTCATGTGAATATTTTGTAATTAAATATATATCTCATAACATCACCAAGATTTCCGAATTATATCTCACTGTTATACCTATATTTCAGTAGCATGTAAGGTCAGGAGCGTGGTATATGCCTGGGGTTCCGATATATGCACCGCCGGATACACCGCTGTATTCTGCCGTTTGGAGAGAAAAATTATTCGCTTGGCTTTGAATGTACCTCTCCGGTGGCATAACTCAAGTGGTAGACTTTCATCCGAGTTTTCCCCCTTCTACTTTTCAAGGTCTTGCGGTTGACTTATAGAATCATCCAAAAGCCGACAATTGGCCGCGATAATGCCCAAAACGACCTTTAAAGAAAAGAATGCCAGAGAGAAAAAGGTTGCTGAGAAAGATGAGACTGAGAAAAAGCTAGAGAGTCTTCTCTTTGGCGATGGTGATGAATTCCAGAGTGCCTTAAAGTCTGGAAAAAACCTCAACTCACTAGCCCTCACAAATATCTCCGATGAGAGCCCAGATGAAGCCGAGGGAGATCAAGAAGAGCAAAACCTGGAAGATATTGCCGACGCTGATGTGTGTATTGGAGACCCTATTTGAATGGCTTGATTTTGCTAATGGTAGCTGAGTAGCTCTTTTTCCTTGACTCTGGCGCCGGCCCGGTATCTTCAGAACTTGAACTTCCAGCCGCACCGGTTGAACCTGAGAATGAAGATGATGAATTAGATGGACTCCCCGCAGTGTGGCACGATAGCGATGATGAGCGCATCACAGTCTCGCTGGCTGGCAATAACAGATTGAGGAAATTGCGCGTTGCTGAATCGGAAGATATAATCAGCGGGAAGGAGTACATCCGGCGACTGCGCAGGCAATATCTCCAACTGCATCCCACGCCCAACTGGGCAAACCCTACGCTGAACAGGCAGGTAGACGAAGATGAAGATGACTTTAATCGCGGAGAAGATATGGACACGGACGAGGAAGAAGGAACATCGACGCAGCCGCTGGCGAAACTCCTACAGGGGATTGACTTCACGAAAAACGAAACTACTGGCCCAACGGGTGGTAGGCCAAAATTGCGAACAGAAGTTATTGGTCTTCAACGCTTGAAAGATATTGGACAAGACCAACCAGTAAGCGCACAGTGAGCACCTCTTTTCTTATAAGCTACTAACATGCGCAATGTATAGTCCGCCGTCAGCTCCCTCTCGTTTCACCCTCATCACCCATTAATCCTCTCGTCGGGACCAGCATCAACCCTGTTCCTCCACCACGTCGCCCCCGATGCGCCTGCTCCCAACCCGCTCCTTACATCGCTACACCTCCGCAAAACTCCCATCAGCACATCAGCCTTTTCTTTCCCCGATGGAAACCAAATCTACGCTTCTGGCCGCCGCCGCTTCTTCCACATTTGGGACCTCAACTCCGGCAAGGTTGACAAGATCAATGGCTCCGCAGACCGCCGCGAGGAACAGAAGTCCATGGAGCACCTTAAATTATCCCCCTGCGGACGCTACATTGGCCTCATCGGCTCCGTCCGCAAGGGTGGCGGCGTCGTCAACATCCATAGCACAACCACAGCACAATGGATCGCGCAAGTCCGTGTCGATGGCCGTGGCGGTGTAGCCGACTTCGCCTGGTGGAGGAATGGCGAGGGTCTAACGGCCGTCAACCTGAACGGTGAGGTCTCCGAATGGGACGCCCAGCTTAACCGCATCGTTGCACGATGGAAGGACGCTGGTGGTGTAGGAACGACCATCCTCCGCCTCGGCGGGAGCACTGAGCAATCAGCCCTAGGAGGCGACCGCTGGGTAGCCATCGGAAGCAACTCCGGTATCGTCAACATCTACGATCGCTCCAAGTGGGCGAATACATACGCCTCCCTCTCTTCCGCAAAGGGGGATACTTCAACCGCGATTCCTCGAAATCCGGAACCAACCCGTGCGCTTGACCAGCTCGTTACGTCCATAAGCCATATCCAATTCGCACCGGATGGACAATTCCTCGCCATGGCGAGTGAAACTAAGAAAGATGCCTTGCGTCTTGTGCATCTCCCTAGCTGTACGGTGTACCGGAATTGGCCGACGCAGAGCACGCCGTTGGGGCGGGTCACGTCTGTGGCCATTTCACCAAACTCTGAGTACCTGGCTATTGGCAATGACCGAGGACGGATTCGGTTGTGGCAGATCCAGGGGTAGGGGTTTTGCTGCATTTAGATCTATGTCTACATATATCAATCAAAACAGCGTTGATTCTAAATGTATAAAAACAAATTAGAAATTTTTTTAGGAATTGTTTGTAGATTGTCTAACATGTCTAGTAGTCCATGTCTATGACCAACTTATCTGTACGCGAAGGCTGAATCATGAAGCCTCGCAGTATCTTTGTTTTTTCGACTCTGTATATCTTCTTAGGGCACCGATATACCCAATCCTAACCCCTGGCCCCTCGCAATTGCAATCATTCATAACACCAGTATCATAGACATTACCAACGGGCCCAAATCCTAAACAGCGCCTTTCTAAACCACAGGTGCAATTGTGGGGAATTAACAGAATGCTTGCATGTCCTTTGCATTGCGAATACCAGCCAAGTTGCCGGCGCGGACACGCTTCAGTGTCAAGGCGGCGATCAGAGCAGCACCGACACCGGATCCATCCTCGGCAGCATGGATGGTAACCTTGTCCTTGTCGCTGGGGGCCCAGTCAAGGATTTCACGCAGGGCCTGGGCACCACGGGCCTTGAAGTGTGGGTATTTTGTGAAGACCGAGCCGTCAGCTCCGACGTGGCAGGTCTCGATGTTCTTTTTCTTGCAGATGGCGGCGACACCGCAGGCGGACAGGCGAGCAGCACGAGTGCCAATCAGCTCAGCGAGGCGACGCATCATTTCGAGTTCGGAACGGGTCGATGTGATCTTAAGCTTGTTTTGAACGAGCTCCGCGGTTTCCGTCAGATTCTCGTAAGGGTCTTCCTCGATTGCGGCCGGGAAGGACGAGTCCAACAAGTACGGAATTCGCAGCTGAGAGGTATCCTGGTCGGCAAAGATAAGCCCTGGATGGCTGTCTAGGATGTCTACCAGAGCCAGCCGGAAGATCTCTCCCAGGTACAGACCAGCGGTCATCTTCTCAAAGGCCTGCTGGCCGGGACGGGGTGAGTCGCGGTCGATGATGTGGTCGTACTTAGTGAGGGGGAGGACAACGTGTTCATTGTCAAATGCGCCGTACTCGCAGTTGATTGCAACGGGCATGTCTGGTGGTAGATTCATGTGGGCCAACTTTGGTACAGAGCCGGCATCCTCCATATAGGCGGCGTTGACGCCGGTGCCGAAAATGCAGCCAATCTTCATTTCGGAGTCAGTGTACGAGGATGCAATGAGTGTTCCGGTTGTATCATTGATCAAAGCAGCAACCTTAATGGGGAGGCCCTATAATGACAGTCAGTACGCGCACACACAAAGTCGAAAGGCCTAAATCGGTGCCGTACCCTCTCCTTAAAGACCTTCTCGAGAGGAGGCACGACATCCTCACCCTCGACGCCGTCAATGTCGAAGCCCTTGGTCCAACGTTGAAGGACACCATGGTCGATGTAGTCCTGAGTGGCGGGGTATGAAAAGGTGAAACCCAGCGGCAAACTTGTCAGGCTTTCGTTCTCGTGGTGGAACTGGATGAACTGCTCAACACAGTCGACAATGTATTCCCACAGTTCTTCCGCATTGCCCGTCTTGAGCTCCTCGGGCATTCGGTACTTGGACTGGATGATATCGAAGCCGCCTTTTTCCTTAGTCAAGGTGATTTCACAAACACGCAAGTTGGTACCGCCCATGTCGAGGGCCAGAAACGTGCCTTGTTCCTGGCCGTCCGGGAAACCCATAACCCAGGTGACATTCATAGGCTACACTGTTAGATAGTGGACGACGCTAGTCGGACTTCTGGGTGCTCACAATGTTGCCGCCCTTGACGGTAAGGCCTAAAGGAGCCGACTCTCAGCGATGTTCAGATATTTACTTGTTCACGTCACTTACCCTTCTCCAGCTCCTTGACGAAGTGGTCGACGACCTGCTTAAGCTTGGCAGTGTCAACAGTAAAGATCTCTTCAAACTGTTTGATCTGCTCCAAGAGGTCCTGGGGCACGTCCGTCGTGGACCCTGAAAGACAAGATTAGGACCAAAGCTGGAGGGGAGGAGGGGAGCGGTGACGTACCCCTCCGGGAGGGACGGCGTTTGGGACCAAGTCCGACCATTTTGAACGAGAACGAGAATCAGAATAAGATAATATGAGACTGAGGATGAGGTCGATGCAATTGAGGAGGAAAAAAGGAAGACAAGGAAGGGATGAAGAAAAGAGGAAGATAAACTTTGAAGAGCAACAGAGTGGGGGATTTTCTCGAGGGGTCTGGATCAAGCACAAGAACCCCACAATCTCACCGGTCTATCATTTGGGAGCTTTCCTCGACCTGTCAAGACTCAAGCTCGCTTCCATGACCCGGTCGTTGCGTGCAGTCTTATTATTATCTCGCCAGCTTCAGCAGTCTTGCAGTGCTGATTCTTCGTTTTCTTGTCCTCAGCATTGAGACCTGAGATCAATAGGTGACGCCGCCAGTGTCTGTGGCTGACATCATGGCGCATCATTGTCTGAGGCTGTCAGGACGAAGAGCCAAGCATGATCATCCTGATTATATCATAGTCGGCCGATGCTCTTCACTACTGCCACGAACTAATTTGTGTTACACACACACACACACACACACACACACACACACGGAGGATTCTTCCGACGACGCACTAAAAGCAGTGTATACTACTCGTACTACGATCCATCATCCCACCACTTGCAAACTCGGTATGAACTATAATAGTGACACTCTATGCTTCCTCAACATGTAAATAGAGTTGAGTTTCGCTGCATCAAAAAATACGCACATATAAATACTAGAATAACGCCCATGTACACTTACTCTTCCATACCATCCTCCTGTACTATTTCATTCATCTGCAACAGTATCTATCATGTTTTTCAAATTAATCCAGCTCATTTTTGTGACAGTTGCAGTAGCAGCCACTATTGAATCTTCCATCATCAATCGTCTCCTCGAGCTCGACCTTGGTCTCAAGGGAGCATACGTCCTTTTAGACAGAATCGACGAGGAATCCGCGAATATCACCGCCTCTGTATGACTGCCAACACCATAACCTATCCAATTAATTAACACTATAAATAGGATGTCAGCGTCGCCTACAACGCCATCATAGCACCTGGCACAAATTCGATCCAGCAGCCATTTTCCAGTCCCTGTGATGAGGCTATTCAATTCACCATATGCGAGGCATACCACATGGTATCATTCCAATACACGCCTCCAATATTACTCCAATTCCCGTAATAACGTTGATATCTCTAGTTTGCTATAACTAGCATCGAGTTATACAGTGACCTCACCGACGACGCTTCGAAATTCAACAATGACCTACGGAAAGGCATGCAGGAAGGTTTCGACCGTATCCACAAAGAGAACGCAGTAGGTGTACCTCTTATTATTCGTCCATAATACGATCACTGACTAGTCAGTTCTTCGTGGAACATGTTGCTCCCAGCGAGGTTCCCCTTTGTCTCGAGAGCATCCAGTGGGATTGTTTTGCTATGAACAAGGCCTACTGGATGGCGTGCAAGGCGCTCACACCCAATGCTGCATAGTAGTTTGTTTATATATAAATTGCTTCAGGGATGATCTAATAATATACTTTATTTGATGTTTATATGCTCATGCCTCATTATGTGATCGTATTTCGTCCCCGAAGTAAGCAGAGTAAACTCCCAACGCCGCCTCATAACCTCTTTTGCGACTTTTATTTTTTGGCCAAATGCGGGAAAACGTGAGCCAGTCCTGTAACCCCATTGTTTTCAGGTGAGGAACTGTCCAGACGCTCCCGAACACGTTTCTGGTAAGCGTCTGAGATCTCCAGCGTCTTGTCTACTTCTGCGGTCAACCGGGTAATCTCATTCTCGAGCCGCTCTTCTCGCGTCGCAGGAGGCGCCAGTTCTTCCTCCCGCGACTTCTTGTTGGGGTTGGCTTCCTCCCACAAGCTTTGCAGTTCTTCCTCCCAGCCCAGTGCTCGCGCAAGTATCCTCACCCCGTCGTCACAGTCGCCTAAGATGAGGACATCGTCTGGACGAGACCCTATCCCCCCAACTCGCTCCCGGTTAATTAGAACACGTGGGACACCATCTGCAACGAACGAGGGGAGGCTAGCAAATGGCTGCACTTGGAGACTTGTCCCCATGACAATGCACAGGTCTGCCGTTTCGGGAAGGTCTCTGTTGGAGAAGAAAGACTCGGGGAGGGCTTCCCCAAAGAAAACGATATCCGGCTTCACTAACCCCCGACACTCCTCGCACGACGGCACCTTAGCCTTCGCAATTGCTTCCTTCATGGCATCTTCCGGATATGCCGTTTTACAGTCAATGCAGCGCTGAGTCGCGAAGCTCCCGTGTGCTTCGACGATCATCTCGCCTGGTACACCCGCCAGCCGCTCTAAACAGTCGATGTTCTGCGTAAAGTGCTTCAAAAGCTTTCCCTTTTCATAGAGTAGTTTTACAAACGAATGTGCGATTGTAGGTCTGTACTGGCCTGGGGCCAGCTCGCGCGCCAAAGCGTAGAATGGCTTAGGATTTTCTCTGAAAAAACTGATGTCGAACACCGCCTCGGGGTCGGGTAGGTCCAGGTGGATGAGGTTTGCATATATACCAGTATCTGGAGACCGGAAATCGGGTATACCGGCTGATGTGCTTATTCCTGCCCCAACCTAGACACATTCATCACCGAGCGTTAGCTATCAGAGCGGGGGAGGGGCATGTTGGGATAACGAGGCATACCATCACCACCACCCGTCGCACTTGTTTCTCCTTGACATATTTCGCAACAGCTTCAACTGTACGTGCTTGTAGCACGGACGGTGGAGTATTTTCGTCTACCACCGTAGATGATTCATTGCCCATGATGCGAAACCGACGACCAGACTTGGGCCTGGTTTGCTGGTGTCGAGCTCTGTGGCGGCGTCCTATTGTGACTGGGAAACGCGAAAACAAATATTTCTATAATATGAGCAGCAAGCGCTAAGAGAATCTATATCAAATCTTCCCAAATGAGTGTGAGCAGCTAGTTGAGATATTTCTAAATGACGTTTGATTTTCAGATCACGGTATTTGCCTTAGGCATCACGTATTTTTGTGGCCATCGATGCTGGCTTTCTTGCACCGGATCTTCCTCAGCTGCAACAACGTACTTCTCGATAATTGTAGATCTTTCGGCCAAAGACTTTACTTCTCTCCGGAACCTCTATGTCGCAGTATGAGTCAGGAAACCCTGCAGCCTGTCATTCAGACCCTCAAAGTCCGCCCTCACCGCCTTCAACTTCTGCCACATCGCTTGTTCTCCAAGTAATCAACGGTCTCCCAGGAACATAATAAATACGTTCCCATTGTTGACATCGCAGCCTTGCCTCAATGGCTGTGGATGCCGGGAGAATGGCAAATAATACATCTGCTGTTGTCAATGGACACTCGGAAACTCCATCGTCAGCAACACCAGACTCGAAACCAACATCGCCCCCCTCCGGCATCTACAATGCAAGCTCCGTCGCTGAAATCAAAGCCACCCTGTCCCACCTGCACGAGCAAGAGGCCGCCGTAACAGCTCGACTTGACGCTCTCGTTGCCTCTCAAAAGGATTTCTCGCGAGAATTAGGTCGGCTGGACCTCCTCCGCGCTCATCTCGGCTCCCAAACCAGTACCACGCGAGCAATCAGCAACGGCATGCTCTCCGGTGCCGCTTCAACCGCGGACCGTATCTCCAGTGCAGTTCGTCGTCTAGACTTAGAACAATCGAGGGTAAAGGGCACGTTGGAGGTTGTGGAACAGGTGTCAGAGTTGAAAGCATGTGTCCTGGGGGTCTCAGGCTCAATGGGGGCTCCCCAAGACTGGGAAAGGGCAGCTAGCTATTTGGACCGCGCGGCTAAGGTGCCCTTGGAGGTTGTCCAAGGTGCCTTCGCAGCAGAGATGGTACCTACAGCGGAGGTCCCGGATCCGCCAAACGTGACACTGAACAATGCGGCTGAGTCGCTGTGTGGGCTGTTTCTGCGCGAGTTTGACAAGGCTGTCAAGGAAAACAATGGGGCTAAGATTACCCGATTTTTTAAGCTATTCCCGTTGATTGGGCGCTCGGAAGTTGGTTTGGATGTCTACGGACGATATGTCTGCCAGGGCGTGGCGGCCCGAGCACGGTCGAATCTCAATACGGGAACAGGACAGCAGGACGGCTTCTTTTACGCTAATACACTTAGCAAGCTATTCGAGCATATTGCGCAGATAGTTGACGGCCATGGAGCGCTTGTCGAGCGTCACTATGGCCCCCGGAAGATGAATAGGGTCATTGAGCGCTTACAACTGGAAGCTGATGTGCAAGGCGGTATCGTTCTCGACACCTGGAGCGATGAACGGCATATCGACCGCAAATTGATGGATGTTAAATCATATGCCTTTACTTTCTTGGTTCAGAGCTTTCTTCCCCCTCAACGGACTACGACGCCAAGATCCAATTCTCCGGCCACCCGGGATGTCACTGCGGAAGACGAAGGAGTGGACATGAAGGAAATCGATGGGCTGTTGAACGAAATGGCCATCATGCTAAACCGGTGGTCGCTTTACAGCCGATTCTTAGCGGAGGCATGCAATGTAGGTCTCAATCTTTCTATAAGATCTCCAAGAAAACCAAGCTGACCAACCTCGTCTAGCCAAACGAAGAACAAAGGTTCGAGTTACTCCAATTCTTGAAAGAATCGGCTCTTTCCAAGAAGATCGATGACCGTCTCGTATCCCCCTTCAACATCATGACGACATTCTTCTTCAGACGATCGGTTGAAAAGGCGTTCCAGCTAGACGAGCAGCCCTCGGGCTTAACTCTGAACCGCCAGCGGCCGTTGAAGGCAGATCCGCCACATATCTCGTCCGCAGTTGATGACATTATGTTTATCGTCAACAAGGTCCTACAGCAGTCTCTCTCAACGTCTCAGATTGGGGTCGTCACCAACGTCGTCCCAACTCTATCACGCGTCCTTGGGTCTGACTTCATCGGCATGACCCAACGCAAGATGCGCGACGAGTGCTACCCTCGGGCAACCCACCAGGGAGCCTCTCCTCCAGAGCACATCGTCATCTCCTTCCTGGTCCTGATCAACAACCTCGAAGTAGCAGTTGACTACGTTCGGCGCATCATCCAAAACATCACAGAGTCCAAGAAGACCGTCACCAATCCAGAGGGTCAGCCTGAAGAAACGGACCAACTCCGAACACTCTTTCCTTCCCCGTCTGATGCAGCGGTTGTCTCTCAAACCCTCAGTACTCTCTCGAATAGCTTCGAGGCCAAAGTCAACGACCTCCTATCAGACGGCATCCAAGTCGTCTTCAATAACATTATCAAACACCGCCTCCGCCCCATCCTCTCCGATGCCTTCCGCGATATCGAATACCAACCAGCCTCTGACACCGCCCCACTAACAACCTACCAGTCCGACCTCGACTCGGACTCGGACTCCGCACCCCCAGACAACGACCCAGACTCCTCGCGGGAGCTAGTTCGCCCCCGCTTCAGCGCAGCCTGGATGGAGCTCCTTGCCCCCATCTCCCGGATCCTGAATAGCACCGCCTTCGACCGCCTCCTGACAGTAACAATCGCGTACCTTTCGCGGCTGCTCGAAAAGCGATTATGGGCCTACCACGGCCGCGTCAATGCGCTCGGTGCAACCCGCCTCGAGCGCGACGTCGCTGGTCTTGTCAACGCTGCTCTTGACATCCCCTCTGCAGGTGGGGCTGGTGTCTCGGGCCGGTACCGGCATCGAGACGCCTTTGCGCGGTGTGTCCAGATGGTCCTTGTAATGGGTATGGACGAGGACGAGTGGGACGATGTTCTTCGAGGTGGGGAGACAGTGGATGTGGTTGATAAACTGAATGCGGAGGAGAGGAGGAGGGTTCGCGGGATGGTTAGGCGATAGTTTCCCTTTTCTTTTACTTTTTCCCCTTCCCTTTCTTGTCTTTATCCTGCATATAATTTTACTTTACTAGATAAGAGTTATATAGATTCATCATCATTATGTTATATTCTATGAAACCGAGTCCTTCTGAGGGGCAGTGGCTTATCCATGACTTTTTTTTTATTAAGTCTATTGTTAAATACTAATGTAATGGTAGTAGATAAAATGCATCTCTACAACATATCCTGGAGTTTTCAATATCAACCCATGAACAACCCGCGACTCCTCGTATTAGTATATACAACGTATGACAATTCAATATCAGCCAGTGATCAGGTCCCAAATCCCAGACCCATAAGCATTCGTTCAAAGATAAAAGCTGAAGCGGTAAAAAGAAATCAACGCCTGCTGAAACACACAAACTCGGTCTAGAAAAAGAATACAAATCCGGTTGGATAAAAGAGAAATGGCTCAGCCAAAATGAGGAAAACAAACAGAAGTGGATATCTCGGACGTAAACAAGAATGAAGTAAAAAGAAAAATTCGGGCTAGCCAAAGTCCAAAAATTGGAAATGGCCCGACTATGAATCGGAAACCGCTTTCTCATTGTCGACTGGGAACGGGTGTGGTGGTTGTTCTTTGGTGTTGATTTCTTGGATGTCTGACACTTCGCTACCACGGCTGTTCGCGGTTGGGGTTTCGCCGTCTATCATCATGTCACTATGTTCACCAATGCCGTAGCGCGCGGCCACAGGGACCTGATGGCCGTCTGCATGTTGGTCGTGTTGTTGGGGGGTCCAGGCGAGGTAGTCACGACGAACCTCGACATAGTCATATGCGAATTCGCCGAGCTGGTCATCGTCCATACCGAGGAGTTCGGCTTCTTCTGAGGCGCGGAGCTTCAGGCCGGGGATAGCATTGATCGCATAAGCAATGATAGCGGATACGACGAAACAATAGGCGGACGCAGCGACAATGAAGGCAATTTGGATATACAGCTGCTTCCAGTTATGAATGATCCAACCACCCATTTCGGAACCGGTGTTAACTCCGTCCAGTCCAACAATAGCGTCATCAGCGAAAAGAGCGTTGAAGATGAGACCGACGATACCGGCGACACCGTGCTCGGCGAACACATCCATAGAGTCATCAATACGGATCCAGAATTTCACTGTATATCAGATTAGCAAATCAGTCCAAAACCAAAGTCATTCAAAGGGGAAACATACCCTTAGTTGCATAGTTGCAGACGATGCCAGTAACAATACCGAGGATAACACTGGCCCAAGGAGGAAGGAAACCGGAAGCAGGGGTCGCAGCCACAAGGCCAGAGATGGTACCCGAACACCAACCAACCATTGACCATTTACGAGCCAAGCGCCAATCCAAAACCACCCATGTAATCGCCGCGAAGGCGGCAGTCAAGTTGGAGTTCCAGCATGCCATGGTGGCGCGCAAGTTAGCACCGAAGGACGAGCCGCCGTTGAACCCGAGCCATCCAAACCAAAGAAAGACGGTTCCAAGCAGGATGAGAGAGACGTTGTGCGGGCGGAAGTTGAGCATCATGCGTTCCTGGCGACGGCCGAGAACCATCGAGTAGGCGAGCGCCGATAGACCGGAACAGATTTCGACGGGTCCACCACCAGCGTAATCCAGCACACCATAGTTGAAGGCCCAGCCGTTAACGTTCCAAGTCCAGCAGGCGATGGGGCAGTAGACAATTGTAGCCCAGACGAAGGTGAAGACCATGGCGGGAAGCAAGCGGCCACGCTCAGCGACTGCTCCCATAATAATGGCAGCTGTAACTCCGCAGAATTGCATCTAAATTGGTCAGTCCCAAAGCAATTCTAGATAGGAGTTGTGGGAAGTACCTGATAGAAGGCGTAGAGAAGGTTGGGAACCAGGGGCGACCCAGGGCTGGGATCGGCCAAAACCTTCATCAAACCAAAGTTGCGCAAGTTTCCAATGTATCCGTTGGTAGCAGTTGGAGAGAAGGCCAATGAGTAACCCCAGAAGTACCATTGAAAGGTAACGACGCAGAAGGAACCCATACAGGCCCAGATCATACTAAGGGCGGATTTGCGACGAGCGAGACCGGAGTAGAGGAAACCGAGACCGGGGATCATGAGCATGACCATAGCAGACGCGACAATAATGTAGGCTTGGTCACCGGCCTGGTACCATTTGTTCAGGTTTTCCACCCCTAGAATCACGGCTGTTAGAGAAGCTCACGCGAGCATGGCGGCCGTCACAACATACTTGAGTTTCCGCCCAGCTCGTTTGTAGCAAGGGCAGAGTAGTCTGACGGGGCTCCCGTCCAGTTGTACGAGGCATACTCGGGAGCAAAGGGAAGCTTGCCCTCGTCGGCCATGGCTGGGGGTGTGAAGGTGGAACTGAGGAGCGAAGTGCCGGCGGAATCAGCAAGCGAAGGGTGTGAAGCGTCCCTTGCCCTCGGTCAACGTGGGCAATGCTATAAGTCGAGATTGGGATAGAGATGAAAATGGACGTCCACGGATTGTGGAGAAGAAAATGCCCCGGGGCGGAGGAAGGTATATAAAAGAAAGCCAAGAGGCGTCTGGGAGAGTCAGCGGGTGGATAAAGATACAGAAAGATAGTGAGCAATCGAAATACTAATTGAATGACAAGACAAATTCCACGATCGACGGGGACGGCCAAGTGGGCCCGATCCAGAGTTGCGACGGGCCCAAACTTCACTAACCTTTCCTCCCAGAGGAATAACCGGAATCAAGGATCCTGGTGCAGAGTCTGGCTGTCTCGGCTCTCAGGCTGCGCTGCGGTGCATCAAGGGGAGAAAAAGCAAGCATTCAGAGATAAACAAGACAAAGTCCGAGCGAGGCGCGCTGAATGATAACCAATTGCGGCTGGATCGCCAATGCAAAATCAAATCGAATGGGATAAAGAAAACCAACCCGGAAATCCTGCGTGCCGGCCTGCGGCTTCGGTATTTTACTACACAGCGTTGCTCTTGCTATAGTTAAGCAGTTTCCGCTCCGAAGCCTTCCTGGTTATTCTTCTCCATTCCTCGTGGCAAGGCCCCGGTTCTCACTACTCCGTGCATCAGTGGCGGCGACCTGCAGAGTTCATTCCACTGTGGAATCCATCCCAGTGGAAACGCTGAAACTGCTCCGGACCGGCTCCATTCTAGGTTGATCGATAGATGATAGTAAGACCATTAGTTGGACTGGATAGCTACCCTTCCTAGTCCTCGGTAACTTCGATAATTCAGCGTCATGATTCATGACCGGCTGCTCTGTCTTGACATTGGCTCTGTGGGCTGTTGATGCATCATTCTCGCGTTCAATAATGTCAGCTCGAGCTTATCGGCACACGAGAAGCCAAGGTGCCTTGGCAAAGCAATGGCCAGGCATTCCGGGGCCGAAACCGCTCCTCTCTTGAAGTCTCGCGAGGAATTGCTACTTGTATTTATGCATTGTGCGGTTCCTGGTCCCTGATAGCCGTAGATACAGGATCTCCAGCTTCTCCGTGCTCTGCATATTCTGTTAATCTATCCACCGTGATAACTGATAGCCACAGGGTCCAGGAGCCCTCGGCGTGCACTTCTCGAGCTCTCCAGCTATCACGAAGGAAGAGTTGCTTATCAGGATTCTCTCAGGTAACGACAACAATCCACTATTGGGCCGTTATCATAGGGCAAAGATAAGGCCCTCGCGCCACTGTGGGTCTCCGCCGCAAGGCTAACCCGAGTTCGGATTGATAGAATTTCGTTTGCGTTGGACGGCTGATAAGGCTCTTCCCGTCCAATGAGAGACGCGGTTCACGACGGAAGGCCCCTGTTGCTTTCCTCATTCTCCCGAGTTCCGCCAAACGGTCGGACAGACAATCGGGCAGAGTAGGAGCCTGCAATCTGCAACGGCCACGCTGAGCCACAAGTTTCGGCCCAGAGGATGAGACTGACAGAAAGCACACGGCAACAGAGTTTGATCTGTCGCGTGCCATCAAAACGTGTTGGTTTCCTCCGTGATCAAAAGTAAATCAATTCTACTTTGCCGCTTGAGCAGTGACCAGCCTACACCTAGACTAGATTTAGAATCGCTGCAGAAGAAATTGAAACGAGATCAGCTTCTGCGGGGATGGGGATGCACTCCACGTGGGCACGGTCCCATCAGCGTGGTCAAAGGCCATCTCCCTGCCTTAGTACGGCTGCTAAGGCTGAGAAAAGTCTCGGTCTCGACTCCGGATTCGCGATTCGAGTCTGCCGCGGCCATGCTACCAAATCAGACTAGACTTTCTTATCTTGAGTCTGGAGTATGTGCAGCTAGACTGGGCCCAATGCGGGGTACCCATAGATCTTCAGCAAGTCTTGAAGTCAAGAGTGGATTCTTTTAGCTGGGCTGGATTCTGGAATATTCAATATAGTGTACCAGCGCAATTCCAGTCAAGAGCTCCAACTTCCATCGCAATGGGATACATGAAAGAAGTCGAAATAAGATGCAGGGTTTGCGATAGGCTTCGGCGATCCCTTGGCATCAGCATATCGATGTGTCATGGAAATTCCTTATTCGCACGCCCAAGACTACCTTATTTCCGTTGCATTGCTTGGTAGACTAGTTCCAAGTTGGTCCTCACGTTCCGGCTACTATTATCCCCGGGGTCCATGGCCAGGGCTTCAACGAGAACGGTTCAAAGTCATTGCTTCCCCGCGCTCTTCTCTCTGATACACCTTCCCTGCCAATACGGTATTTCCATCTTCCCTATTGACCTATCTCGCTTCTTGAGCCTCGCCTAGGTGGCGGTGGAACATGGATACTAGTACCTGGCACGGAGGCGGTTGAAGCATCTACCACGGCTTTTAGCGGGTCTGTATTTAGGAACTATCGGTTTCTACTTTCTAGGAATAAGAGTGTCCGTATTACTCAAATCCGTTTACACACACACACACACACACACACACACATATATATATATTTGGGTATATGTCTAGCCCCAGGTGCGATAGTGTAAAATAAACTTCCCGCTGCCTAGTTCGAAGAGGAACACAGTGTCTATATACCCTGAATTGACTCAAGTCGTCACTGTAAAGGTAAATCTCAAAGCGTATTTTGCTTACATATTTTCTTCCGCAATAAAGATGGTTGGTTGGGGTTTCCTAATTTGGAGCGATATCGTGGGCGATAAACCAATTCGAATATGGAGTAGTGCTGGGAAAAGTGTGGGGAAATGAGAAGAAAGTCATTCATATGTATCCCATAATTTTGGATATCAATGCCGGATAGAGGTCATGTTGCCTCCAATCCCACCGAATTCCAGTACCAGTATTTATAATGTATGCCACAAAGTATACTGCGGTGTTCTATAAATTACACGCGAGGAACAAACTTGTTCATAATGGAATGATTCTGATTAAACGTGTCTACTCAAACAAAAAAACTATCCTATCGCCCAGAAGCATTCGCCCAAAGTTAAGACTGCAAACCTAGTGACACCTTTTAGGGCCCTGTAAAAATAAGAAACTCGCCCCAAACTCCAGGTTTCATTGCAAAAAGAAAAAAAAAAAAAAGGGCCAGGGGTGAGGAGGTAATCCAACATGTTCCAGCTCCTAAAACCCGTTTCAACCAAAGAGCCGGATGGGAATAAGCAAAAAAAGAAAAGCAAGAAGACAGGGAGAAGATATCACACTTATAACTGTACAGGAAAACCGTAATAAACCGCCATACAAGAATGATCTAAGCCGCGACCTGAGTCGAGGGATTGATGTTTTCACCATTGGCGTCCTCCTCGGCCCATGAGCCCCACAGTGAACGTTTACCGCGTATCTTGATCGGCCCGCCGACAGTGTTCGAGCGTTGCTCAACTTGAACGGCATCCTTGGTGGCCAGAACCAAAGTTTCGAAGAACAACTTCGTCGCATCGGCCTTGGAAGCCTTCTTCTCAGGAAGGAGGTCTTGGAATTTGACGGCCTTCTTCTGGTCCGCATCGCCAAGGCAATCACGCAGGACATGCACCGCGCGTTTTGTGCCGACTGACACTAGGTTGTTGTCGACGGGCTCAATGGTGTCGTCAAAATCGTCCAATGGCTGCTGGAGACCTTCGTCATCACTAAGGTGGAGCTGGTCACGGTCATCGCCAGGAAATTCGATCTCAGAGCGCTGGTGTAGGGTTGATTCAAGACCGACTCCCTCGTCAACCGGAACAATCGCTTCTTCTTCAAGTTCCAGAGCTGGGCCAGTGGCGGCATCAACGTCCATATCCGAAATTCCACTGTCGCGCTTACGTTTTAGCTCGCCAGCCTTCCTGACAGTTTCAAAGGAGAGCAAATCACGGATCTCAGGAGCCCAGCCGCGGCCGCGGCCACCAGCCATAACATTGGTGACAAAATCGCCATTCTGTTGCATATTCATGAGGGTTAGAAGAACAGGATCGCGGGGCAAGAAAGATGCAGGCTTCAGGCTTTCAGAGAGCTGCGCTTGCTGTATTTTGAAGTAGGTGCTGCCTTTGAACTCAATGTCCTTGTCGGCCTCAATTATAGGAAGTTGCTTTCTCCGCTTGGCGCGTTGCGCATGCTGAACGACTGCATCGTCCTCCTCATCGCCCTCATGAGGCTGGAAGCCACTGTCAAGTTCTGGGTTTAGGCGTTCCATCATGTCGTCGGAGGCTTCGGTCAAGGTACTCTCGCGCTCAAATCGCTCATCCCCGCCATCCGCAACCACAGTGTCATCGCCGAAACCCATTGGTTCATCCGGATGCAAGAAATCGTCCTGCAAATCATCCGCTCCCAAGTCCATCTTCCCAGCCGGAGCGTCGTTATCTCCAAAGTCTAGCCCTAGGTCGCCGGCATCAGCATCAAGAAGTTTGCCGGCATCACTAAAGTTGTCTTCTTCCATAGGACGCGGAGCGGGGGCATCTCGTCCCACTTCCATGCTGAAATCATAGGGCAAAGTCAGATCTGTCTCATCGAGTCCAAGATCAAGATCAAGATCGCCAGGATCCTCTAAACGTGCAGGTTCCTGAGAAGCAGAGCGTCGCAGTCCAGTATCGGGAAATAGTTGGCTCCCAAAATCCATCGATGGCCCCGGTCGCTTTCCCTCTGGCTCTAGTGAAAGAGGTTGCGGCAAGAGTAGCGATGAATCAAGATTCATGAACAAATCGGATTCGGTCAAAACATCTGGCAGAGTGATTCCGCCAGGGGCGACAACAGCACTAGTCGTCAGATCATTATTGTTCGTGAGACGGAATGCCTACGTTTAGCCAAGTTAATGAAAACCCTAGGACGACGAATATGATAAATGGGGAGACATACCATCTTAATTTTCATCAAAGCCTCATTGCAATCATCGAGTAAGTAGCGCGCTTTCCTGCTGTAGATGCGAACGACACCGAGTAGTAGCTGGCCACTCAGTCGCAAAGCCATGGGAGCCTGTCCCTGATCTACGATAGCACTAACGCTGCTCTCGATGTCGGACTGCAAGATGTGCGATTTCGATAGTTTGCGCTCCAGGTTGGCGGACAGCCAGACACGGGCCAGAGGCCCGGTCTTGGACAGCAAGGTCTCCGAATAGAACATGGTAAAAAAGGTATCAAAACCAGATAATCACTCAATGTGTCCAATGCAAATGAATATCCAAGATATGTAGCGATACCCGCATTGGGCGGGGTGATTCGTGGTGGAAGTCTCTTCCAGCCAAAGGTGGGTGACGCGACGAAGCCAGAAAACAAACGGTATCGGTGAGTCGGGTTGCTTTGGCGCCTGAGGGTATTGGCGAAAGGAGAATCAAAGGGAGGAGATAAGATCAAAATATCACGTAAAAACGCGGCGACAGGACTTGTAAGTGAAATCGACGCCAAAAGCACTCGCAGCGCAGGAGAGCGACCAGAGGGGCAGGTGGAAAGGGAGGAGGTTGGAGATTTGAGGTGGGTTGCCCAGGCGCGTCTTGACAATCACAGGTGGCTGGGCGAATTATGCTCGTTAGGTAAGCAATGCGAGTCACCTGATTTGTGAAGCTACTTGATGCGAGCGGCTCCGGCCGATGGTTCTTCCGGGTCCATTCCAGGCTAGGCTGCTGAGTGTCAACATCCCCGACGCCAATGCTGCTGCTGAGCGGTTGAAGACGAAATTCTAGATTCTGCCAGCTTACCCATTCTGTTATTAGCGATTCGGTATCCCAGACGCATTATACTTTGTTTTGTCTTTGACCCGGTTTCGCACGATACGATCGCTGTTCCTTGGGCCAGTGATACAGCCGCAACCAAGTCGCATCCGGAGAACGTGGCTTTTCGATCACCATTGTGCCTTGAGATTAGTGTTTTTTCTTTGGAGCAACCGATTTTGAACGAGCGTCACTACATTCCTGTCCCATTTGAATTGCCTACGTAACTCGATGGGATAGTAAAACTTGAACCACGGTTTATATCGTCTCCTATACCCTATCGAGACATGAGAAATGTCAAGGTCCGCTACGCCTGCGCTACCTTTTCATAATGCCCAGGCTGCTGGCTCGAGATCCCCATCGACTGCGCCTGTAGGAGCGCGGCCGAATGCTGCACCTTCGGTAAGTGACAATTGCCAGATGCACCTTACATCATTGTCTTTGATAGTTGACTTGATCGCGGCTAATCAACTACATGCTAGGCATCGACCGCGACCTACTCGCAGCTAGACCCTCAGGAGACTGCAGATCGCTTACAGACGTCCATCACTCATGGCCTCACCCCGGCGGAGGCGGAAATACGTTATTTAAGGGATGGTCCGAATGAATTACCACACGAGGAACCGGAACCTTTATGGCTCCGATTCCTGAAGCAGTTCAAAGAGACCCTAATTCTTCTCCTTCTTGCTTCTGCAGCGGTTTCGTTTTTCATGGGCAATTACGACGATGCGGTTAGTATTGCTTTAGCTGTTACAATAGTGGTCACGGTTGGGTTTGTTCAGGAATATCGGTCAGAAAAGTCCCTGGAAGCTCTTAATCGTCTGGTTCCACATCATGCCCACTTGATACGCGATGTCCCGTCCAATCTTCCTCCGATAGTTCACCCAACTCCAGCAGTCCCAGACGAAGAATTCGAGATGCGTGAGCTTCGCAACAAGAGTCCGAACTCGAATTCGGTTTCAGCGGCCGTCAAGGCCTCAAGTACCGTGCCAGCCGCGGAGTTAGTGCCGGGAGACTTGGTTTTGTTCACAGTGGGAGACCGTATCCCCGCCGACATAAGAATTACTGCCGCTACGGACCTGACTATCGATGAATCGAATCTGACTGGTGAAAATGAACCTGTTGTGAAGTATCCGGACGCCATCCGCAATCAAAAGAATCTTTCGACACCAACCCCCAAAATCGTGAGTCCACCACGGTCGCCATTCTATGACGCCCCTGCCAGCGGTGCGGTCGGTGCGGATATACGTTTGAATGAACAGCACAACATTGCGTTTATGGGGACATTGGTTCGGTCTGGGTATGGCCAGGGGATTGTGATAGGCACCGGCGCAAAGACGGAATTCGGTAGTATCTCAGCTTCCCTACAGGAAATTGAGAGTCCGCGCACGCCTTTGCAGTTATCGATGGATCGCCTGGGCCAAGAGCTTAGTTATATTTCGTTTGGAGTCATTGCCTTGATAGTCGTCGTAGGTTTGGTTCAAGGCCGAAAACTTCTAGACATGTTCACCATTGGAGTTTCGCTCGCGGTTGCAGCTATCCCGGAAGGCCTTCCAATTATTGTCACCGTTACTCTCGCCCTCGGTGTACTCCGGATGGCCTCGAGAGGAGCTATTATGCGGCGGCTTCCGAGTGTTGAGACTTTAGGTTCGGTGAATGTCGTCTGCAGCGATAAAACCGGAACGCTCACGCTCAACCACATGACAGTTACCAAAATGTGGCACTTTGACTGCCCTGAACCATTCGAGGTACACAACGACATTGCTTCATTAACCCCAGGACCAGCAGCTCGCACCGTTCTGCGGATTGGTAACATTGCCAACAATGCCCGGCTATCGCGTGTGCATGCGAACTCACCTGCTACCGCATCTTCTGCTACAGTACTGTCCTCCACAGACGATAGCGCGTCAGGATCGATGAAGAGCAGATGGGTTGGTCAGCCAACTGATGTTGCCGTTTTGGATCTACTTGATGCTCTCGGGGAAGATGATGTGCGTGACCGCATATGCGCGCGGGTTGCCGAGACCCCGTTCAGCTCCGAACGCAAGTGGATGGGGGTGATCATTGGAAGTGGAGCATCTGGTGATCCATCGCCTTTGACGGGAGGATCTAGCATGGCTTACATCAAGGGTGCATTGGAACAGGTATTGGCGCGTTGTGATACGTACCTCACCAGGGACGGTCAGGAGGTTATATTGGACGAACGGAGGCGCCAGGCCGTGCGTCAAGCCGCGGAACATATGGCGTCCGAAGGGCTTAGGGTCCTATCCTTTGCTAGTGGTGCCGTGAAGGAGAACAGGGGTAGGGCATTCGGAAGTAGATCCGGTACGCCCAGCTCAAAGGTCAGTTCCGGAGACGAGGATGATCGCTACGGCGGCTTGGTCTTTGCAGGGCTGGTAGGCATGAACGACCCTCCTCGTAAGGATGTTCACAAGGCAATTCGCCGTCTTATGGCAGGCGGCGTACGGCTCATTATGATCACGGGCGATGCCGAAACCACGGCTGTCGCAATTGCGAAGAAGCTCGGAATGCCGATACCTGAAAATCCAGGGGTGCAGAATGTCCTCAATGGACAAGAAATCGACCGGATGAGCACTACGGAGTTGTCTCTGGCTTTGTCGTCGGTTTCGATTTTCGCGCGTACTAGTCCGGATCACAAGATGAAAATTGTGCGCGCACTTCAGTCCCGGGGCGATGTTGTCGCCATGACCGGGGATGGAGTGAACGACGCACCTGCACTGAAAAAGGCAGATATTGGGATCGCTATGGGCAAACTCGGCACCGACGTTGCTAAAGAAGCAGCCGACATGATTCTCACAGATGATGACTTTTCGACCATTTTGCGGGCCATAGAGCAGGGCAAGGGGATATTTTACAACATCCAGAACTTTATCACTTTCCAGCTAAGCACGAGTGTTGCCGCTCTGAGTCTTGTTTTGCTGAGCACCACCCTGGGATTCAAGAACCCGCTAAATGCTATGCAAATCCTATGGATCAGTATGCCCTTCCAAATCATTTACCCTAATGATATTTCCAATTGCTAATTTAATATGTTAGATATTCTCATGGATGGGCCACCTGCGCAGTCTCTCGGCGTAGAGCCCGTGGACCCTTCAATCATGAATCGACCTCCGCGACCTAAGAGTGCCAGAGTACTCACTAAACCCCTCATCCAGCGGGTTCTCATGTCAGCTTTTATGATCATGCTCGGCACACTCGCTATATACGTCTACGAAATGGGCGATGATGATGATGTGCAAACGGGAAAGCGATCCCGAATAGTGACAGCCCACGACACCACCATGACTTTTACGTGCTTCGTCTTGTTCGACATGTTCAACGCGTTGACATGCCGCAGTGAGAGTAAGTCGGTGCTCCGTGGCGAGATCCGTGTCTTCGGAAACAAGATGTTCAATTACGCCGTGCTTGGGTCTCTGGCCGGCCAGGCGTGTGTCATCTATCTCCCATTCCTGCAGCGGGTGTTCCAGACGGAGCCACTGAACCTGGCGCATTTATTCAAGCTTGTGTGCATTTCAAGTACTGTCTTTTGGGTTGACGAGGGGCGGAAATACTATCAAATGCTGCGGCGCCGGCGTGCAGTGGGTGTTGGATATAGTGTGAATGTGTAGATACAATGTTGTATAAAACTGATCGTACATGTTAATATTTATACCATCTAATTATGAGGGACGATATGGGCTTGGAAATCCTGCTTCGGTAGCATTATGGTTATAAACAGTTAAGATAGAAATAATTAACCGCATGCCGGTGATAGCTACCCATAGGGCTGATTGCTGCAGCACACCCGGTAACACATGGGTTGGTTTGTTGCCACGAGGGCGGAGAATTTCTCCCAATGACGGGTGGCTGGCCATTTTATACTCGGAGAACAGTATTCCCTTATATCTCGCCTTTGTCGACGGGTGGCAACAGAGAACGACTGGGACCAAAGCCTAGCGAGGAAGATGCTTAGTCTAAGCTGTTTTTTTTTAGCATTGGGCCTAGGCGTCAAGCTCCAAAGTCCATCCTCGATAGGGAGATGGAGCAGTTTCGGCACCTTCTTTCCGGGATCTGCTCCACGAGAGCTTCGTCTCCTCATTTTCTAATTTCTTACGCTCCGAACCTTTCCACGCTTTACCGAGCCCCGGCACTTCCCCGTCTTTTTGCAGTCAAGCTGTTGATTTTTAATTCAATATCAAGAGTGGGGATCTGTGATCGGATAAAGCCTTAGCTGTGAGCCGTAAAGCTCGGCTTTATCTCCGACTTGACTATCAATTTTGTTCGGCGTCATTGTTTTCTCGCATCGACTAATTTTGTCGACATAACCTCCCTTCTCCCTCTGGCGTTATTCTTGTCGTTTCTCACTAGAAGGTAGAGGGGCCTTGAGCGGTAGATGGAGCGCAGTATCACGGCCGATTGAATCAACAATATTTTTTTCGTCCATGTCCGGACCTCAACAGGTGGACCTCCCCCCGCGTGCGGGGAGCGCCCACTCATCCTCAGACCGACACTATTCGGGCAGCGAGAAAAGCGCTGAAACAGATAATGAGCTTGGAAAGCCAGATGGTGCTACGGAGGATGGGTTTGCGCCGATTAAACCGGCAACGACGACGGACAATAGCCATTTACAAAGACAGAGCAGCACTGCATCTCGGCCCGTCGAGCGGAGCTGGTCACTGAATGACGGTTATAGCTGCAACAATCAGTTGGACGATGAAGCGGCTGCGGGTGAACCTCACGGGGCGGAGGCTAACGAGTCGTCTTCTGAGTTCGTGGTGCGTTGGGATGAGAATGATCCAATGAATCCGCGGAATTTCAATAAGATCAGAAGGTGGATTATCGTAATTATTTGCTCCACGGGATCTCTTTGTGTGTAAGTATTGGCGGATCTAAATGTGGTGTCTGATGCTGACGTTCGTGGGTGCTGGAAGGACGTGTACTTCGTCGATGTATACGCTCACTTATGATCAGATTATGGACGAGTTCGGTTGCTCGCGCATAGTTGCGACGCTAGGCCTGTCCTTTTTCATTTGGGGTCTCGGCCTCGGCCCTCTCGTTCTAGCGCCGTTGTCAGAGGCATGTTGCGTATTTTTGCTGTATAATGCACCGCTAACTCCTTGCAGTTTTATGGCCGCAGGAACATATACATCGCGTCTTTCTCACTTTTCCTGATATGGCTTATTCCTTGTGCCGTTGCGCGTAACATACAAACCATGATCGTGTCTCGCTTTTTCAACGGTCTCGCCGGTAGTGCTTTCCTTAGTGTGGCGGGTGGCACTGTTGGTGATTTATTCAATCGACATGAGCTTAGTGCGCCGATGATGATCTATACAAGCTCACCGTTTATTGGCCCCGAGCTTGGTCCGCTGTATGTACTTTACAATGGCCTGACTAAAAATTTTCAGCTGCTAACTATCATAGGATTGGTGGATTTATCAACCAGTTTAGTACATGGTATGTGGTTTTTGGCGGGTGGGGAGATTGAATACTGATTGTACCTGCCTTCAGGCGCTGGGTCTTTTACTGCCTATTAATTTGGTCCGGCACATTACTTGGGCTTCTGATTACTCTGGTCCCTGAGACGTACCATCCCGTGTAGGTAATTTCCATTCTATTGCTACAGGCAGGCATTGACGTGGATGGTAGGCTATTGAAACGGAAAGCAGAACGACTGCGGAGAGAGACTGGGGATGATCGGTGGCAGGCTCCAATCGAGAAAATGGACCGGTCCGTTGCGAGGACTGTCGGGCAATCCCTTTATAGGCCTTTCCTCCTGCTGACCTTGGAGCCGATGTGCTTGAATCTCTGCATATTTGCTGCCATTCTTTTAGGCATCATTTACCTGTTTTTCGGTGCGTTCCAACTTGTGTTTTTGAATGTTTATGGAATGGAACTCTACCAGCGAGGCCTCGTCTTTTTGGGTCTCTTCGTGGGCATGGTTTTTGCTATTATATCCGACCCATTTTGGCGACGAGTCTACGCCAAGTTAGAAGCAAAGCATGAGAGGGCCGTGGGAATTGTGGACGACTTTCAGCCAGAGTGGCGACTACCTCCCGGTATGTACTCCTTGGATTTCAGCAGCACTATCTGCTTGTCCGCACCCTGCTAACCGTCGCTGCAGCTATTCTTGGAGGTCCGCTGGTTACTATAGGACTCTTCATTTTCGCTTGGACCATATATCCGCATGTGCATTGGGTGGTGCCGCTTATTGGAAGTGCGTTTTTTGGGGCGGGGTAAGTTTGTTTCCAACTAAACCATGCGCACCTTGTGCCTGAAGAAATATTGGTCCTGACGCAGCTATCCATAGCACGGTTCTCGTGTATCAGGGCATTTTCTCATTCCTGGTCGATGCATATCCCACGTATGCTGCAAGCGCACTCGCAGCGAACAGCTTTGCGCGTTCATCTGCAGGTGGGATATTTCCTCTTTTTGGCATACAGAGTAAGTGTTCTCCATATCGATATTGTTGCTGTTGGATATTGGTCTCTCTCGTCGTGGGGAATCAATGACGATCGCGAATTACTTGCGATGCGGTTTTTCATTGGCTGGAAGCTCCAAGATTGAGGGTGCCTTTTGTGTCAGACATGGTCAAAGTGCCCCCGGCTAGAGCCTGCCCTGGTGGTTTGGTCCAGGCTTCCATCTTCCTGCTTTCCTCTCTTTCCATCTGCCCTAGCATTTATTATATGGTCCCCGACTCGGGGTCTACCCAAGATTTGCGCAACCTAGATCCATCCATCAGTCCAGGGTTAGGCCTTGACCGCTAATTGCTAACTGATGTGTTTCAGTGTACAACAGACTAGGCTATCACTGGGCGACCTCACTATTGGCCTTCTTGACATTGGTAATGGCACCGTTTCCGTAAGTCCTCCCCTGGCCATGGCCTTTGAGCGAGATCTTCTGGGTCAATTTCCCCTTTCTTTCCCATTATCTACGGATACCGGCTTGTGCAGAGTGCTGTCAGACTGAGGTTTAGCCTCCCTTGCATGGGCCATTCTGCAAGCCCGCGGCGGGATAATGAATCTGTGCCCGGACTGCTTTTAAACTCCGGGGTTCGCCAACCTTTACTGGGTGGCTTGTGCAATGCTGGCCCATGCTGGGATGAATGCAATTTTGGTTGGACAGAGGAGCTAACCTGGATGTTCGTGACACTACACAGGTATATATTTTTCCGATATGGTAGCCGGATCCGGAAGAAGAGCCGATTTGCCAGGGGGTAATAATGCGTGGTTCAGAAACGAAGAGTTAGTTGTGCAATGAATGCAGGATAAGTGTCTTGTCCAGTGGGCTGAAGCTGTCCTACAAGAGGATGAGCTACCCTGGACGGACGACTAGGGTTAATCCCTGGAAATACATCTGAACATATTAATAAGACCTTTCTAGAGGCCGACACCACGAAGGGTGTATACATAGAAACCGAGATAGATAAAAGCGTATAGAAAGTCAGTGTCTAATACTGCAGTTACTATATCACGCGCGTTCCTCCCGTTCTACTTGCAAACCTCGCTTGAGCTGACAGCGAGCGCCCAGAAGACAAAGTCAGACAAATTATCGAGCGTGCTCCAATCGCAGAACTGCAGTCGTAGTATGGCCCAGTCAGGATCAGAACAGCATATCGCAATCTGGACTGGAGGGTGACCAAAGCGGCAAAATCACACGCGCTTGGCGGACACAGATGGAACTTCACCGTTCACCTGGCCATTCTGTGCATCAGTAATAATAATAAGAATAACAGGAAGAACAAGAAGAATGGTTGGATTTCGAGTCCCTGTAGCCGAGGTTGGATGGTAAATACGTAATGGCTCTTGAATGGGCTCAGCCGGGAGAAGACGGCAGTCGGGCCAAGTCGGGAACAAGGTTCGCTGGCTGACTCTGGGAGTGAATGAATGCCTTGGTCGTCCCAGGATGAAACTGGAATGGAATCGTCCATCTTTTGATTCCCTTTCGGCCTAGGGCTGGCCAGGACATGTGGAAAGGATATCAATCATGTGAATGAGCGTTGTGCTTCAGCAGCTGTGCTTTGTCTTCGCACCAGAATAAAAACACGCCCATTCCCTCTTATTATTATTGAAATTTAAAATAATTATTTGACTCCTCCAGCACGCGACCTTTGTGGAACTCGACCGGCCTATCAGTGACGCTGGTTTACCATCCAAAAAAGCCTCACGGCATCAGCTTTGACTCGACCACGTTTTGCTACTTATATCCAGGCACCTTCTCCATCTCCCCATCCGCAATTCCGCACACGTCTCGACTGTGTCTGGCAGATGGAGCACAGGGCTGCGTGTGTCAAATCCTGCCCCTCCAAGAAATAAAATCGCTCAAGCCCAGGCTTTCCCACGGGATTTGACTTCCATCGAGTCTTCTGCTTCCCCGCAGTGCCGCCGGCAAAGTCCCAAGTTCCAAGTTCCATCCGCCCGCCGCACTTCAATAATTACCAAATGACAACGCTCCTGCAGCGAGTCTCCTGCGCGTGATTTTTGTCTCCAATTTCAATTCAATCTTCATCAGCGGACTGTTCCCGCGCCTTTTCTTCAAGTTCTTGATCTTCCCCTCTCCCCTCTCCCCTCCCCCCCCCCCCTTCCTTCCCCGACCCTCCCCTTAACTCCACGCATTCGTCCATTCTATGTCCTCGGATCGACGCGTGCCGGACTAGACGCCAACCTGGATTCCCATCGCTGTATGGGCCAAAAGGGAGTTCTACTCGACGGTGGTGACGACGAGGAAGCGTATTTCTCGCAAGGTGGCGAGCCATTCCCGGGGAGAAGCTTTTAACCGAACCGATCTCGTCGTACCGATCTCTCACACCCCGGATCCGTTCATAGACCAACGCACCCCCGCGCTTTCCACTCTGCCTTATCTCGATTGAACTCGCCGATTCATGGAAAATGAAGATGGAGGCAGACCAGAGCGCCACGGCTCTCCCGGCAGAACATAATGGGGCCGATAAAGATGTCGCGACAGCGATCGGAGAGCGTGCCGAGCAACCGCCCAAGACTAACGCGAATGCGAATGGCGATGATCAGACCACCACTAGCCAGAAACCGAACCCAAAGGATCCTTCAAGACCTCGGAGGAAGAAGGCGCGACGCGCCTGTTTTGCTTGTCAGCGAGCGCATTTGACATGCGGTACGTTCCCACCCTGCTCAGCTCTTTGCGGCCTGAGCGCCAACTAACAAACATAATTGTAGGTGACGAGAGACCGTGTCAGCGCTGCATCAAGCGTGGACTTCAAGATGCCTGCCACGACGGCGTGCGCAAGAAGGCAAAGTACTTGCACGATGCCCCGGATGGCGCGCTGATGCCAGGAGCCTCTGGGAATAACTTTTACAACAATTCATCGATTCCTAACAACATTTCTCTAAACGGTGCAAACCCAGCCAATGCAGCCGCAAACTCCCAGAACTCGGGCGCGAATTTCTATCCCACACCCCAGTCGAACTATAACATGTACCAGGAAAATCCCATCGGTCACCAAAACGCTTTTCCGTCGCAATCCCCAGTTTCCCCAACTTTCAGCTTGAAAGCCAATCCGACTCATCGAAATAGTACATCCGCACCTAATAACAATAATAATCCTGCTTTGACATCTTCAATACCCCAGCCGTCGACAACCGGTGTGTCAAATGCCTCAAATCAGAGCCAGAATCCGTTCGCCGGTCCTTTCTTCGACCCCAGTGACCCTGCGCTCTTCAATTTTGATCTATCAAGTATGAACTTTGAAAATCGCTACGGTGCGCTGGAGTTTGGCATGCTCGGTCATATGGCTACTGGCGCTGGAGACTCTCCAGATTCAGGCACGCACCGAGGATCGATGGGCCGCAGCGGTTCGACGCAGTTTGCATCTACACCTATTACGGGGGCTGCTACTTTTGGCGAAAGCCCCCAGACGCAACAGCCTTTCATGTTCGGTGATCCTCTCTTGAATGAGTGGCCGAGCGGTCAGACCTCGGGTCAGCCGCATGTGAACGTCGGCGTTTACCCGCAATCCGGCCAGGGTAACGTGATTCCAGGGCATTTGTCCAAGCCTGATGCGCCTCATGCATTCGCGATTGAAAGCGGGCCGGCCAGCTTCGCTAGCCCTGGTGCGGCGGCCAGCCCGCAGATGACCAACACTGGATACGAAGAGCCAGGCGCGTTTAATAATGTCGTAACAAAATCCAACGGGCTACCCGTGAATGGACAACAGCGTCCGCCGACTATCTCGACACCGAGCTTGAAGCACCACACTTTACAAACGAATAAACGACGCCAGCGCAACCCATCAGCGGTTTACGAAAGTGTTAGAGAACCGTATGCGTACACCAGTCGCTTCCACAATTTGACGGCGTTCATTCAGCGGCGCTTTTCACCACAGAAGACGTTGCAAATCGCAAAAGCACTAGCGTCTATTCGACCGTCATTTATTGCGACAACAAAAACCCTGAACCGAGACGATCTTATCTTCATGGAGAAATGTTTCCAACGAACACTATGGGAGTACGAGGATTTCATCAACGCGTGCGGTACGCCGACCATCGTTTGTCGTCGCACAGGGGAAGTCGCTGCTGTCGGGAAAGAGTTCAGTATTCTGACCGGATGGAAGAAGGAGGTGCTATTAGGCAAGGAGCCAAATCTGAATGTCAACACAGGTGGCTCATCAGCTGTTAATTCGCGCAACGTAACGCCACGAGGGTCCAGTGAAGGCGCAACTGGCCGTCCGCACCCAGTGTTCTTGGCCGAGTTGCTTGACGACGACAGTGTGGTAGAATTCTACGAAGATTTCGCGCGACTGGCATTTGGTGATTCACGCGGTAGCGTGACAACGGGATGCAAGCTGCTCAAGTATAAAACGAAAGAGGATATGGAGACAGCGCAGTCGGATGACAGCAGCCAGCGGTGGAACAACCACCTGCGCAAGGGAGGAATTGCAAATGAGGCCGGGATGAACCAGCTAGGTTTCAAGGACGGCAAAGTCGAATGCGCTTACTGCTGGACAGTCAAGCGCGACGTGTTTGACATACCCATGTTAATAGTGATGAACGTACGTTTTACCTCAACCGATCCCCTTGTTTACTTTACACGACGGATGAGCTGACCCAACCCAGTTTTTACCCTGTATTTGAGTGTTGACCCTCTTACTTGTCCTGACTATTTGATGTATATGGTTTATGGTTCGGTTACCGGAGGATACCCGGCGGTTTTTAAAAAGGTTTCTTCTTTGTTAATACTTATATTATGGGCATGATTGGAGCTAGGGTAGAACTTCTTGTGGCGCTTGCCACATGTTAAAATATGAGGTTGACCAATGTCCTTATGACGCTCCCATCTGTTCTCGTTTCGGTGGCCTCGGCAGTGTAAACGGCGACTGCGGCGTAGTTGGCTGGAATCAAGCATGCATAGTCGGTTAGTCAGGTAGTTCCCCCTGTTGCCCAGCTCGGGTAGCTATCCAGTTATGTGAAGGGCAGAAGTAAGCAGAATCGATCTAGAAGAATCCACCGCATGATCATAACAAGTCTCCCGGGTTCACCCCGCACGATCATCTCATTTTCTTATCGATACGCGCCACTTCAAATAGTAATCATTCACACACACCCCCATCGTTCCCCCTCCACAACTACCTCCGAGCAGCCCGGCGAGGGAAATAAAAAAGAAAAAAAAAAAAAAAAGAAAAGAAACAGAAATGCCGTCCTCGAGTCCCCGCCCCCCGGTTTCAGGCCCAGACTCAGGCCCCGAAAACCCATTCCCCATCCGCCTCTCCGGGCCTGTGATCCAGGGTTTCGGAAGAGGGAGTAAAGAGGCAAGCCAGCCACCTAAAAGCAGAAGAGGGGAAGCGAGAAATGCTAACCAGCTTGTCGCAAACAGCTAGGCATCCCGACAGCGAACATCCCCGTTGACGGGTTAGAGGAAGCCCTCCCGAAAGAACTGGGGGTAGGCGTTTACTATGGCGTTGTTGCGCTGGACCCTGCTACAGACCCTTCATCCGGGGACACGCAAGGAGGAAAAGAAGCAAAACCGCCGATCCTCCCTGCCGTTCTGAGCATCGGCTATAATCCCTACTACAAGAACACGACGCGGTCAATTGTATGAATACCCATTCCGCCCACTTCCGTTCCCTTCCTCTCTCTCCGCGAGAACTCTCCCGCAATCTACCTGTGCCTATGAAGACCAGTCCTAACAGGCGTAATAGGAAATCCACATTCTCCCATCCCTCACGTCCCCTTCACCAACTGCGCCCGAAGAACAAAAAGTCCGCTTCCACAAGCTCCCTGACTTCTACGGCACGAAGCTCAATCTGCTGATGCTGGGGTATATCCGGCCCGAATACGACTACGTCTCCGCGGAAGCTCTCATTGAGGATATCCGGGTTGATTGCGAGGTAGCGAGGGCGAGTCTGCTTCGCGGTGCGTATAGGGTTTACTTAGATGGGGAGGGGGACGAGGGCGATGAGAAGGTGAGGGAGCAGCGGGCTTGGTTGAGGGCGTTTTGACCGTTCGGTTTCGCAACTCCCAAAAACGGCCTTTTTTTTGTATAGACATTAATACGATAGATATACTCTAGAATAAGAGACTCGTCAAGGATTTAATAAAAATGACCTAATAGAAAAAAAAAAAAAATGCTTTGCAATGCCCAGACATGCCACGACATGCCCAGAACGCCGAGAATGCCCAGAGTATCCAGCGGACATTGTTCCACCCCGATGTAACCGAGTAGTATGACGTCGACTGTCGTCCCTGGGATATATAGGGGAAACCTTGTAGGGCTGAGAATTAACAGACAGCCAGACTTACCCCTATCTAAACAAAAAAACCAGTTGAATTGCCTTTTGTTGATTGGTGAGATATGTCGAAACTATTTCAGTCGATCCGCCGCCGCAGCTCCACGTACCGGCCGAAGCCCTCATCCCCGCGTCGGCTCTATGTCGTCTCCGACACGCCCGCTTTTGATAGCACCTCCATCCGCCGTTTAGAGGCCGAGGGGTTCGCGGTTGAGTATCTTTCTTTTCAGGCGCAAAGTACAGATGTCAACCGGGACCGCAGGGAGCTTGAGCGGATCATCCATGAACGGGAGGATGACCTAGAGCCTGGAGAGAGGTATGCGATCATGGGTAAGGAATCTCCGACAATGTATACATAGTAAGGTGATGATTTGTTTAGAGCAACTATGCTGACTTTCTTTTTTCGTTTTATTGAATAGCGTACAACCGCCCCGCATATCTCATCCTTCTCTCGCACCACCAGCAAACAAGCACAAACCCTTTCCCCCGTCTCTGTGCGTTCGTTGCATTTTATCCGGACACCCCGGAAGAGGTGCTCAAGGAATTGCCTTCGCAGCCTCGCCTTCCACCCTCAACAACAGCGGCTTCGACCTCAAATTCCGCCGCGTTTGAAACACTCCCGGTGCTCCAGATTCAGATTCACCTGGCCGGATCCCAGAACCAGTGCTCCGCGCTCTGGGACGACAGTAACAAGCGGCACCGCTGCCATTTGCATTTCTACCCAGAGTCTGAGCCAGGATTTGCCGAGTACCACTCATCCCCGGTCTACGACCGTATTAGCTCGCGGCTGGCATGGAGTCGGGCATTGGAGTGTTTGAAACTCGGGTTTGGATGGCCTGGAGGTGGGGGCAATTGGGAGGCGCCTGAGCCAGAACTTGTATGGGAAGGATATTGGAGGAATATCTATGAATCGGCGACTCGGCAGTCCCAATTCACTTCAAAGCCGGATATGCTTCATTTGATGGTTGGCGGGGGAGCTGGAGATCCTGATTTCGACCAGCAGACAGGCGTAAATTGTCTTCCTTCTGGCGTTGGAGGTTGGTTGCCCCTCTGATCCGAGTTCCTGCTCGGAGCCCCTGCTGATGGGTACACATGTGTAAGCTAACGCGAGAGCAGGATCGTCACCAAGCGAGATCACAGCCTTCTATTCCTCCCAGTTTATCCCGTCCGGTCCACCCTCTCAGCACATTCGACTGCTCACTCGGACCGCCGGCCCAGACCGTGTTGTGGATGAACTCCTGCTCACCTTTGAGCATACGGAGGAAATACCCTGGTTGCTGCCTAGGGTGCCGCCAACTGGGCGCTTTGTCCGTATTCCCATCATTATGACGGTCAACTTCCTAGCTGGAAAGATCGCCCGGCACAATGTTTACTGGGATCAAGCAAGCGTACTGGTGCAGATTGGGCTTCTGGATCCCTCTCTTATCCCATCTGGATTTAATACCATAGGACCGAATCGCGAGGGAAATAACACCGTTGAGCGAATGCCAGTTGTGGGCGAGGAGGCTGTTGGCTGCGTTCTCACTTGAACTGAGGAGTCAGCGTAATCTTAGATATAAGAATAAAAAAAATAAATAAAGCCGCGATTATGGAGTAATGGCTTTGAATCTTGATTGTAGCTGTGCAAGATCTGTGCTGACACCACCGGGGCTTTTCAGAGTCAAGAGACTCGCCTCTTGCGCAAGGCCCAGCACATCTTCGACTCTTTCGCGCCCGGAGGCAAGTCCAGCGATGACAGCTCCAAGTAGGGTGTCTCCTGCACCATTGACACTAACAATGGCCCCATCTGCTATTTCTGCAGCGGGTGGAAACAGTCGCATGTACACTCCACCGATAAGTTTCTCCGTAGATGCAGCACGAGAGAGAATATAAGGGCTGTACTCGGGATCCGTCAGACGAGGATCTCCTGGCTTAAGCATCTGTGTTAGTAGTGCTCCTCTGGCCCCCAGCTTTGTGATAATGCACGGGAGGAATGGAAGAAGCTGTATGCTCTGTTGCGGTATACCCGCATCGACGAGGGCAGCCGATGTCATCGCGACGAGCCGCCCTCTCGACCCAGACGAGGACATGCCCATTGCATCAACGATCTGCCACCAGCTGACGGAATCAAAGAGGCCATTCTCCTGGGCCATAGCATACATTGCTGCAAGTTCAAACTCATTCGGCGCAGCAAGGCTCACGCTGTTGTTTGGAACGCATGCAGATTCTCCCACAGCTGCGTCAACCTCGGGGCTCTTCTTGAAAAGGGCCCGGGACTTGGCAGCAGAGACGGGCTCGAAAGCAACTCTAGCACCGTTCCTGTTGGCCGCCGTGACCCATTTGGATAGCAGTTCTGGACTCCAGTTGGCGTCGACAACAACCCACTGCGGTTTTGTGCTGGAAACGATGGGTTCCCAGAAACCCTCAAAGTCCAATGTCTCCGCGGGGAGCTGCAGGATTCCCATATCGGCCATGGCCAAATGGAGGTCTTTTTTGGAGTCGTTCACGGCAACGTACTGTGCAGTGCGTGCCCCAGATGACGTGGGTAGCACCTGTACGCCGCTGGTTGGAAGGCCCTCTTGCCGGAGAGATGATAACGCGGCTTGGCCACCCAAGTCATCACCGACAACGCTGCAAAACATGACGGAAGGGCCTAGAGACCGTGAGGCAAAGGCAACGTTGTGGCCCACTCCACCAAGGCTTTGCTCAATGACGGCAGGATTGGATGTCCGCAACGCGGGTGTAGTCTCGCATCCTGCAGTAGGAACGTAGTCGCATGCGAGGTCTATCGCAAGAGAACCAGCAACCAAGATATCTGCCTTCTCTACTGCTGTTGCGGGCTTATCATCTAGGCGGAATTTTGACTTAGTCTCCGCAGAAGAAGGAGGCTGGTCAGCCATGCCGATGGATGGAATCGCTGGCATATGTCTACGCAGGGACAATCTATATTAGGACATCCCGTTCCATCGAAGGCTAAAGGCGACTACTCACTGTTTGCTAGACACTGTTGAATGCTCCAATTTCGACAGCTCCACTGCAACCCGTGCTGCACGCTTGACATTTGCCTCAACTAGAGCCCGATTGGCTGCCACCGATTTCCCGCCGCTGAGTTCCTTGATCTTTGCAAGAATGAATGGCGTGTTGTCGCTACCACGATGGCCTTCAATATCTGCTATACGGACAGCCTCATCAATAGCAGCGTCGATTTCACTCTGGGGGATTGAATGCTCCGTTGGTACGGGGTTAGCGAAAAGCATCCCCGACGTGATTGGTAGTTTTGATTGTGCATCTGCAAGTTGTTAGCAAGTCGCTATACATTAGGGTGGTAAATTATCACTTACGAATAATAGCAGCTGCCTCCGCCTCATTTTCAATAACCTTTGGGCTTTTGATCCCGCTGTCGCGACTAAAGAACGCTGGGATGTCAACGGAGCCCTGGCGACCATCTGCAAACGTTCCGACACAGACACCCTCTGTCTCAAGGTATTCTAGTGTCCGAGGAATATCCAGAAAGCTTTTACATCCGGAGCTGATAACAGCCACCGGGGTTCGACCAAGTTCGGTCAAATCAGCTGCTGCTTGTTAGCCCACGTATCTTTCAAAAGGCTTCATAAATCATACCGGATATATCCATCGATGACTCCGCGCCTCGATGTACGCCGCCTGCTAGCGTTAGTTTGGTAGCAGCGTAGATAGCGTGTGGTACTTACCGAGGCCGCCTGTCCCAAAAACCCGGATACCAGCTAGATGCGCGAGGACCATAGTGCCGGATACTGTTGTCCCTCCATGAAGCGGTTTTCCGGCCACGCCCTGCAATGGTTATTCACATGCTCCGGGTTTGTATAAATGTACACTCACTAGGCCGCATATATAACCAAGATCCCGGCGGGATACTTTCAGGGCATTCTTCTTCTCCGCTGCTGATGCTAGCTCGATAAGCTCATCGGCGAGGAGGCCGACTCGAGCCACGCCATTCAGGACACCAATTGTCGCGGGAACACCGCCATTGGCACGAACAACGGTTTCTAGCAGCGATGCAAGCGCTACACTCTCCGGATATGGGAAGCCTGCGTCTGTTAGAAAGGCGCTTACAACGAGCTCGAGCTTGATCGTACCATGTGTGTAAATAGTGGATTCTAAAGCCACCACTGGTTTCCCCGTGGCGACTGCATCTCGAACCTCCTCAGAAACCTGGAAGAATTTGCTCTGGGCGAAACTATGGTTTTGTCGTGTAGCACGAGCAATGCCGGTGGCTGCTCCCAAACGGGATGCCCTGCAGAAGTGCCGGCTGTACGAAGCCCTGAGTACAAGCATAGTTACGAAGCCAAAGCAAATAATCAAACCAAACCAGAGAAGAACAACGAGAGCAACAGCCTGGGGAGAAAAGCAAAGAGAAATGAGGAGGCGCGCAGAACTAGAAGTCTGAGCGCGGAGAGCGGAGCCGCGTGATTTGGCCGCGGCGGTCGCCGTATTGTACTGTAGCGTATTATTTGGAGGCGGAGGACCTTCAATCGGGACACCTCAGCATCACGCCGACCACTCCTCCGCATCTCCCCGCCGTCTCTCCTCGTTGCTCTCTCGTTTCGACTCCCTCTCCTGGTGAGAACTCTTAGCTCTTCAGCGCGGTCTGGTGCAAAGCTGCGCTTGCCACAATGAGGCCGTTTGCTACCGTTGTTACTGCGTTCTGCGGGCTTGTCCTGTCCAGCAGCTCTATAGTTTCCGCCCATTCCACCTCCACCTCGTCAAAAGCTGCGCTCCCCGCCGACTTCAAGCCTCCGCAGGTATTTAAAAATGTGAATCTGGTCCGGAATACAAATTTAGAAAAGGGCTACGCTCGTGAGACTATCAACGTGGTCGTCGAGAATGTGGATAAACAACCCCAGAGCGAGTACTATCTGTCCTTCCCTTCGGACGTATTCGACCGTGTTGGAGGATTAGAAGTCCGCAATAAAAAAGAAACAGAGAAAGGAAGGTTTGATGTGGAAGCTACAGAGCTTTCATCGCCCAGGTAAGTCGCCAATGTCGCGCTCAATGGCTAATGTAGAAACCAGTTGGCCTCAAAACTAACCCGGGTTGACTAGTGACTTTCAATACTTCCTTGTCCGCTTGCCTGAGCCTCTTGCTCCCTCATCGCAACTTACTCTTGGAATCTCGTACTCGCTCTTGAACTCTCTTCAGCCACGCCCGGCTGCCATTGAGCAGACGGATCGTCAGTTTCTCACTTACTCTTTCTCCGCATATGTTCCCTCCGCCTACCAGACCGTGACACAGAAGACCAAGGTCAAGTTTTCTAGTACAAATGTGCCCGACTACACAACTACGGATCTCAAATCAGGCGCGGATCCCGAACGTCAGGCCTCGACTTACACATATGGACCCTACGACACTGCCAAGGTGGTGCCGGGGACAAGCTACCCCATTACTGTTCGCTACGAGTTTACGAAGCCGGTGATCACAGCCTCTCTGCTGGAACGAGACCTGGAAGTTTCCCACTGGGGTGGCAACTTGGCCACGGAAGAACGCTACTGGCTCCATAACAACGGTTCCAAGCTCCTAAACCAGTTCTCCCGCGTGGACTGGACTGTTTCGAACTACCAACAAGCCCCCTCATCTGCTGTTAGGGAGCTGCAATACCCCCTCAAGCCAGGCTCGGTGGACCCTTACTTCATTGACGACATCGGAAATGTCTCCACGAGCCGCTACCGCCCAGGACTTAGGAACCGCGAAGGTAATTTGGACCTCAAACCCCGCTTCCCCATCTTCGGTGGCTGGAACTACAGCTTCCGCATTGGTTGGAACAACGATCTCTCTCGCTTTTTGCGCCAGGCAACCTCTGCCACCGATTCCTATGTGCTCAAGGTCCCGTTCCTCGAGGGACCTAAGATGGGCGAAGGCGTTCAGTACGAGAATGTAGTTTTGCGCGTTATTCTCCCCGAGGGCGCTCGGAATGTGCGCTATGAGACTGTTGAAGGTGCCTCCAGCAATGGACTGCCAGGCGCAAGCCAGATCCAATCGTCATTGTCCACGCACAAGACCTTTATGGATACCATTGGCCGCACTACTTTGACCCTTACTGTGGACGGTCTCACTGATGAGGCTCGCGACTCCCAGCTTCTGGTAAGTTTCCAAATTTTAGTTACCACGTATATACAAAGATGTTTCCAGTCACTTACTTGGCAACTAGGTCGCCTACGATTACTCCTTCTGGGATGGAATGCGCAAGCCCATTACCATCACAATCGGTCTATTCAGTGTCTTTGCGGCAGCCTGGGCGGTTACAAACATCGACGTCAGCATCAAGAAGCGATAATCTGTATCTTTAGTGTGCATGTCATTTCCTCTTTATCTTTTTTATACCAGCAAAATAAGCGCATGAATCGCGTCTCACATATAGCATCTCAATACGACGTAGGCTTGTTCAAAAAGAATTAAGGTAACTTGGTTCTTATTCCCACTCCCTGCTAATATAGCTAAAAGAACCAAATCTTGAATGCTAAATGGTAAATCGATTCGGATATACAATTATATAACATTCCCCTATTGTCTCTCTTCCAATAATAAAGGATAGAGAAGAAGAAAACCAGTTTTGACAGCCACTCCACCCACCCCTCCCTCATCAGAGCGTGAATAATGAGTTGAGACGAAATCCCCAACGCCAGAACACCCCGCAAAAGCAAACTCAATAGAAATAGATTAAACGAATAAAGAAACACAATTCAATGTTATTCCTCGAATTTCCTTTTGACCCCATTCCCGTTTACATGCGGTGGGCCAGCCGGCCTCGCACGCGGTTTCCGATCATCAAAGTCACCCCCCTGGGCACGCTTTTTCCAAGCCGTTTTGATAGCCGGCGCAGAGCGGATGAGATCATCTTCCGTAACGCGGTCCTCGATACTTTGTAATACCTTATCCACGGTTGTAAAATGATTTGCGTCTGCTTTATCGTCGCGCACTCGGTGGAAGCGCCATCGGCCAGTCTCGTCCTTGGAGCATTCGACGATTGCGTCGTCGAGTGGCACCTGGAGGGCCTTGAGATCTTCCCATTCAGATGGGGCCACGTACATCTCACCGAATGGTTGGTATTGATCATTATTGTGGAGGACGAAAAGGTGGAAGATGGGAAAAGCATCATAGTCAGGGTAAGGTTCTGTGATGCCGTCTGCTTCGTCATCAGTGTCCGGTTCGAGGACGGGGAATTCGAGACGGAGCCGGAAGTCGATTGTGTTTTCGGCGGGAGGTTTCCATTTCAGAATGTGTTCATCCGTGCCGATACGGTACGGTGTGCTGCGGCAGGTGAAGATGAGTCCATCATTACCGTGGATTCTCTTCACTTTGGGGATCACTTCACGAAACATCATCTCGATGCCGTAGCTGAACTGGGTAGATTTGTCTTCGACTGTGAAAACCCGGTGTTGTTTTTCTTCGGGGAAGCGCTGATAAAGCGCGTTGTACGGCTTCAGAACCTTCTCCTTAAAGTATGCGAGGCGTTTGTCGAGCGTGCGGTGCATCAAGCTCTGGCCGTCTAATACGAGGCAGTCGAAGACGAGGTATTTTAGCTGCTGGGTGCCATCATCGTACGTGTCGTTGACAAGCTCGCCATCCACCAGCGTATCCACGTGGAAAGACTGGAAGGTATCATCGTTGGGCAGGGGAAAGTGCAGGTTCGGAACGTAGCGGTACTCGTTCTTGCGATCGATCAGGTAGTGAATTTCCGGGTTGTCTGAGTCTGGCTCTCCGCGCGCAAAGTACATGAGGCAGCGGATGCCGTCCGTCTTTTCGCATACATAATAATCTTCGCGTTGTAGTTCGGTGAGGTGGTGCCTGGAAAAGCTGACCGGTTGGGCGCCGGGGAAGCTGAGGTTTTTGCGACCTAGTAGCTCTGCGACCTCTCTGCGGAATTGATCAGCTAGCTCAGGCTCAGCCTTCAGGCCGACGGCATCAAGATCAGGCACGGAATTCCCCATCTTCCCCTTGGTTTCTCTTCTATATCCTCTGGGTCTGGCGATAGACGTGCGAACGAAGTGCGCGTGGGGATCAAGGGAGTTGATATGATCGCTTGTAGGCTCTTTCTCACTGGCCCGTAGGCGCAGAGAGATAAAATACGGGTGGCTGCACCGCGAAGGAAATTTCAGAGCCCAGAGAAGGGGTTTGTGAATAGGGGCCGACTTTGTTGAGATGCGAATTGATCTAAGGAATGTGCTCTTTGTTCTTTCCTGGGATCTTTGCCGGGCAGGATGAAGTTCAGTGCCTCAGGCAAGCAATTGCGTGTTCGGGAGGATCCGCAACGCAGCAGCCTTAATTTCAAGGCTAGGAGACGAGTGTGAGTTGGGAATGTATAAAATGAGTACGATTTAATATATATGTATATATAAACATCAACAGCTCGTTAACTCGGGGGGTATCGTATTGTCAGAACAGGCAAAAATCAAACCAAACAGCCAGCCAGCCAAGTCCCCAACGCAAAAAGGTCTTCCACCAACGCCTGCACCTAACCGGTTCGCCCAACAGAAATGAATGTACAATACTGTCATCATCACTCACTGTAAGAAGATAGTTGAGTGAGATAGCAAGAGAGGAAGACGATGATCGCCACGTCCCCTATGAACCTGCCGCTACCGGAGTTTTCCTCGCAATATCCGGCGTGGTTAGGTTGGTATTATCCAAGTCAATATCGCCTGGAGCATCTGCTATATCGATATCGTCCACCGGCTGGAAGAGATTCCCCTCGATTGGACTGTTGACTTGGTCGCCAGTTGAAAAGAGCCCACCACCGCGGGCTCCACCCAGCGCATGCGAAAGCATCTCCTTGATTCGTACATACTGATATTTCTTCTTGGTAGATATCAACGTGTGGCTGACCATCGGTTGTGGCTGGGAGCGCGAAATCGCCGCCATGACAGCATCTTTTTCTTCGTCTGAGTCGACAGGACCATTGTTCTCCAAGTCGTCTTGGAGCGGTGCGTTTGCGTCGATGGCCGCCTCTGTAAACCATTAGCATACCCCAAGTCCAAAATCTGGCCAATAGGGTAAACATACTCTGCTGACGAGCCTGGTTCTTCTTCTGATATGCCTGGAGTAACATGTCATACGGCAATGACCGTCCAGGCACGGCACGTTTTGCACCCATGGAATGACTCTTGCAAGTTAACGACCGGGCACACTGGGCACCATTCGGCAAAGGAACACCACATTGCTTCTCAACATCAACAGGGCCTTTCGGTTTCGGCGCCTTTGGTTTCTGTTCTTCCTTCTTCTTTTTCTTCTTCGGCTCCTTGTCCTTGTTATCATCATCACCCTCCGCCTTGCGCTTCTTGCCTTTCTTTGTCCCATCTTCCGCCATACCCTTGACAGCACTCTTCTTTGCGCTTTTCTGGGCCTTCACCGAATCATCTCCGTCACCCTTATCGCCACCGGCGCCATCCTCATCGCCCTCCTTCTCTCCGGCCTTGGCCCTATTAGCCGCATCCCGGGCCTCCTTCTTCTTCCGCGCCTTCTCCTGCTTCGCCCTTATACACCCCCTGATATGCTCTGCAGCATTCTGCTTGAGGACCGGCCTCTTGCAAGTCTTGCAAACTACAGTCTCGATGTGGTCTTCTTCACGCGGTTTCCCCGTGGGGAAAACAGACATCGTCTTCTCATCGATCTCCGGCAGGATCGGCGATGAGCCAGGCGAATTGGGTGGCTCTTTGTTGTCTGGGAAGCAGCGAACACAACCGGGCCGTCAGTAATCGCTGCAAAGGAAAGCTCGGATCATGTTCGAGTTATCCTCACCCTTCTTTTTCCCTAGTTTCCCTGCCTTCTTTAGCTTGATCTTGCCCGGCTTGGTATCCTTCTCGGAGAACTTGAATCCCGATGCATCGATGAAGTTTCTGGAGCCCGATGCGGCCGGCGATGCTGCATTATTGAAAACGGGGCGTTAGCGCGATTTAATAGTAATCCAGGAGGGATATAGATGACTATAGATGGATTGGATGGTGGCTTTAGGGATATTGGTATTAAGAAGCATACCTCGACCGATGTCGCCGTTTGTAGGCATAATCAGGGTGCAACAGGTTGCCGTGGCACTTTCCCACAGCAAACGGACGAGCAAATTATAATGATAATAACCAGTAACTGGGACCTATACTAGTGGGCCTGAATTCGATAACTCTGATTGCGTGGATGGGCGAAGCCTTTAGTCGGCCCTTACTATGTCGTCGTTCATTAAAGATGGGGCAGCCGCATCAGGAATGTCACGTGCTACGCTAGGTGTCCGAGACAGAGTATGACTACAAAGTGTTATCTGAGATCTCGCCCTCGTCCAAAACTACTTACTTCAATAGCTTAATAAACAAATTTCAGAAAAGCATATCATCATCATAATCATGATCATAAATAATAGTAATACTACTAAACAATAGATATGGTTTTATATCCAACAGGGTTATGATGGGGAGATTGGTAGAATCGAGACCGAGGAGGCTTTGTCACCTTGAGATTGCAGGACCCATACACAATGACACCAATATGCTCAAAAATAAATAAATCGCAACACTTTTCCTTTTTCATGCTTCTGCATTCCCCTTCCCCAAGACGATCCAGCGTCGATCTAGGTTTTATAGAGCATTTCAACCCCCTATTCTGTGTCACTGAAGGCGAGAGAAATAAGTTAAGAACTTTATACACGGGTAGAATCCAAGGCGGATTAGAAGGTATAGGAAAAATTCAGCGCTGCCGAGATACGTTAGCCTTTCCCTTTATAAAACGGGAACTAAGAGTAACTCACACGTCCGCGTCGTCCCCCAGACGGCTGTCCTTGTACAGGGGGTGCTTGAGAGTAAAACTGAGGAGGATACTGATACATCTGGGCTGATCCCATGACAGGGCTGAATTGTTGAGGAGCATAAGGTGACTGGTTGAGCAATGGGCCCGGATTTATTTGGCCTGGGGCTGACGACATGGGACCGGGTTGGCTTTGCATACCCCGAAGGTTGTCCGATCCAGCGGGATATCCATAGTTAGAATTTCCCAAAGGCGGATAGAGGCCACCTGGTGATACACCCCGAGATTGTGCGGCTAGGAATGCTTGATACTGCATCTGTTGCTGTGCGAGAGGAATCATAGGATCCTGGCCGAAATTGGCCCCATTAACGCTGCCGATCCCATTCAAAGCATTCATGGCGCCGGTAGAACCAAGGCCACCAATGCCGTTGGCAGGGTAAGGCTCAAAATTCCCTGTATTCTGAGGCTGTTCGGTTGGCAAAGACCGGGCTCCATCAAGGTTTTGATTCATAGCAGGAAACTGTCCGCTATACTGCCTATCCATGGACGGCTGCGAAGGATAATTGGAAGACGCTTGTCGGGAAGTGGGCCGATGCTGTTGCTTCTCGGGGTTGGAAGCGTGGCCAGTACCCTCACGACTGTGGTGATTATCACGAGAGCTACCCCGCGCGGACAGACCGACTTCGTCCATTAAACGTTTGTAACCCTGGCTTGGTGTGGCTTTGAGTTTGGTAAGAACCTTTGAGACGTTCTTTACGACTTCTGCTCGCATCGACTCATCAAAGAATGGTGTTGTTAGAACCTTAAAAATCAATGTGGCACCCGAGGTTTGGTCGCTCAGGATCTTCTCCAGCACCTCGTCCCCTGGACTAAAAAATAGGGCTTTCAACACAATTTCACGAGCCTCAGGCTCGTTCCGTTGATTGATTACCTTGAGAACCGTCAGATACGCAACCTTGTGTGTGCATAGATGCACTAGGTGAGGAACTAATCTCGGCGCCAGCACAGTGCGACGGCGGGGGAAGGTGCAGGTATCCAAGAACCAAGTAAGCAATAGAGCGCCGTTCGCATTGGTGGCGAGCTGCACACTATGAAGAGCGATCGCTGCTGCAAGCATTCGTTGTTGATCCTTCGTAGCATGATGGCTTTCAAGACAGGCACGCATAGCTCGAGCTCCGAATCGTCCTTGCGAGACCTGCCACATCCGGCTTAGCATAGTTTCGAACACGAAATCATTGTAGGGGGACCCAAAGCGCAGACAGCATTGGAGGACATAGTTCCCGTATTGGTCCAGGAATAGAGGCACAGTGTACGGTCGAAGAGCGTCAACGATCATCCGCATCTGCATCGGCGTTTTGGCAACATCGATAATCTTTTGTGCTGCCCAGGTACCATTCTTGTGTACGCCAATTTCACCTAAATGAGGTGCGATCGGAACTAACATTTGTTCTTTCGTAGGCTCGGAGCAGAACTCAAATAATTTCTGAACAACGGTGTTACCTAGATAGTCGGAAGCAAGCTCCGCGATTTCCGGGAGCATTGCCACCGCCGTCTCCTCAATTTCCTGGATTGAACAGGCTCCATTATCGATCCTTTTGCGAATGTCACGAAGGCGAGGGGCATCAAACATTCTAGTTTGATTCGGTTCGGGGATCGACGGAATCTCGTCGTTAAATTCCTGAAAGGTGATCGCCTGCTGAATATTCGCGGTAATCTTGGCGGCGTCATCGTCACTTGCCCCGAATTCTTTGACAATCTGTACCATTTCAGGCTGAAGATCAGGAAGCGAAGGTAGCTGGGGAACATTTGTTCCGCTGCTGAACTTGTCTGCATCGGGAGCAGTCGATTTCGAGTTCGGATCTGGCGTTGGTGAAGGTTGGGTACCGTTGACTCCAGGTGTGCCAGCGTTAGATGACCCAGGCACCTTGGCGTATCCGATTCGAACAGGACCAGCACCAGGGAAGATTTCCTTTCCGTTGAGCAAAGACTTGGCTTGTACAGCGCTCTCAATACGCTCAAAATTGACAAACCCACAATTCTTATGGGTCAGTACACGCGTGGACTCGATTTTGCCGTACATGCTGAAAATAGCCTCCAGAGATGTTACAGTCGTCGAAACGGGGATACTGCCTATCCAGAGGGCCCGAGTTGGGCCATCTTGGTTGTTCTCGTCAACCAGGTCCGTAGTACTGCGAAGCCCTATGTTGGCGCCACCGCCTCCGGCTAGATGCATCATTTGAACAGCCTCTGTCAGGTCATCATATTCACCGGTTTCGGCAATGTTCAAATCGGCAGCACTAAAACTATTCTCCAGGCGCGACGGCGTCGCAAGATAATTGCGAATGGACGATCGCTGCGGAGGAGCTTCGAGAATGCCTGCAGTCCTTGCACGGGGTCGATTAGCTGTCGCATGGTTTGCAAATGCCTGCACTGCCAGGTTGTGTTGATGGATCTGGGCTTGAGTTGCGGCCAGCTGGGCAGCTGTGGCAGCTGCGGATGGTGTAACAGTTCCCGAGGGAAGTTGTGAGTAGCGACTTTCGTACTCGAGGTCTTCATCATCAGCATACTTCTCCTTCGCATTGACCGAGTAAGAGCGGATGCGACTGTTGTTTTTTATCATCGCTAGCTCAGCAAGGAGCGGGGGAAGCGAGGACGACTGTTGTTGTTGCTGCTGCTGCTGGAGTAGGACATCAACGGACGGTCGTACAAGATTGGCCCGAGCTTGCTGCGGGGTTTCTGCGAGACCAAGATAGTCCAAAGTCTTCACGTCACTATCTGCGAGTCCGTCTCGCGAGAACGACGATTGACTAGGCGAAGTCGGTCCCTCGGACGATCTAATACTGGTGAGGGTTGTTGCTCGATCACGGCCGGTGCCCCAGTTCGTAGAGAATAGTGAAGGGCCGAACGGTCCTGAAGACCCCAGGTAGTTGGTGCGTTGCGGCATTGAGCCAGCCCGAAGGCGTGAAAGATTACCTGTGCCGCTGCCACCCATGGTTGTTGGAGGCTTGATACCTGTGTCGATACCTGACACACCAGTGGGTCTGAACGGGCTGGTCGAAGGCGTGGGCCGGGAAGTTTGGGACATAAAAGGCTGCTGAAGGTTCGCCTCGTTGAGAACGCCGACTGGAGAAAACCGAGACGGGACTGTACCAGCTCGGGTTCTTCGTGCAGGCCCGTTCACTGAACTACTTGTAGGAGGCACTAGGTCCGGAAACCCCTCCTGGCTGGGTGACTCGGGAATATTTTCACGAAGAGGGGTAGAATGGCCGCTAGTTGGAGGACCCCAAAACGGAGAGACGCCTTCTTCCGCTTGTATCTCGCGTGCACTATAGTAACCACAGCCGTTAACAAATGGTAACGATGTTTGAATTGGTCCCCAAGATAAGTCACTTACCGTTTTGAGTATAAGCGGGCACCAAGTTCGTGAGAAGGGGATCCAGCCCCTAATCTTGCACTTCCAATTGAGCCCGCAGCACCATTGAGACTAGTAGACGACCCAAATGGAGGCTTAATGGCAGCATTTGCGGACGAATCACTTGGAGAACTGCGACCAGTAGAAGTCCCAGACATGGGTTGGGTGGTAGGAATATAATTGAGGCTCATATGACCCTCGGGCCGTGTCACCGGTAGCATTATGAACTGGTACCTCCGCCACGAAACTTGGTAATAAGTTGTCTTGGTAAGGACTGCGGAGCCTTTGTATTATGCGGTGACCACGATATATGAATATCCTGCACGATCGGAATCTCAACCCACGGCAACCATAGGTTCGAGGCTGATGCTTCGGAAAATGGCGGTATATTAACCGTGCACCACAAGTCGGATGACAATCAACGCAATGGAAAATGTCTCAGACTGTGTGCTGCATTAGGGCTTTGCGTGATTCAGGTAATGAGTGCGACGGCGGGGTTGACCGGAAGAATCGTCCGAGTGAATACGTAAGCTCGAATGAAGCTGAGGTGTAGTCTAGGGAGACGAATTGGATAGGCAATTCGCCAGCGTTCGGTCGTTAGGCGTAGAGATCGAGAAAAGTAATCGCGATGAATAAAAGAGTCGCTTGGCTCGTAATAGAATCCAGCTGGCACCAAAGATGCAAAGTGTACTAAACTCCAAAGCAAGGTGGGCCGGAAAGCTGCAGGGCCTCACGAGGAGAAACAAGACCGAGGAGATGCGATTAATCGTCGGGGTAACAATGAGAGAGAGAGAGAAAGAATAAAGGCGACTCCAAGGTGCAAGGGCCAGAAAAACCGACTTGGTGGTGGCTGGAAATTAGCAGGCCAGCTCAGGGCAGAAGCCGAAAAGTGGAACGGCAGGCTATGGAGAAAGGATCGGGAGATGACGTGACTAAAAAGTGATACAGTATGGAAAGAATTAGGAGAGAGAAGAAAGACGAAGAGATGGATAAGAAAGGGAGAGAAGAACAGGAGAGGTAAGAGCAGGATCGGAGGATGCTGGGAGATCACAGAGGAGTTGGAAGGGACACAGAGGAAAAGACTTTCGAGTAGGCGGTTGCGGGCTGCGGTAAGCTGGCTGGCTGTGGTAGCAGGGCACCTGGAGCTCCCGGCTGCTTCGCGCCCTGTGGTTGGCCCGTTGCGTCGTCAAATGTGCCAGAACGAACTGGACCTTTGGAAGGCTCGCCCTTTGTCGAGGTTACTCTGTATTCACCATTCACGACTGATTATTCTGAAGCTCTCGCGGGCAGAAATGAATTAAGGACAGTGCCACTGGGACTTTGCGTGCGTCTGCACTCTAAAACCATGCATACGATGGAACGGCCAGGATGGCTGTGGTTTTATTCAGCTTAGGCTTTTTCACTTGTGAGCTGATATTGTTGCTTTTGCTCGTCTCGTCTTTTTATCCATATTCACCCTATCAATGAAGTTACCAGGGTTGCATTAATCAATGACCTCCTGTCTCTCCAAACTCTAGATCCTGTGCGGCTACGGGGCGTTTCAGGTGAGGATCCAGAGATGTCAGTGGAGTTGATTTCGGTGCCTCGAACAATGGCGTTTCTCACCTTTGCACCGAGGAGCGATCTGCCTCCCTTCGTTGTTTAATCCGATGGGCACTCGAGGTGGCCGACGTCCCCTTGCCGGCCTTCCTTCCTCCGTGAGCAAGACCTCCAGTATGGAATACAGGCTTAATGTGACAGGGGCTTTCGAACAACAGCCCTTCTCAGGAACGAGCAGCCCCTTTCTGACACCGTTGGCAAGTTGATGATGTGCCAGCCTGCCAATCACGGGCTGGACCACCTTACGAATTCTGAAACAGGGAGGGATCTGAAAACTCGGCCCCGTTTGGATGCTTGACACTCTTGAAACATCTTCGACCCCGCATTCCAACGCCTTTCCTGATGAAGTTCTGCCTCCGCTACGGAAAAGGCCGAAATGGGACCGAACAGGTTGTAGTAGAGACTATTAACCGCTATGGGTCCTTTAAATAGTACCATAGATGAACACTTTTGACGGCAGTTATAGTTTTCTATAGCTTTTCCGACTTGACATCAGCAAGGAGGTAAGAAGGGAGTCTGTGCTTGTGGCCCCTTCATTAAGGCAGAGTCGGAGTATACCGGCCCCTAACGCAAGGAGACAAGGCTGTCGTAATATTGGGACGCCCGGCACATCAGAGATCACTCCCGAGAAAAAGTGAACGTGGATTGGTGGTGCATCGAATTCTCCGGGCACTCTTGGCCAAGACAGCAGCAAGGAGATAAGGTATCAAATAGAGTGCCTCAGGCACAGATTTCCCGAAGGTCTGATTTAGACCGCCACTTAGTAATCTGCCGACTTTTCTATACCGCCTTCAGAGCTTCCATCGGCGACGAGGAGTGATCATAGTGGCACCCTTGTCCTCAATCATTATATTACCAATTAGCAGTCCTACATTATATGCTTATGATATTTATTCTTCACGCCTTTCAACTCTCAGCGGCGTATTAGATGGAGTTAGGGCGGCTATTTAACCACTCACGCACCTTATAAACGCGTCGTACCGAATTCGCGAACCATCAAACGATTGATTACGCTCAATATTTTTTTCACCGGGTAATCGAGAATGTCACACGATGAAGATATGTCTTCATCCTCTTCCGACGAGGAGGAGGTTCCCGTGGAATCGCTCATCAAGGGACGTGAGAAGCGGAGCACAGCTGGGCGACAGATGTCCGCCCTCTTAGACGCTGAGGCAGATGATGAGCTGGCGCTATTATTCGAAGAGGTGGATGACGATAATGAGTTTGCAGCGGATGTAGCAGAAGAGGGAGGCGAAGAGGATGATATGGGACTTGAGTCCTCTTCCGATGACGATGATCAAGGACCGAACGCTCAGGCGGACGACTTCGAGGGAGAACAACAAATTCAGAAGGAAGAAAAAGAGGAAAAGAAGAAAAAGAGGATTCGAGAAGATCTTCGGTATAGGATTACAAGCAAGAAGGTGAAAATCGACCCAACCGCCGCGCCGAAGGTGCCAACGGCGGTTCCTCCTCGCCCAAGGAAGAAATCGGAACGAGTTTCATGGATTCCCACGGTTGACGAAGGACCTACACGATCTTCTTCTCGTCGACAAACTATGCAAAATAAAGAACTCACGCATGCTCGGTTAAAGGATAGCGAGGAAAAGCGTGTACGTTTAATTGCCACAATGGAAGAAGCAGCCAAGCGGAAGGCGAAGCACAAGCCGAAATCGATGACGCAGGCTGAACGTCTCGCAGAAGCTGAAAGAGTGGAAAAGCACAATAGCAAAAGCCTCAATCGATGGGAGGAGATGGAAAAGAGGAAGGCAGAGGAAAGGCGAGCGAAGATTGAAGCATTACAGAATCGTCGCCTCGAAGGTCCTGTTATATCGTACTGGAGTGGTGTCGCGACTTGGGCCGATGGTCGGTTAACGCAAGTTGGGAAAGTAGCGATCACACCAAAACCGGAGAAAGACGACAATGGGCGGAAGAAGAGCAAGAAGGCGGATAAAGAAGGGAAGAGTGTCGCGGAGCAACCATCGAGCAATACTGTCACTGAACCGGAGATATCACAGGCTACAGTCCCTATCAATCCGAACGAAAACGCCACGCAACCTACCAAAGACGCTAAACTAGACCAACCTGCTCAACAAACAAACACCGATACCGATGTGGTCGTTGATCCGGCACTGGGGGATAACCACTCTGAGACCAAAAATGAAGCTTCGATAATCTCTACTCAACTTACTAGCCCCACAAAGGGAGCATCAGAGGACCAGTTACCGGCGTCCACATCCAGCGCATTGCCAGAAGCAGACGCAGCTTCTAGCGTGCCAAAAGAGAATGTGGAAGTAAATGGAGATGCGCAGGTTTCCGGTGAACAACCAACAAAAGCAACTGATAGTGGAGCGGCAGAAGGGACGGCAGAAGGGACACCAGACCGTCCGACAGCACCAAACTCAACGTCACAAACTGATGAAGTCGCAACAGAGACTAAGGAACAGATTCCCGACGCCGAATCATCACTTAAATCAGAGAAGCCCAGCGATGTCGCCAAAGTGTCAGCTCCCGAACCACCAAAAACCGCTCAGCCAATACCTGGCACTCAATCGACATCCGAGCCTGCTTCAGAGTTGCCGGTTTCCAATGCCCACGGCCTTGATCAGCCAGACGGGGCACCGAAGGAGAGCCCACAGGTCCCAGTGCCAACCGAACAACAACCTGATATTCATATAGATGAACCAAATGCGACAACTGCGGATTCACAGCAACCTCCGGCTGCCCCTGCGGTCATCGAACACACCGGACGATTCCTCACTGTGCTGGAGAATTTTGACGACAAAACTGCTCAGAGTCGAGACTTCAGTATCTACTTCAATGCGAAGAAACCACCTAGGCTTACAAGTACGTGGAATTATCTCTCCTCCTGGACTCTTTCTTTCTCTTTCTTTCTTTCTTTCGTTTTTTTTTTTTTTTTTTTTTTTTTTTTTTTTTTTTTTGTCTCGTTACTAATTTGTTCTATCAATTTCGTCCTCACCTGGTGATGTCACATCTCTTCCACCGCGTTATCGAGTTCTAGATCCGTGCCTGCCCTGCGCAAACTCATATGCATACCATGAAATTCGCCATACCGCTGCTCAAAAGTATTCCTGGAGTCCTATGCTTGGATGCTACGTTGGACCATCTGGTANTCTCTCCTCCTGGACTCTTTCTTTCTCTTTCTTTTTTTTTTTTTTTTTTTTTTTTTTTTTTTTTTTTTTTTTTTTTTTTTTTGCCTCGTTACTAATTTGTCATAGAAATATCGTCCTCACTTTGTGTTATCACGTCTCTTCCATCACGCTACCGAGACCCAGATACGTCCCTTCCATTCGCAAACTCATATGCATACCATGAAATTCGCCATACCGCTGCTCAAAAGTATTCCTGGAGTCCTATGCTTGGATGCTACGTTGGACCATCTGGTATTGCCGCGCGCGGCGTACCTGCAAGGTTCTTAGATCCCAGTGCCCCGAAAGAGAGCAGCCCAAAACCTGCCGGCACAGTCGACGAGTCCAAATCCACAGATAAGGATGGAGAGGCTGCAAAGACGGCCGGCCCAAATAACCCAACTCCAGCCGCGGCCTCGACTACACCTGTGGCCACACCTGCACCCGTTACAGTTGGCGCCAGCGATGCCATGGATATCGACAAATGATAGCCGGTGGTTTTTCATTCCTGGCCTTTAATGATGTACAATACCGCTATGATACCCTTTAGGATAAATTCTACAACTCACTCCCCCGATACGGCCAACTGTGTGGAACCACCAACCTACTTAGGATAAAGGCCAACACTGACAACCATTCGCCCTTACACGTAAAGTACATTACCTAATGTAGGCAGAGCGGTAGGTGACCGATCCACAGCCAATAATAATATGCGCCTACTATTCCGGGTATGCGTCTTTTGAACCTGGACGGTTTAGCCTGTGATGGAGCCCACAGCACAAACAAACAAAAAAGAAAGAAAAGAAAAGAAAAGACAACCTAGTTTAGTATGTAGATCCCGATCGACGGCCATCGCAAGCCAACCTCCACTTCCTGACTGGAAAACATCAGGTTCAACTGGTTTTTAACCTGTGCTAGAGGGGTCTTAGCGTGCGGGGGATAATAGGCCGTCTTTTGCTAGGTCTGTAGTTGCAGACTGGTTAGAAGAAACCCCTAGTCTAGGTATAGACAAGACCAGCCAAAGTCGGGCGGGAAAGCGCAAGATCTGGGGGAATGGCGTCACATCCGGGCTCAATAATGAGATCCGAGTTTTTTTTTTAATTCCCTCTTTACAATCAGGGAAGTTGACGTTTTTTATTGCCTCATTTGCATCAACAGTCATGCTATATTGTATGTTTTCTTGCGTCATCCGGCGAAAACTTTGCAGCGGACTGTCCAGACCCAAGGGCGAACGATAATTGGCTGACACACAAGTTTATTGTTTGGAATGGATAGAGTGACAGAAGTGGACGGGAGGTCGACGGGAGGTCTGCGTAGATCCATGGATGCAGAGGGCACTGGGATGCCCCAGCGTTGTTTCTGGGTTGCATCGAGGGCCGCGATATCCGTGGACTGCGCTGGATCAATGCTTGGTTGCAGCAGACTCAACGACTACGTACTGGAGGGTTTAGGGTAGACTTGCATGGACCGTCAAGGCAAATGCAGGTTCCCATCATGGGTCCACTTGCTTTTCTATGCGCAAATAATACAGTAAAGCGGCATGAAACGTGATGTTTCGCCTTGCCGGCTTCTATAGCGTCTACTGGCCCGGGGCTGTCCTTGCAGCGCCAACGGGATCTATCATCGAGTTAAAATCAAGCACAGGTTCTTCACGCCAAAGCAGCTGGCGCCGGCATTGCACCGCGCCGAAATCGAGGCAGCTAATGACTGTTTTTGGTTGACCCCAGGCAGACACTCTTTGAAAGCCTGAGCGTTTGTGGAGAATGGAATGTTTCGGGCTTCATCATCGACGTGCCCCACTATCGTCGTTTTGAGTTTTCGACCTTTCAGTCTTGTCACCCTTGATTATGTGTCGTTTTTCTTTGTTTAGATCCTCGAGTCTCTGTTGTAACAAAGAGACCATGCTGAAGAGCCTGCGGGTTTTGAGAACCCCGGTAGTGGCACGCAACTGATGCCTGCCTTGTAATCGGTAACATTTCCTCCAAGGTACACGCAATTTGGCGGCATTCACGAGCGGTGTGAGGAAAGCGAGGAGCAGTGAAAAGGGCACCCAGGTGAATTGTTTCCCACCAGCAGTGTTTCCAACGAGAAGGGAACGATCGCCCTCAGCCCTCCGTACCTCGCCCTCCCACGTTGTCGATACATGCAGTCTAGCAAGTGGCCCAATCGCTGCTACGTCTGCAGCCAATGTCGGAGCTCTTCTGCAGAGCACTGGCCTGCTGCACTCATCAGGCGGTCCAACCTGAAGAGTTGGCAGAAGAATCACGCCCGCCCAGGTGAATGTCGAGACACAGAGAATGTGGAGCACAACGAATGACATCGACCCATCACCTTGTTTTGTCCTGCATGAGCAAATTTCCCATACTGGGGGCATGTCATCCACTGAAAAAGGAAGGCCCGGCTGGGAGACCCGGAGAGAAGGATTCAAGACGAGGACCAGGGAACTGGAGGGACGAAAGCACGGAACAGCCGTCAGTCAAGGGACGGCCGACTATAATTAGTGTCGACGTCAAGGAGTTGGTTGACAATGGCCGTCTGTCAGTGCCTGAGGACCCAGGTGTCGCGTCCTGACGTGCTCGGGATCGTCATCCACCCATCCAAGCAGGTGCTTCCGGCACCACCCTGCGGCGTTCTAGAACCTCGCTCGACATACGCGTTCATGAGCAACCAATTCGTCCTCCTCCCAAGGTTGCTCTCCATTTGAGTCGCTCGTTCGCCGCCTATTTAAGAACTCTCTTTACTCCCCCACTTCAGCTACTCTGAGACAGGCAATTCAATCTCTTTCTCCACTGTTGTCTCGACTCCCGGCTCCCCGGTCTGGTTCTTGACTCATCTTGTGGCATGTTGGCGCTTCTATTCTTATTTATACTCGTGGATCAGTAGCATTGCGTTTCGTCACCAATCCAGCGTCCGCTTAAAAAGAAACCCTGTTTGCCGTCCGTCAGTCAAAAAAAAAAAAAATATCCCGAGCGATTTTCCTCATCTGCTGTGCAATCCTAGCGGCATACCGGGCAATCTACACCGTACAAATAATCCCGCATCACGTTAGCAATCAGGACCAGGGGCTGTATCTTCCAGCCCTTGCACGACTCAACGCGAGAAGAGAACAAGAGAAGACGAAGATTAAACCAAAAATAAACCCAGTTTGTCTTGGTATGTCCCGATCCGGTTCTTCAAAGCACCACCTGTTCCCTATCTTGGCACCTCATCTTTCCCTTATCTTTTGCCCCTCTACAGGCCAATGATAAGGGCCGACAACGTTGCTGTTTGTGCCACAGCTGACCATTGGGGTTTCACAGTCAAAAGCTTATCACTTTCGTTATCTCTGTGAACGCTCTTAGACGGCAAGCCTTGCTGGACATATTTGTGCTGTCACTGGCTCTCTTTGCAATTTCCCGCATTCGTCCTCCCTCAGCATTCCTCCTGGTTTGTCTCAATCGTCCACCTTTGTCCAAGCACACAATACTGCAGTCGCCTTTTGTGATACAGTGAGACATTTGTTTTTCGAGGCAGACTTAACCCAGCCCCTTGGAAATCCCTCATTCTCGGGCCCCTCAGGGGAATCACCGTGCTCCACATTGCATATCACTGGGCTATTCCAGATAAATCGACCGGCCAAGGATCCTTATACTATACAAAGGCCTCACCGCCACCATGACTCAAAGCCACGGTCTTTCCCATCACCGTCGCTCCCCTTCGGGTTCGAACTCGTCCAAAAGGACTGCCAGACCAGCAATTCATCGGAGGGGCACCTCATTTGCGAACATCTCCGCCTCCAAGTTAGGTTCTGGTCAAGTCCGAGCCGCTTCAACAGACGACGATCGGACGCCTGAGATGGCCGCCAGCTTCCTCAACTATTGGTATGTTTTGAGATTCATATATGCCCCGTAACCCTACTCATCACACACCGCCACATTATTCCCGCTCCTATTCCTGGAAGATGGGGCCTAATCGTTATCATTATCCAAAACCCTTGCATGTCGGATTCCTGCTTATCGGCTGTGCTTATGCTAATAATTGCTGTAGTGCCATGTGCGAAAAACAGATAACCGTGCCCGATAACCGCCTTCTTTATTGCAGTGAAAGGTACGTCACCTTGCCGTTCCCTGATTGTCTTGATCTTGTTCATATAAAGACAACCTTCCCTCCCACCCTTCCTTACTGTTTCTTAATTATCTATATCCTCTAACGTATTTTAAAGTTGCCGCCGCAAAGACACTCAGAAGCCTCTTTCGGCCTCACTCTCATATTACAACACGATATCCCCTCCTATCACACCTCCATCTTCTCCGCCAATGTCTCCTCCAACCATCGTGGCGCCGTTGACGCCCACGAAGCTCCCTGTTACAGCTTCTCAGCCTATCCGGATACCCACTGACACGAACGATGTCCGGACGGATATTGATCCCACCGAATGGAAGCCCGTCATACCCAGTGACCGCCATTCTCCAAGCTTGATGACTTCGGATGCCTGGAAATATCTCTGCAAATTCCACGGCGACGAGCCTGCGGCTCCGATTCGGCGCTCCAAGGGCCACAACCAAAGCTCAAGTAGCTTGTCAACTCTCCCTTCGTTAAGCCATACGGTTGCATCCACGCCATCCTCTCTAAGCAGCACTGCATCGGATTACATGGGCCATATGTATGAGCCTGCTCATCGCCCTCTACCTCCCCGTCATAAACCCTGCTTCTCTAGCAGCGGTGGCGCAAAGAGCGTAGAGTTGGTTGTCCCTCATATCGAGATGATTCCAGACTCCCCCGTCAACACTTCCAACAGCGGGTCTATCTTTCCAGCTAGCAGTGGCCTCTGGAACGATAACACCAAGACTACTCCGGCCATAGCTGTCTCTGATGAGAACTGATGTGGACTACGCTTCTACGCAGTTCATGGTGTTTAGGTCGTGTTACACGAGATGGATTGTGGCCAATTCTTTTTTTCCAATTATCATTATTTAATACGAAGCGGAGTATGGGCGGTATACCATAGAATTCAGCGCAAACGGACACGACTTGATGTGTGATTTATATAGCGTTTTTTTTTTTTTTTTTCTTTAACTTTCTTTGACTTTCAACACAGGCGGTGCAACCACCGGGAACTCTAGATAGATATCCAAACGAAACGAACATCAATACTTGAAGTGTGTATATATCTCAAACCCCTTAATAGGCTCGGTGTAAACAAAAACACTTTATTAGGACAGTCGTACTAGACGTTATATATAAAAAAAAAAGTAGCTGATAATTAAGATTTTGGAAATCGTGGTGGTTCAAGCATAGGACGTAAAACTTCAATTAACGCCCACCCCGATCAACCAGCGACACTAGGGACAATAGCAGTCAATGTCCTCCCGTCTGAACACCCGACTAGACGTCCATCTCATCCATTATTCATATTAAATTCAATTATACATTATATTCCCTCATCCATGGATCCCGGTCCCATTACCACATTCCGAACTTAGGACAGCCCAGCACCACGATCCGCCGTGGTGACGGGCAAGCCGCCTTCCCGTTCATTTGAATAGCAGCAAATGTAGCATCCCTGTTGGGGGCGGAACTGTATAGATAGGGTTATATATGTAAGTTTCAAATCCAAACTCGGATAGAAAACATCATCAGGTAAATAGCAAGTGCGAGACGGGGGGAGGACGTATGTATACAAAGGTTGTGAGATATATTCTGGACGGACCAGGAGTAGGAGAGTAACAAGTAAAACAAGATTGAAATAAAAGGATGTACCTCTATATTTTTCCCACAGTTCAAGGTCTCTGGGGTTTTGACGCAGGCACCCACGCAGGCGGTGTTTCCGATGTCCTGCCCTTGTCGTTTTACGAATCGGTTTGCGCCGACGGGGCTGCTGGGGTGTGCGTGGACGGCAGCGAGGAGGGCGATGAGTCCGAGTGATAGGGCTGAGAAGTGCATGGTGGATAGTGGACGGACTGCAGGTGATTCGCAAGCCGCTAATTAACTAACTTGGTCGCTGTCTATTGGGCGTTGTTTTTTTTTTTTTTTTTTCTTTATTTTGGAAGCTGCAGGAAATAAGAAGCTGGGCGCGGGGGCCTATATACTGCAGGGGCAAGGGCGTAAGGGCTATCTTTTCTCCCGAAAACTCGAGTCAAGACCCAGGTTAAGCAAGGGGTCTGTGGACACGCGACTTGACAAGAGGGCGAATTTTGTTCGCAGGGTGTTTACCACGCTGGAAATTGGATGTTTCATTGGAATGCTGGGCAGTTTTCGCGTTTTAATAACTTGCCCCGGAATTTGGCAGGCATGTTCGTACGATGTACTTCGCGCTTGTAATATGTGCGGTACTACATAGTCGGGTTTGGCTGGAACCCGTGTATTCCGTCTCAACAATTATTGAGCTCTATGGTCGCAGAGCAGACGCATATTTTTAATATTGGTCCAGGGAATGGGTTAGTTCGGATTGACGGCTACTGGCTCGGAGTCAAACCCCAAGCCCAGATACCATACAAGGCTTCAACTTTGCCGCAGACGTCGTTTACCCAAGTCGCGCTACCTACCGAATGATTGGTTCGGTATCCCGCCAAGTAGGCGCGGGCCGGGTCGACCAATGGCCCAGCGTGGAATCTGACCGAGTCAAAAAAACAAATGCATGCACATTGAGCACTTCAACAAGAGGAAAAGATTGTCGCTATACCCGATCGTAATTCCTCTAGCTTGTAGTGTCACAAAAAAGAAACTTATCCATCCCTAGGGGGACGCGCAAATCATGTTCCAACGATACGGGCTGTATAACTCGGAATCATCAAAGATAAAGTGGCACAAGTCGCATCGGAATCGGGGGCTATTTTGCTTCCACGCTGAGAAAAGACCGTCTTTGGAGAAGGTCTCTGATAAGGGCTGCGCCAGGGGCTTTGAAGGCTTACTGTCGTTGAATTAGTGTATCCGAGTGTCGGAAAATTGATCCGCTCAAATAGAACAAGTCGAGGTAAGCATTTGTCAGGAGAGTTGGGCTCTGGATCACGCCCGCGTCTCACTTTCGGCTGTTTCGTATGATCACGAGACATCACCCTATAAATTGCGATTTGTATAAAGCAGGCTATATTTGGCCGCAGCCTGTTTCCTAGTTCGACACACGGTCTTATGAGGGCATCTCTTGACGTAGAACAGACATCAGGGTGTCTCCCGGGGAAGGTAGCGAGGCCTGAACACTGCCAGGATCGAATGCCTCCGATAAAGTTCTGCAACTGTCAGATTAAGGGTCGACATGTGAGATAAACAAAGTTCCATGGTTCTCTCTGGCCGTGACGGGCAGGAGGCCATCCGGTGGAGCCCAATAGCGACGCTGGGAACTTATCTCCTAAAAGCCCTCCTATTGGTGCCAGTCTGCCAGACGAGAACACTGAGGCCACAACTCCTTTCTGCTCTAATCACCTTCGCGCATCATATTCTGGCTTCAACTCCAACTATCAGATACTTACCTTAGCCACATGTGCGCAATGGTGGAGTTTGTTGGAGTTTCCCGCCCTTCCCAAACAGAAAACGCAAACGACTGCATTGTTTACGAGCAAAAAAAGAGTCCTCGAATAAAGAGTTTGAGACACCCTATTCCCTGGTTTCACCTAAGGTACCTGGAGTGAACCTTTTTGCTCTGGCTTTGCCTCCTCATCGGCGACAGAAACAGTACCCCTGAGCTCGAGGAGATTGAGTGGGATCGATCAGACAACTAGATGCGTCAGAGTCGGCATCCTTGAGATCCAGTGCCTTCAGTCATTTTCTCACCGCTCTGTGCAACATGGACCACGAAAGAGCTTGGGACGGGAGCAACGAGTTGACAGACAGGTTTCAGCAGGACCTTCCGGGAGCAATGCCCTTCAACAGCAAAACACACAGGCGCCGATTTCATCAGCTACGGATTCGAGAACTCAATGGGCCCTATCGTGATTGGTGACTTCTGCTCCAACACACCCTGATTAGAAAGCTCAAGTTGGCGTGATCAACGTGATTGCCAGCTGTGGCTTTAGGGTATTCCTGATAAAACATGCATAGTGAGCATAGACATCGGGCATTAAGATAACAGCACGACGTACTTGCTAAGTAACGGGCTATCATTGGGCAATAAATCTTCGTGGAAACATTGGGAGAGGGTTGGTTTGGAAAAAAGGTCCAGCAAGCTGACAATACTACCCATCCGTCAGCACCCGTGCCATCGCCAACTCTCGAAAATCTTTAGGCACCGACATCACCATTAACCATCCTCCGGCAGATAGCGATATCAACAGTTTCTCGACGGGTGGCAGATAACATAGGGGAATTGGACGTGCGCGCCCGTACCTATGCATCGGGTGGTTTTCGACAAGAAAGGCGTATCTCTTGAGATGCCATGACCTTTACGGACGAAATCTAGTGTCCGACGAGGCCCTATTCGCCAACCTTCACTTGTTGAACTTCGAGAGTTGAACACAGTAGTGAGAACGCAGTTTCCATATCTTAACCACAGTCATAGGGTGAAAGAGTTCAACACCCAGCGCGAGAATGACCAGAATGAGAGACCACAGACTCCAGACTTCAATGATCGGTCGTTCATTGGGCCCGGGGATAGACTTATCTCGGACGTTTCGTTCTTGGCACATCGTCTGGCCGTTCAACAACAGGTACGAAGGAAAGTGCCATGACCGGGCACCAGATCTTGCAAGTTATCCTGCGAGTGGAGGTTCAATATGTCAGCACGCATAATCTCGAGTGCCAATAGCAAGAACTTGTTGGTTGATGTCTCTGCTTACCGTTTATGTTCGAGTCGGCTGATCGCGATCAAGAACGCAAGGAATATCGTATTAAGCGGTAGATCATACTGTTTATTCCTCGCACGGGTGGCAACGTGTACCTGCCCGGGTTTCCGGATGCTTTCGAGCTTATTGGAGAGTTGCAGTTTCTCAACTAGCAGAGCAAGCGGCCATAGCATGCGGTGTGAAATGCAGAACGGAAGGAAAACCGACCAGAGAAATCAGGGGATTCGAGTCCAAGCTTAACGCTCCTGTTCCCCCGCCACAAGCAAGCTAGATCTTCTCACAAGACCTCAACAGAGCATATTAGGCGACGCAGTTCTTCTTGACCACCAACGTTGATTCGGAAGACCACGAGAGAATTTGGTTGGCTGGAATAATTTTCCAGACACGGGACTCCCATCGCCACCGGCAGGTCGTTCCTCCAACGATTTAGAGGAAATCGCGAATTCGATGTCGTCAACCGATATGGGTCAATGGAGGGTATCCGAAACAGAAACTCGAGCAGGTTGGCTGAAGTCCAAGGGGGCCCAGCCGCTGGGTCCCGTGATTGGCTCTTATCGCCAGGATAACATTTCCACGGCACTACCGTACTACCAGGAAGAACCAAAGCCCGGGGGCATCCCACTCAACGGCTGTCATGAGCTTGACGATGATTTGCTCCCTCCAAAAAGTGACTTGTATCATCTCGCCTGTGTCGTGTGGTTTTTACGGCCTCTCTTGATTGTCGTCGTTTGGTCATAAGCGGAGCAAAGCCTTGTGGATCATCAACGGTAGCCGTGCGTGCCCTGGCTATTATTGAACCCTGACAGTCAGCACTGAGGAGCTCTTAGTTCGTATGTGACGAGCAGTCGAATCTATTTATTGGGCCTACCCGCAGATGGTGACCCTTATTAGTTATCCTATTCTTTCCGTGGGGCACTGAGGTTGTCCGTGTCGGCCTAAAATCGGACCAACATATGTACTTTGATCACTCCCCTTCCTACAGTCACTCTTTCAATCTATCTCAAGGTCGCGATCATCAGCAATATTTAATCATTACACCGCAGCAATCCGAATTACCTTGTGCACTAAAGTGTCCTTGAATATCTAGTTCTCAGGGTCTGGTCAGAGAAAACATGGACGGGAGAGATCCGAACACACCACGGAACTCAAAGCAGAGGTGGGTGATCGTCCTGCTTTTGTCTATCCCGCTTTCGTTCTTCGTCGAGATGTAAAAGGGAAGGGGAGGTCTTTCCTCTACCCGAGAACCCAGATTACCTTCATCTCGGAGATTTGCATAATAACAGTTGGCCGCCAGTTCTCAAACTAACGGCACCGGCCGTAGCAACAGACAGGCGGGCGGGCGTGAAGCCACCAATACGGAAACCGAAACTGCGGAGTACTACCAGACATTTCTCTCCCGCCTCCTTGCCGTGGTTTCGCATGGACAACCGGAGGTCGTCGATAGGCTGATTGAGATCATTCGCTCTGGCGCGTCCCAGCAACAAATTTTCGAAGCATTATCGGAACTTGGAGCAGATAACAACCCTTAATCATCATAAGATAGGGCTCAGATATTTTGATCGGCCGCCTATGACGATTATTTTCCGCCAGTCTGAGGTTCCACCGAAGAAAAAGCCATACAAGAAAGACATTGTGTTGCAAGGGTAAGGACTAAACAACGCACTCGCTTCATACTTGATTATCTGATCGAGGCGCGCTAAGGCGTTGTATATATTAAAGTTGTCAATATATATTTTGGGAACAACAAATAATGAATTCGATATGTCACTGGTGAATCCTATTCTCGGTGATCGTTTTGGCCGTCTATGCCTCGAAGACTATGGTTCAGTCATTAAATCAGCAATCCCATCTAAAATGCCCCTGGAACTGGTGCAGACCACTGAGAGACTGCTAGTCAAATTAACCAAGGCTTCTCTATTATACTACAACTCGAATTTCAGCGGATATTATTCATGAACATACTGTGCCGAGCTGGCTTGGCAAATGACGTCCAGTGTACACTGTTCATTGCTCCACCCTATACGGATACAATACCACCTATTTTGCGGAAGCCCACAAAAACCTGTCTACAGCCTATTCCTAATCAGAACAAGGGACCTCTCTAACTGAGGATCATAATCACTCGTCTAGGGTTTACCATCTACGTGTCGCTTGCCTGTAATTATCCATGCAGGATCGCAAGGACTCAAAGTGGTTGGGACTTGAGAAAGATGATTTGATGATTTGAAAGGGTAACACATATCTTTTGTAAGAGAGACGAGCAAGTAACTGAGCTAGACTGTAGTCTATAGTATAATCTCGAAAGGCTATCCTCTTTACCAGGTACAGTACTAAATGAAATGGACTTAGGGCGTGCAACGACCTGTGAAACGAGGGTACAAGGAGCAGTCTCGAACTGTGTACCGGGCACACAGCCAAGCGAGGAAACGCTCCAAGCCAAAACCGTAACCACCGTGAGGTGATGTTCCGTACCTAGATTACGATAATTAGTATATATTTTCTAATATTTTTTTTTTTTTTTGGGAAGGGGGGGAAGAGAACTTACTTGCGCTGGTCGGTATACCAGTAGTAAGGCGAGGGATCCATGCCCTCATGCTTGTAGGCGGCCATTAGCTCGTCCCAGTCGTCCATTCTCATACTTCCACCGACAATTTCACCGACACCAGGCATCAGGACATCGACACTCTCAGTCACACGGCGATCTTCAGGGTCCTTCTTCATGTAGAAGGCCTTGATTTCGGCTGGGAAGTGGGTGAGGAAAATGGGTCGGTTGATGATGTCCGTCATTTTACGCTCCGCGGCCTCGGCGATGTCATCGCCGAACTGGTGGGGTTTGCCTTCTTCGTTGGGGATTTCGTGCTCTCGCAGCCAGTCAATGGCATCGGAGTACTTCATGCGAAGAAATGGGCGGCTGGGTGTCTTGAATTCAGGGTTGAGGTGCTCAATTATGGGCTTAGCGACAGGGTCGGCTAAGACAATTTCGAGAACACGGCATATAACAGCCTCCAAGTGGTCAAGAAGGTCGGTGAAATCGATGAAGTCCAGCTCTGACTCGATGTGAGTGTATTCGGACAGGTGGCGACGGGTAAGAGACTTTTCTGCACGGAACGAGGGGCAAACGCAGAATACATCTCCAAGCGAAGGAAGACAAGTCTCGAGGTATAGCTGCGATGACTGAGTCAAGTAGGCGTTCTCGCCATAGTAGTCGAACTTGAACAGGGTACTTCCGCCCTCGACCTGTGTTTGAACCATGGCAGGCGGGGTCACTTCGGTCAAACGGAGCTCGTCGAACGTTTGACGGAATGCCCTGAGGGTGGCAGCCCGAACCTTCATTACTGATGAAGCAGTCTCGCCGCGAAGAACAAGATGACGGTTGTTGTAGAGGGTTTGCGGATCGGCGTCATGGGACACGCGTGTGGTGATCGCCTCCTTATCACCGGCAGCACGACCGATAACCGTGTAAAAGTCTACATGTAGTTCACGGTTGTTGGGAGCATGCTGCTTGGGAGGGACGGCTTTCATCTCTCCGTGGAGCGCCATGGACGTTTCAAGGGTGAGTGTCATAGCATCGTACGTTTTGACCAGATCGCCGGTCAAGACGCACTGCAGGTACCCGTAGCCGTCAGCAAGAGTCAAAAAGATCATACCTTTTTGGCTTCGCAGGCGATGGACTCTTCCCAGAACGCGCACTCGTGTTCCAGGTGTATCTGACTCTGGCGAGCCGAGCTTCACAACAGCAGGGTCAGTCTCATCTAGCCGAATCTTCACGGGCTTGGGAAGCGATGTGTCTTCCTTGATCACGACTTTCTTCGCCTCCTCAAGGACAAGCTGGCGTTTATCTGCCTCCTCCTTCTCGCGGATAGCCAACTCTTGTTCTTTGGCGGCCTTCTTCTTGCGTTGCTCGAATAGGGTGGTTGCTTTCTTCAACGCGGATTTGGTGGCCGGCTTCCATTCTAGTTTCGCAGCCGGGTCAGCACCTTCACCCGTGGGTTCGGTCTGAGACTTGCGAGTCAAGTATTGGGTGCCATCAGAAGGAGCATGCTGCAAAAAAGCGTAAACAATAGTCTTGTAGGGGGCAGACTCCGCGCCGGTAGCGGTTGAGTCGTCTCGCCCAACGTCTTCGTCGATGTAAATGGACGTCATTGTAGAATAAGTCGGCTACAGCAAGCTCTTAGATTGAGGATTGCCGCCTTGTATCTTGTGTCGGTTTAAATGCGCGACAAAGGGGAAATTGGACCGTGAGTCAACACTAGGGTCTGAGTCAAAAGAATCAGCATTGCAAGATATGGAGGAAGCGGGCATTCAAGCGAGTGGTTGAATACTTGTCAGTAGATTTTAATGGATCACATACCTTATTCACAAACAGTCCCAACAAATATAATTGGCAAGCCCACAGAGTACAAAATGAAAAAGAATCATTTGGCTATCAATTTCTGGAGGGGTAATTTTCTGGACCGCTGCCTCAGGCAGAAAGATAAGGGCAATCAATTTTCAGGGCAAGGTCCCGCATCCCGGTGTCACCAGGTTTCAATGTGGCAATTGTCCAAGGACAAATTATGGCAGCAGTTGAGCGATCTAATGATATGCCTACTTCTTTTTTACATATAGGTGCACTCTTGAACACTTCTCATGGCCCCGAGTAAATTGCCCGTACGATCAGTCAGTTTCTTCTGCATCCCAAGGGATGAATAGGAGTAAATTTATAAAACGGAAGCGCCTGGGTTCAGAGCATCGAGTCTTTGAGTAGCAGGCCAAATTATAGGCATGCTTACCCCAGAAAAGCACTCAAGTGAGGCTGAAGCACGGAGGAGATCCCCAGCTAAAAGCCGGAATGGAATATTGTTGGGCCGAGATTGAGCCTCTTCCCCGTCCTTGTCACTCACGGAATTTCTCTTCAGTCTTGGTTGCGAACCCGACCCCACCAACCGTTTCCTCTCTTGACTCTTGCTCTCATGCAAGGTCTTTTCCATTTATTTACCATCGACAATGTGGATGAATCCATATGACTGTTACTCTCATGGATCACGTCCATTATGTCTGCAATCATCACGCCAGTGCGATCATAATCGGCTGACTTGGGGGATGAAATATGAGTGATGGCGCAGTTCGAACTATTTAGCCCGGCGCGGGCGTCTTCCCCGCTTCCCCTTTCCAGAACAACTCAGCATCCCGACTCAGCGATGGGGTCTTTGTGGCTTCGAGACTCGAGTAGTCACAATTGAAACTGGAATGCAAGCATGCTGAGGCTGACATGGGATGGGCCGTGCGATCGTCATCCAGGTGATCTTGACCCTTCGGGTTATCAGATCCTCTCATGGCGATGACGATCCGCTTCGGGCGAGGAGTTCCTCAGCTCCTTCTCCCAATTTCCTTTGAGCCTGTAAGTCGGAAAGTCCCAACCAGGGAACGCCCCAGCATTGAATTTAGGCACGGCAACAAGCACTCTTTGGTTACACTCTCGTTCTGTTCTGAATACTGGTCGGCTTTCGCATTGATGGGGTACCTGAATAATATGCCCACTTTTCTGCCCAGTGTTGTTTCTACCCCTTTTCTTGCGCTCCGCTCCCCTGTAAACACTGAACAGCGTCGGATTACAGGCCTCTCTCCATGCTTCAGCTTTCTGTGTCCCCTTTTCCCCTCGCTTCAGAACTTGATCTGACTCCTTGTAATTTGTGATTCTAAAATATTTATTCCGTTACTGGTGTGAAAGCTGCCGTGGCCTCAAGCACCCGCCTTATCAGATTTGGTTGTATTTTGCTGTTCACTGGCTCCGTCTCCAAATTGCCCCTTTTCCCCTTTCGAGGCTGAATACGACCCCTTCATTGAGTGGACCGCTGGACACTGCGCTCTTTGCTTGACGTTTGATTCATTTCCTTTTCGTCAAGTGTCATTTGCGCTTTACCTTTTCGAGCATAACTGCTTCAGCCCATTCTTTGTCCTCAACGAAGACCCTCCGCTGCGTCCTGCCATTTTGCCCTCCTTTTGATCCTTTGGATGGCACAAAGTAAATAATATTTTCTCTTCTTATCACCACCAGTGATCTTTCAGCCATTTTATGTATTATCTGCCTGCGTGATTCGCGTTGCGGCTCTTCGTCGTTTGGTATTTGGCGGTGTTGCAGCTGCGGCCACGAACTTCAACCCCTGGGCCCGTCCGTCTCCTTTCCACCATCCTCCCCAATGCACATTCCAATTGACCACTAGAATCCCTTTTAGACACGTCTCCATTGGGGTCTTTCGTTTCGTACTGTGACATTTTTTAATCTTCTGTTTCTTGTCACTCTCTTCCTTTTTCTCTGCTCTGTTCGGAGCTCCTGTTTCTCGATTTTCCATTTCTCTTCTCGGGGTCGCTTTCAACCCCCGTATTTCTTAATTTCTTCCCTCCTATATTGTCTTCCTATTTCCTTCTCAATTCCCCTGTTCCTATTCTTTTCGTCCTTGTTGACATTGGGTTCTTCCTCCACCTCCTACCCTCTCCCTTAACCAGGAGACGCCGTGTCCTTTCCCCTCGGTCTCCTCGCCATGCAAACCTCCGATGTCTCCAATATCTCGAGTCGTTTGAAATTTTCTCACCTGAATGCGGACAGTACTGGATTTTCCCACGGAGCGTACAATTCGAACAACCTCCCCCTGCAAGGATTGTCGGACCGGAATAATCGTCGAGTAAACATCCCTGCCATCAACACGACCGCTACCGCGAGCACGGCCGATAACATGGCGAACTCGGGCACCGCGTTCGATATGAACTTCACTCCTCTCCTTCCTTCCCAGCTCCTACTCGGCAGTCCGTTCCAACCCGGCACGCCCTCCGCGTTTACTTCGCCGCAATTCACCAACTATGGCGGGTTCTCCCAGAACGCTTCGGCACAAGGGGCACAAAACCAACTAGGTAGCCCGACACAAGCTTCGCATAATCCTGGTTTATATTCCAACATGTTAGCTGCGGAAGGCATGGGAAATCAGCAGATGCTGGGCGGCCCCCAGTCCCCTGTCGGTGGGCTGGGAGGACTGGGGAATGCTGCGTACGGTAGCCCTGCAGCATCTGTAACTCCCGGTCTTCTTTCTGGTACCAGCCGAACCGTATACCTCGGCAATATTCCCCCAGAGACACCAGCAGAGGAAATTCTGAATCATGTCCGAAGTGGCCAGATTGAGTCTGTTCGCTTGCTCCCTGACAAGAATTGCGCCTTCATCTCATTCCTGGATAGCAACTCTGCTACACACTTTCATTCAGATGCTATCCTGAAAAAGCTAGCCATCAAGGGCAACGACATCAAGGTAGGCTGGGGTAAGCCATCGCAGGTACCAACGTCAGTCGCGTTAGCCGTCCAGCAATCGGGGGCCTCGCGGAACGTGTATCTTGGAAATTTACCAGAGGAGACAACAGAGGACGACCTACGGGAAGAACTTGGCAAATTTGGCCCAATTGACACCGTTAAGATTGTCAAAGAAAAGGCCATTGGGTTTGTTCACTTCTTGTCGATCACAAATTCCATGAAAGCTGTTTCCCAGCTACCTCAAGAGGCCAAATGGCAGGCTCCTAAGCGCGTTTTCTACGGAAAGGATCGATGCGCTTACGTCTCGAAGACGCAGCAACAAAATGCTGCACAGTTCTTAGGAATTGCGCCGGGATATGCGCACATTCTGAACTCAGCGGACCGTGACTTGATTACCAATGCTCTCGCCCAGCAGTCTGTCGCGGCGGCCGCAGTGGCTACTTCGGCCGGTGGTGTCAACAACCTGGGTAATCGTACTATCTACCTTGGCAATATCCATCCCGAGACCACAATCGAGGAAATTTGCAACGTTGTGCGAGGCGGTCTTCTACACCATATTCGTTACATTCCCGACAAGCATATCTGTTTCGTTACCTTCATTGACCCGACATCAGCTGCTTCCTTCTATGCTCTAAGCAACCTGCAGGGGCTCATGATTCACAACAGACGGCTGAAGATCGGCTGGGGTAAACACTCTGGCCCCCTCCCCCCTGCTATTGCCCTCGCAGTTAGTGGTGGTGCTTCTCGCAATGTTTATGTTGGAAATCTAGATGAGTCCTGGGCTGAAGAGCGTTTGCGCCAAGATTTCGCAGAGTATGGAGAGATCGAACTGGTAAACACACTGCGGGAGAAGAGCTGTGCCTTCGTAAACTTCACCAATATTGCAAACGCAATTAAAGCTATCGAGGGCATGCGAAACCGAGAGGAGTATAGGCGGTTCAAGATTAACTTTGGTAAAGACCGATGTGGGAACCCGCCTCGTCAAACAGGCAACGGTGGGCAGCAAAGCCGCAACGGCAGCGGCATCGAAGGACCGCAGTCGCCTTCTCCGGCGCTCAACGGCTTCCATGCCTTTGCTCAGCCTGGCTCCCAATCTAGCCCCACCCGCCCGGCGCTTTCACCTGCCCCCGGTTCAACGGGCTCCCAAAACGGCCAACCGAGCCGACACCCCCTACAAACTGTTGCCTCTCCATCCGGCATCTTGAATAACGGCTCCAGCAACCCCCTGACTATGTATCTTAACCAGATGTCTACTCAACAGGTCCAGGAGCAAGAAGACCGGCTAAGCGATCCCATGACCCTGGCTTCTCTACAATCCCAACCCCAGTCCAACCATCATCACCAGCAATCACTTTATAACGCGACCACCACCAGCGAACTTACCAACGGCAGCATCGACGCTCCTTTGCACCAGCATAAGCCATCTGCCAACGGCTTCCTAAACGTCACCAATGGGTCCACTGGACCTAGTCACCACTCCACTGCGAGCACAAGCAACCTAAGTGTACCCCGTGCGCAGCATTCCCGTGCTGTGAGCTTGCCATCATTCTCGCAGGAACCATTTGGTCCTATCTCGGGCCAACCTGGGCCCGGTCGCTCTGGGGCGTCTCACCACCCTCAGAGCAGTTTCTCAGGCTTTAATTCCGCTCTGGGCGGTCTAAACCATTCCGGCTTCGGTTTGGCTATCCACAACGAGAACTCGTTGCCCGGCTGGGCGGAGGAAGAGATTGGAGCCAAATAAGCATAGCCTGATTTCAAACATTTTTTCTCCTTCCCGTCCATTTCCTTCTATCTGCTATGGTTGATCCTTTACTGCATCTTATCGTTTGAAATTCGTATCATTCTCATTCTTTTCTACTGTATTGGTTTTCGTATTGCTTTCAGTCTTGTTAATTGTTGTTATCTCATTCCAAACCACACCCTTTATAATGTTTTAATCGCCTTTCCTTATACCATTCACGTGTATTGCTAGCTGGGTATGATACTTTTCCCCTTCATTTCTCTTCATTTTCTCATTTGTTCTTGATCTATACAATTTTGCTTATTTCCCTTTGCCTACGAAGACGGTTGAGATCTTGGCTATACCATAGACTGGTTTGGCTCTGGTCTATTTTCTTTTTATGTCTTGATCTCTTTATTTGCATGTGATGTGATTTTGTGGAATTGGGACGGATATTTTAGCTCTTCTACCGCGTCTCCGACCGGACGGTAGACGGAGCCCTGAACAACCTTTGGGGGTAATTATTTAGAATTATGGTGGCGATTGACAGCCATTGGGACACGCGAGGAAAATGAGGTAGAGAAGCAGAAAAACAATAATAATGGCGTACATCCAGACCTGTATAATGTGTATGGCAAGCATCTTGTCTGAAATGTGTATAGTATCGCGCACTACTATAGCAACCATGATTAAAGCAACAACTATGAAACGTGCATACCGCTCAAATCCATAGCTCACTGTTTCCAGGAACCTTTTCAAAATTGCAGCTCAAAGTTCATTTGAGTAAGTTCTGTTTGGACCATATAGTTCGCGGGAGGGAGAGAACGCAGTCCGGAGCGGAAAAACGTCAAGGCCGCGCTTCCATCCAAAAAGTAAATAACATTCAACAACGCCGCCACCATCTCTTCGATCTACATCTTTTTCTTACCACTCCTCCACACTTTTTCGTGGACTCGGCTAAATTGTTACATCCTCGAAATGTCCTTGCCCCCCGAACACATAAATATCAAACGACGCCGAGAGGAAGAGCCAGTCGATACATTGTGTAAGTAATTTCTTCTAGGCCAGTGTTAGGCTTTAACAGAGAAGCTCAAACTCTTGAGCTCTCTGTTTATTTTCTTTTTTAAACTAATCTTAAAGCTAGATATACAATCTGAGTTACATCAGACAAAGCGTCGATTTACCGACTTTGTCTTCCAACGTGTTACGGTCAATGCCAGGCAAGGCCATGGAAGTGACTCTCCTAGTCCCTCGCATCTCGGAGCTGCGCAAAGACCTATTAAAAACCCTCGCTCCGTGAGCAGCATTCATCTGCCAAAAACCACTAATAACGCTGGAGGTGGCGTCATTCCTTTGGTAAGAGCAACATCACCTGGAGCAGAGCTCCGTGAAGAAAAAAGGATTGCGGCCGCTCGGAAACAGGCAGAGGAAAAGCTAAAAAATGCTCTGCATTCATCACCCTCTCCGCTAAGGAAAGACTCCGAGAAGCAGACTACTGTGTCTCAGAAAAGCGATGCAGCACCAAGCAGCCAGGGCATTGTATCTTCTACTTCAAGTGGACGAGGTAGTCCGGCCTCGTCAGCTGGCGTAGCACCTTCAATACGTCGTTTTCAGATTTCACGAACTGGCACGCCTATGGGGCCACTACGCAGTACTGGCGGGGGCGTCCAGAAAAGAAGAGCGGACGGTGCCGTTGCAGTCTTGGTGGAAAAGCTACGCCGTGAACCGCATTCAAGGCGGGCGTCAATGGTTGCGGATGCGGCAGCCCAGGCTGAAGCTGCTGACTCTCTGGGCCAGGCCTCAACGCCTGTTCGGCCCCGGAAGCGACCGGTGGTAAACCAAGCGGAGAAACAATGGCGAGCAGAGCGCAAAGATGCAGCATCCGCCGCCAACGAGAAGATTTTCCAGGTGTTGGAGAAAGGAGCGCAGTCCCGTCAAAGTAATTGGGAGGAGGAGTCGGATCGATTGGCGCGTCAATTTGAGCAGATCGCACTGGAACTTGATGGGGAAATGGAGACAAAGCCAACAGATGCAAGTCAATATACGACTCCCTCTACAACAAGTCGCCCGGCGATGTCCAAGCCCCCGCTGAAATATCAGCCACGGGCTCCGAATAAGCCACGAGCAGCGGCAGCTCCACCAGCAACGGACGGACAAGATAAAGCTGTTAATCCACCCGCAGAACACGAGGAAGGGGGTGACAGCGACGAGGACTATGTTTACGATATGTACATCCGGCATCCTCTCCCCGACAAAAGTCATTTAATGGACCCTCTCGCCAATTTCGATTTAGACCAAGAAGCGTGGTTGCGACATCACGGAATCGATAACGCTCGCCAAGATGTCGGTGTGATTGTCATCACGCCGGAGGATGAAGTGTATTGGGAGGATTTTGCGGAGGATGAAGACGACGAGGATAGATGGGATAGCGAAGATGGGGACTCCAACGGTGAGCATTTACCTTTACGTCATACGACGCGCGACATTACTTCTTCAGCGAACGATGAAGCAAGCTAACGGATGCTACTCTGACAGCGGAGAACAATCCCGCAAATGACTATCCAGACGAGGAGCTATCCTGGGACGACGAGGAAGACGACGCAGCAGCCATCTACAGGAAGTACCGACACGACCGCTCCGATGACGAGGACTTCGGGTGGGATGGCTCAGGCAGCGAGGGCCCTGGAGATGACAGATATGGGCGGTCGCACGTGGAGTCTGACGATGACAGCTGGTAGAAGGTGGATTCATGGTCGATTGGGAGAGGCCCAAGCTTCTAACAAAGTTTGCTGGCGCCGCAACTTCCTTCTGCAGCGACATGCAGCAAGGCAATTGCCAAATGTTATGCCGATCTTACAATCATTCTCAAACAGCTTCGAGGCCCCTTAGGCCGAATAAAGATCCATGATGCGCTGGATAGCGAAGGAATCAGTCAGTCACCAGCAAGGACTTCGTTTTCATGATGCGGGGTCAACTCCTTCAGAAAAACAACCATCCGGTTCCGTTGCAGAAGGAAATCTCAAACGCGCGAGTCATCGGCGAGGCTGAGCTGAAATTGATTCTCTATTCCTTCAATAATTAATCCCTATCAAGTGTGCACCTCATGGTAACCAACCGACTTGGTCCGAGCCACACCATTCCCCACCGTGATCTCGAACAAGGCAAACCATTGTAATCCCCACGCGGCGAACAAAAGGCAGGAATGCATACTGCAGATACGGTCGGACCATTTGGCCTTTTTTTTACTTTTTTTCCCATCCCCATTCCCAACCCCATGGTGTGGTTGGTGACACCGTAACAGTCACTCGTGTGGGGACAAGGGTCTGCACGCCTGATCAGGGATCCTATTCATGAAGGATTCAGTTTTAACCAAATCCAAGCCTTGCTTTTGGAAGATAAATATCTACATACACCGTTTCTCTGGTATATTAAAAATAAAAATTAAAAAAAAAAAAAAAATAACGAATTAAACATTTCTTCTCCAATCGCGATCCAAATCCTTCATTCGATCGGTGGATTCTTCAGCGCAGCAACCCACCCAAGCTGAACCCATCCGTCATCCTTCACAGATATTGCACAGGTGGCGGCGGGACGGACGACACCACCTTACCCGGTGGTGCTACACTCTGGTGGGCAAAGATATGAGTTCGGCCCTCATTGCCCGAAGCCTTTTCAGGAAATGTTGAGCGCCAAGCCATACCTCGCACCGTCGCACGACTCGGAGTCCTCCAAAGGAGTAAAGACCTTCCAGACTGGCGGGCTAAGGGAGGGCCGAGGTGAGTGGCGGTGGGTGGGTGCATCTACCTACATCCATCATCGTTTGATTACCTTTATTCAGGAATCCTTCACCGTCGAAACTGTGGGTTTACCGTTTGGGACTTTGGATTCTGTCCTTATTTTTTTTTTTTTAAGATAGCCTGTTAGACTTCGTTTGTTGATCGCAAAACTCCATATCCGTATTCGCAAGCACCTACCTTGACCTACACTTCGGCCTCGTGGAGGACTTACTCGTTAACTAATAATACCATACGGTATCGTACAATACGCATTATCCAAGTACGGACGACGGGACTACGAATACGATACTTGCATAGATCCTCAGGTAGTAAAGTACTACTAAATATATCAAGTCCTACCAAGACTCGAGGACACGGTACTTCAAACAACGGAGATAAGATCCCCCTTCCCGCCGTAACTCAACCAAAGCACGCAATCCTACCATCACTCTGTACGAATAGTTGTTCAGTGCTGCCCGTCTGCTGTGCAAGGGCTGTGCAGGTCACGTGATATACCCCCCTTGTCCAAAGCCTCCTTAAAAGTACGCAGTACGAGTCTATAAATGTTGTTCCAGCTATTTGAATAAGTTCCAGTGGTGTTTATTGATTGTATGGTAGGTACTATAATAAATAACGAGGTTGATAGGTATCGTAATCGGGTCATATGCATGCTAGAATACAGAGAGCCTTCCCAATGAGCATAGAAGCATGTCATACGTTCGTAGAAAAAATTGGAAATGAGGCATATGTAAATGTAAGCCTCGGATTTCCCAAGCAAATAAGCCAACACCGTGCCGTGGTTATAAGTGGTTTAGAAAAAGGAGGTAGATGAGAGGATGAGAAAGGAACTGAAGTAAAGCGAAGTAAAGCGAGGTATCATCGGCCGTAAAACGAATTGAGGTTTTGAAAAGGTGTGTCGAGATGGGTATTGATTAGGAAGGAATATCGGCGAGGGAGAGAGAAAATGGATGTAACGGAGGATGAGGATGAGGAATAGGATGAGGAATAGGAGTGAGATAAAAAGGGGTATCGAAGAGACGCAGACTAATCAATCACCTCGATAATCGCCTTCTCATAACCTCTTCTCGATCCTCCCTCATCCACGGATACCAAACGCCCATCCATTCCACAACGCCAAACTGTGGCGCACCACCATTAAAGCTCGGGCTGGACTCCTGACGCAGGAACTCGCCGTCGCGCATGCGCCGCTGCTCCCGGAGCGTCGGGCACTTCTTCTCCTTGATGAAGCGGTAGAATTTGCACTGGATTCCCTGGAACCCGCGGCGCTGGCGGCTGGGGAACTGGCGGTTGAAGCTCTCGCGGACTTCCTTCCACTCCTGGCAGAGGTCGACGCGGTGGTACCAGATGAAGTACATCTCTTCCTCCTCGTACTTTGGCCGCGGGGGCCGGCGGCGATCCCCTGAGGCACCATTGTTGGTGCTGGAGCTGCTTGAGACAGAGTCATAGCGGTCTCGCGGGTACGCTTCTGGTGAGGAGTCTGTTGAGCGCGGGCGGTAGGACATGAATGAGTGGTGGTCCTGGGATGAGGGGGCGTGTTGGCTGTAGGGGCCATGGTGATGGTGGTGGTGGTGATGGTGATGGTGGTGTTGGTTGTGATTAAGCTGTTGGCTTTCAGAGAAGCCGTAGTAGTATTGGTTTGGACTTGGTGGGTAGAGAGGCGAGTATTGGGGAGTCAAGGGGCCGGGCCCATAATGTAGTTTTGAGCTTGGCTTCTCGGACTCTGCTGCCGGGGGGTTAAGTAGGGAGTCGATTGCCATGCTGCGGCTTGGGCGAGATGCAAGAGATTCCATGTTGGTTATGAAGATATGTGAGAACCAACAGACCTAAGAGGGAAGAGGGGGGGGGGAGGGGGACTGCGGCTCGAGTCGTACGACCGAGAATAGAGGTGGGAGGGTAGTTGGTCTATC